TGATACACAGTGTGCACGGTGTGGACAGACAATCCCCGTAATGAGACCAGTGTGCACGGTGGGGACAGACATCCCCCGTATATAGACCAGTGTGCACGTGTGGGACAGCATCCCCAGTAATGAGACACAGTGTGCACGTGTGACAGCATCCCCAGTAATGAACGCAGTGTCACGTGTGGACAGACATCCCAGTAATGAGACACAGTGTGCACGTGTGGACAGGCATCCCCAGTAATGAGACACAGTGTGCACGTGTGGACAGACTCCCCAGTAATGAGACACATGTGCACGTGTGGGACAGACATCCCCAGTAATGAGACGCAGTGTGCACGTGTGGACAGACATCCCCAGTATGAAGTACAGTGTGCACGTTGGACAGACATCCACCAGTAATGAGACCAGTGTGCACGTGTGGACAGACATCCCCAGTAATGAGCACAGTGTGCACTGTGGACAGACATCCCCAGTAATGAGACAGTGTGCACGTGTGGGACAGACATCCCCAGTAATGAAGTACAGTGTGCACGTGTGGACAGACATCCCCAGTAATGAGACACAGTGTGCACGTGTGGACAGACATCCCCAGTAATGAGACACAGTGTGCACGTGTGGACAGACATCCCCAGTAATGAGACACAGTGTGCACGTGTGTGGACAGGCATCCCCAGTAATGAGACGCAGTGTGCACGTGTGGGACAGGCATCCCCAGTAATGAGACACAGTGTGCACGTGTGGACAGGCATCCCCAGTAATGAGACACAGTGTGCACGTGTGGACAGACATCCCCAGTAATGAGACACAGTGTGCACGTGTGGACAGACATCCCCAGTAATGAGACACAGTGTGCACGTGTGGGACAGGCATCCCCAGTAATGAGACACAGTGTGCACGTGTGGACAGACATCCCCAGTAATGAAGTACAGTGTGCACGTGTGGACAGACATCCCCAGTAATGAAGTACAGTGTGCACGTGTGGACAGACATCCACAGTAATGAGACGCAGTGTGCACGTGTGGACAGACATCCCCAGTAATGAGACACAGTGTGCACGTGTGGGACAGACATCCCCAGTAATGAAGTACAGTGTGCACGTGTGGGACAGACATCCCCAGTAATGAAGTACAGTGTGCACGTGTGGACAGACATCCCCAGTAATGAGACACAGTGTGCACGTGTGGACAGACATCCCCAGTAATGAGACACAGTGTGCACGTGTGGGACAGACATCCCCAGTAATGAGACACAGTGTGCATGTGTGGACAGACATCCCCAGTAATGAGACGCAGTGTGCACGTGTGGGACAGCCATCCCCAGTAATGAGACACAGTGTGCACGTGTGGACAGGCATCCCCAGTAATGAGACGCAGTGTGCACGTGTGGACAGACATCCCCAGTAATGAGACACAGTGTGCACGTGTGGGACAGGCATCCCCAGTAATGAGACACAGTGTGCACGTGTGGACAGGCGTCCCCAGTAATGAGACACAGTGTGCACGTGTGGACAGACATCCCCAGTAATGAGACGCAGTGGTGCACGGTGACAGGACATCCCCAGTAATGACGATACAGTGTGCACGTGTGTGACCGACATCCACAGTAATGAGACGCAGTGTGCACGTGTGGACAGACATCCCCAGTAATGAGACACAGTGTGCACGTGTGGGACAGACATCCCCAGTAATGAAGTACAGTGTGCACGTGTGGGACAGACATCCCCAGTAATGAAGTACAGTGTGCACGTGTGGACAGACATCCCCAGTAATGAGACACAGTGTGCACGTGTGGACAGACATCCCCAGTAATGAGACACAGTGTGCACGTGTGGGACAGACATCCCCAGTAATGAGACACAGTGTGCACGTGTGGACAGACATCCCCAGTAATGAGACGCAGTGTGCACGTGTGGGACAGCCATCCCCAGTAATGAGACACAGTGTGCACGTGTGGACAGGCATCCCCAGTAATGAGACGCAGTGTGCACGTGTGGACAGACATCCCCAGTAATGAGACACAGTGTGCACGTGTGGACAGACATCCCCAGTAATGAGACGCAGTGTGCACGTGTGGGATAGACATCCCCAGTAATGAGACGCAGTGTGCACGTGTGGACAGACATCCCCAGTAATGAGACGCAGTGTGCACGTGTTGGACAGACATCCCCAGTAATGAGACACAGTGTGCACGTGTGGACAGACATCCCCAGTAATGAGACGCAGTGTGCACGTGTGGACAGACATCCCCAGTAATGAGACGCAGTGTGCACGTGTGGACAGACATCCCCAGTAATGAGACGCAGTGTGCACATGTGGACAGACATCCACAGTAATGAAGTGCAGTGTGCACGTGTGGGACAGACATCCCCAGTAATGAGACGCAGTGTGCACGTGTGGACAGACATCCCCAGTAATGAGACGCAGTGTGCACGTGTGGACAGACATCCCCAGTAATGAGACACAGTGTGCACGTGTGGGACAGACATCCCCAGTAATGAGACACAGTGTGCACGTGTGGGACAGACATCCCCAGTAATGAGACACAGTGTGCACGTGTGGGACAGGCGTCCCCAGTAATGAGACACAGTGTGCACGTGTGGACAGGCATCCCCAGTAATGAGACGCAGTGTGCACGTGTGGACAGACATCCCCAGTAATGAGACACAGTGTGCACGTGTGGACACGCATCCCCAGTAATGAAGTGCAGTGTGCACGTGTGGGACAGACATCCCCAGTAATGAGACACAGTGTGCACGTGTGGACAGACATCCCCAGTAATGAGACGCAGTGTGCACGTGTGGACAGGCATCCCCAGTAATGAGACGCAGTGTGCACGTGTGGGACAGGCATCCCCAGTAATGAGACACAGTGTGCACGTACATCCCCAGTAATGAGACACAGTGTGCATGTGTGGGACAGACATCCCCAGTAATGAGACGCAGTGTGCACGTGTGGGACAGACATCCCCAGTAATGAGACACAGTGTGCACGTGTGGACAGGCATCCCCAGTAATGAGACGCAGTGTGCACGTGTGGACAGGCATCCCCAGTAATGAGACGCAGTGTGCACGTGTGGACAGACATCCACAGTAATGAGACACAGTGTGCACGTGTGGGACAGACATCCCCAGTAATGAGACACAGTGTGCACGTGTGGACAGGCATCCCCAGTAATGAGACACAGTGTGCACGTGTGGACAGACATCCCCAGTAATGAGACACAGTGTGCACGTGTGGGACAGACATCCCCAGTAATGAGACACAGTGTGCACGTGTGGGACAGACATCCCCAGTAATGAGACGCAGTGTGCACGTGTGGGACAGACATCCCCAGTAATGAGACGCAGTGTGCACGTGTGGACAGGCATCCCCAGTAATGAGACACAGTGTGCACGTGTGGACAGACATCCCCAGTAATGAGACACAGTGTGCACGTGTGGGACAGCCATCCCCAGTAATGAGACGCAGTGTGCACGTGTGGACAGGCATCCCCAGTAATGAGACACAGTGTGCACGTGTGGACAGACATCCCCAGTAATGAGACAGTGTGCACGTGTGGACAGACATCCCCAGTAATGAGACGCAGTGTGCACGTGTGGACAGGCATCCCCAGTAATGAGACACAGTGTGCACGTGTGGACAGACATCCCCAGTAATGAGACACAGTGTGCACGTGTGGGACAGCCATCCCCAGTAATGAGACGCAGTGTGCACGTGTGGACAGGCATCCCCAGTGTGTACGTGGGCCATGGTGAGTGCTGCAGAGAGACACACGTAGGAGGGTAGGGATCTCAGGAGGCAGCTCAGCCTGGTGGAGAGGCCCTTGGCTTCTCCCTGTCATGGCTCTGCAGTCCCCTCTTTGCCCCAGCTGCTTTCTATGTAGATGAGGATGCCGCAGTCCTGGTGATTCGGCTGGGAATTAGGGCCGCTCCAGGGGAAGCCCTGTGACCCTGCCTGGTGTGCAGGGGGCACATGCTGTTGGGCCTGGAGACTGCTTTCTTGTTTTAGCTTCTTGATCGGCTCAGCTGTTGCTTTGTGAAATCCTGTGGAGGGTAGAAGGTGGAGAAAATAACTTTTCTTGGTGGCTTTTGATTATGTTGTTTGATTTTTAAAATTAATTTTTTTTAAAGATTTATTTTACCCACTTGAAAGAGTGACAGAGAAAGAGAGTGACAGAGAGATCTTCCCTCCACTAGTTTACTCCCCAAATAGCTGTGACAACTGGGCCTCAGCCAAGCTAAAACCGGAAGTCCAGAACCCCATGCAGGTCTCCCATGTGGGTGCAGGACCCCAGGTGCGTGGGGCCGTTACCCGCTGCCTCCCAGGCGCAGCGGCTGGAAGCTGGGTCAGAGCCTGATGTGGAGTGGCGGGACACGGTGATGCGGCCTGTGTGCCCCCAGCAGGCAGCTGAACCCGCTGTGACACAGCAGCCCCCACCCCTGCTTTTAATAAAGGAGGGTTTGGAATGATGTTCTAGAACTTGATACCCCAAAAGAAGGAAGTATTTCAGTGATGATTTGCTAGTAGAGCACCCTGGAGATTTCAAGTGAATGAAATATTTTGCAACCTGAAATCACGAGCGAAACTTTGGGCTAAGCATAGGAGATACAGAAACCGCATGTAGTGGGCTTGATATTAGCAGTTTAAGAAATACCTGTTATGTTACTAGATTTTGTCTGAAAGCCTTGTTTTCATTTTTGAGATCCTGTATGAATTTGTTTATGAAGACAAGGATTTTTGTTTGGGTTTTTCTTCTTTATATCCAAGAGAAATTTCCAGATTGGAATGTCTTTGACATTTTCAGAGCTCTAGAAGCTTTTCACGAATTAGTAGTGGCTGTGACCCATAGACTCGTGGCGACGTCTGTGGATGTGCTGTGTGCACCTGCCCCTCATTCCGTTTCTTGATACGGTGGAGGTGGCTGTGGCTTTTGCCCGGCTGCGTTTGAGGCCTCGTCTGTTGGTGGTCACACTTCAGAATCCTCACAGCCCCCCTTGAACCGCTCAGGTGTTAGACGGCGCCGACAGCCAGTACTCGGGCACGCAGATCGGACAAGCCCAGGACGAAGACGAGGACGCCGCCGATGCCTTCAGGAGCTCCTCCCTCGGTGGGTTCACGGAGGTGACCTGCGGCAGGGGGCTGTGATGCCTGCCTGGGGCCTCTTCACTTGACCTGTTTTCTGGATTGTAAATAGCAGATGGAAAGGGTCCTGTGGGGAGTAATCCTTTTCTTGAACTTTGTATACATCAGTGTGTTTTGCTGGAGCTGGGACTTACTGCCCCCTCTTGGTCTGTGCCTGTGCAGCCCTTCAGCAGGCACACTTACTGAGGAGCACGGGTCACAGCAGACAGCTGTCCGACAGCAGTGTCGAGAAGCTTGCCGCAAGAGACGAAGCTGCCGAACCCGGGGCGCAGGAGAGCAAGGTGAGGGCCGGCAGTGTCTGCGGCCCCGCTGGGTGAAGCCCAGCCCGCTGGCGTCTGCCTGGCTTATTGCCGTTCCCCTCTGGGCTTACTTCCCCTGTGAATGCCGACCTCTTCCCAGGCAGGCTCTTTCTGCCCTCCAGGTGCTGCCCGAATCCTCCCCACACAAAGCTTCCCTGCGCTCCGTGCTGCCCTGCTGCTCCCCTGCTGTGCGTGGGGTCGTGCGTGGACCTGCAGCGTCTTTCCTTGTTCCATTATGCTGTTTGTAAAACCTCCCCGTTTTCTGTAGCAGAAGTGTACTGACTTCCTGTGAGGGCCAGCAGTCAGGTGTCCCAGTCAGTCCCACCGGGCAGAATCGCTGTTGTGCTCCTGCGGTCTCTGCCGGGTGCCCACTGTACCTCCTGCCCCGGGCCGCCCCGGGCGCCGTCCGCTGCCTGCACTGCTTCCCATGCAGCCTTTCCGCCGGGTGCCCTCCCTGCGTGCCAGGCTGGTCCTCTGCCCTGGCCCGTGAAGTGTGATGCACTCCTCTGACCTGCCGTAATGGCTCAGATGTTGGCTTAGCGGACTAAGGATTTTGTCTTTTGGTCACAAGGCAGACAGACATCAGTTTCTCTTCTGCAGCCATGTCGAATCAAAGGTGACATAGGACAGTCTGCCGATGGTGATGCTGCCCCTCTCGTCCACTGTGTCCGCCTGTTATCTGCTTCGTTCTTGTTGACTGGCGAGAAGAACGGTAGGTGTGGACGATGGGCTGCCGGTTGCAGAGGTCAGCTCCGTGGCCTTGTTGTACTGTTTGGTCACAGCTGCAGAGGAAGTGCACTAAGGGGCCAGCTGGGGGGAGCTGAGGGGAGCGATGGGGTGGGTAGTTTACTGGGGCCAGTGTTGCTTTGAAAACTGAACGTCTGCTGCTTTGGGTCTGAAGGTGCTCGGTGTTCCCTTTGCAGTGCTGGTTCCAGACAGGGACGTGCGGGTCAGCGTGAAGGCCCTGGCCCTCAGCTGCGTAGGGGCAGCAGTGGCCCTTCATCCGGAGTCCTTCTTCAGCACGCTGTATAAAGCACCTCTTGACGCTGTGGAACACCGAGGTATGTTAGGAGGTCGTGTCCTCCTCCTCCATGTTTCACACAGTCTTGCCATTTTGGGTTTAGAACAGTGGTGTTTGAGCCTGTGTAATTCTCCATAAAACATGAGTAGTGCTGTTCTTAATTTCATGATAGGGTGCTCATTATTGAAACATACAACAAAAGCAGAGATCTGAGAACATTAAGAGCCAGTTTATGTGCCTGTTGGATTTAGACCTACAGTGCAAACTGCGTGTTCAAGGTTGGTCTGAGTCCCGCCCAGACGGTGGGGACAGAGATTGGGGGAGGCCTCGGCAGGCCCTGACTCCTGCTGTACACGGTTGGTGGGGAGGAGAGACCCTCTTGCCCCTCTCAAGGGAGTTTATGCTGGGCAAGTGTGCGGTGATTTAGTTTTTGAAATGTTTTTTTGAAATGAAACCTTAGATTGTTGTCTGACAGCCTGGTATTGTAATCTAAAAATCGGTTGTATTGGGGAGACATCAGCAACAGTCTAATGAATTTAGAATCCTTAACCTCCACCCCCAGTTTTTTTTTTTTAAGATTTATTTATTTGAAAAGCAGAGTTAGAGAGGAAGAGACAGACAGACAGACAGACAGACAGACACACACACACACACACACACAGAGAGAGAGAGAGAGAGAGGTCTTCCATCTGCTGGTTCACTCCCCAAATGGCTTCAACAGCTGGGGCTGGACCAGGCCAGAGCCAGGAGCCAGGAGCTTCGTCCACGTCTCCCACATGGGTGCAGGGGCCTCCCAGTGACATTAGCAGGGAGCTGGATTGGAAGTGGAGCAGCTGTGAGTCACACTGGTGCTGGTAGCTTAACCGCTACACCACAATGCCAGCCTCTGTTTTTTCTAAACCACTGAGGGTTATTATAGTCATTTCTAGGTTTGGGAAGTACCACCCCATCCTCCCTGCCTCTTTTTTTCTTCTTGAGAAGTAAGCTTTTCTTTTGAGGTAGAGAGGTGATGGTGTGGGACTGTTCAGTGGCTGAGCTGTTTGTTTCCACAGAGGAGCAGTACATCTCAGACATCTTGAACTACATCGATCATGGAGACCCACAGGTCAGAGGAGCCACCGCCATTCTCTGTGGGACCCTAATCTCCTCCATCCTCAGCAGGTCTCGCTTCTGTGTGGAGGACTGGATGGGCACCGTTAGAACCCTGACAGGTAACGGCCAGGGCTTCACTGGGGGCTTCTAGATATCACTCCCAAGTTTAAGTTTACACGAAGATACGTTCATTACTTGTTCTTTGGTTAGGAAATACATTTTCTCTGGCGGATTGCGTTCCTTTGCTGCAGAAGACTTTGAAAGATGAATCTTCTGTTACTTGCAAGTTGGCTTGTACGGCTGTGAGGGTGAGCATACTCTTTTTTTTTTTTTTTAAAGATTTTATTTATTTATTTGAGAGATAAAGTTAAAGACAGAGGGAGAGACAGAAAGAAAGGTCTTCCATCTGCTGGTTCACTCCCCAAATGGCTGCAACAGCTGGAGCTGTGCCGATCCGAAGCCAGGAGCCAGGAGCTTCTTCCAGGTCTCCCACATGGTGCAGACCACATGGGTGACTGGCGCCGCAGGCAGAGGATTAGCCCACTCGCCACGGCGCTGGCCCTGAGCGTACTCTTGGGGAAAGCTGGGCACTGACCGTTACTCCAGCTCAACAGGAGCTTCCCAGGGTCTACCTGCACGTATTGCAGAGTTGTCAGCAGTGATGAATGCTGTCCATAAGTCAGATTTAGAAGTGAAATGCTGCCAATGGAGTTAAGGCTTAATACGTTCTAATTTAAGTTTTAATTCTCATAGTATTGGTTTGAAATATACATTTTCCTGAATGGTATATTTAGAAATAAACGTTGCTCATTGAGCGTAAAATCTGTTGAATTTTAAAATACCAAACCCATGGTATTATGTGAAAGGCAGCACTAGGAGTTGTCTAATGAGCCTCTTTGTGCCAGGTGGAATGTCCTGCCTCCTTTAGGGGGCAGCATGTGGAGCCTTTTTTTTTTTTTTAATTTTTTTTTGCCAGGCGGAGTTAGACAGAGAGAGAATTATAGACAGAGAGAAAGGTTTTCCTTCCTTTGGTTCACTCCCCTAATGGCCGCTACGTCAATCTGAAGTCAGGAGCTGGGTGCTTCCTCCCAGTCTCCCATGTGGGTGCAGGGGCCCAAGCACTTGGGCCATCCTCCGCTGCCCTCCCAGGCCACAGCAGAGAGCTGGCCTGGAAGAGGAGCAACTGGGACAGAATCCAGCGCCCCGACCGGGACTAGAACCCGGTGTGCCGGCGCCGCAGGTGGAGGATTAGCCTGGTGAGCCGCGGCGCTGGCCATGTGGAGCCTGTGGCTGAGAAGCCACAGGTAGCCGGCCGACCACAGTTGCCACAAGACCCCACCCACTGTGAGATCTGGGGTGCATCGTGTGCCTCGGTCTCCTGGCCTGGCACAGTTTTCCTCCAGGCCCACGCGTTTGCCAAGTTGCAGTGTAGGATAGCGTCCCAGCTCACCTGATGGCTTGTGGGGCAAGGGATGGCAGCGGGAGGCCTGCCCTGTTCCCTTAGGCATCACATACACAGCGACACCAGGGAGTGACACTTGGTGTGGGTCCCTGGTCCTATCTGGGCTCTGTGTATGGCTGTGTTGAGTGGTCTCCCATTTCACCACAGAGAAATGGGTGTGAAATGTTTGAGATTTGAGGCCAAGAATTCCCACAGATGGAAATGGAAGGAAAGAAATAGTTACATGAAAGGGACATACTTGCCTTTTTTTTTTTTTTTTGACAGGCAGAGTGGACAGTGAGAGAGAGAGACAGAGAGAAAGGTCTTCCTTTGCCGTTGGTTCACCCTCCAATGGCCGCCGCGGCCAGCGCGCTGCAGCTGGCGCACCGCGCTGATCCGATGGCAGGAGCCAGGAGCCAGGTGCTTTTCCTGGTCTCCCATGGGGTGCAGGGCCCAAGCACCTGGGCCATCCTCCACTGCACTCCCTGGCCACAGCAGAGAGCTGGCCTGGAAGAGGGGCAACCGGGATAGAATCCGGCGCCCCAACCGGGACTAGAACCCAGTGTGCTGGTGCCGCTAGGCGGAGGATTAGCCTAGTGAGCCGCGGTGCTGGCCCATACTTGCTTTTAAACTTGGATTTACTAAGGAAAAGTTTGTACCATGAAGGTTTCTGAGAAATGTGGGAAAAGTGCCGTATCCCTGTAGCAGTTAATAAAAGCACCACAAAACAGCAGTGTGTGCAGAGTGCCACGGTGCGTGGAGTGAGCCTGCCACTCTTCCCGGCCCGTGTCTTCCAGCATTGCATCGCGAGCCTGTGCAGCAGCAGCTACAGCGACTTGGGCTTGCAGCTGATCATCGAGCTGCTGGCCCTGAAGAACAGCTCCTATTGGCTGGTGAGGACAGAGCTCTTGGAAACTCTTGCAGAGATCGACTTTAGGTAAGTGAGTCAGAGTAATTAGGTTTAAGGAACAAAAGCTCAGAACTTGGAGCTAAGCCAGTCCCGGGCTTGAGCTGAGTTGGAGTGAACAAGTCCCTGCAATTCGTGTAGGTTGTCCGTGGTCCTGTGTATGAGAAATCCAAGTGGTTTAGGAAGATGAGAGTGGTTTTCTCCTTCCCATTAACTTTTGCTGAACTTCACCCTATACTTGGAGTATTTATTTATTATTATTTATTTTTTATTTGAAAGGCATAGTTAGAGAGAGAGGTCTTCCATCTGCTAGTTCACTCCCCAAATGGCTGTAACAGCTGGGACTGGGCCAGGCCAAACCCAGGAGCCTAGAACTCCATCTGAGTCTCCAATATAGGTGGCAGGGAGCCAGGTACTTGGGCCATCTCCCACTGTTTTCCCAGGCGCATTTGCAGGGAACCATATCTGAAGTTGGGCAGCCGGGACTCGAAGCGATGCTCACAGGGGCTATTGGAGTTGTAGGCAGCAGCTTAACCCGTTGTAGCACATGCTGGCCCCATGTACCTGGAATGTTTAAATTAAGGTGGAGCAGTGGACTTTCTGATGATCTAGATGGTGGGAATAAATGAGCCCTGATTTTTAAAAATTTTATTTTATACCTTTTCTTGTGGCTCAGTGGGCTAAGCCACTGCTTGGGTCACCTGCACTCTGACCAGTATCTCTGGTTCCATACTGCCACCTCTGCTTTCAATCTAGCTTCCTGCAGAGCCTGTCCTAGGAGGCAGCAGATGAAGGTTCAGTTACTTGAGTTCCTGCCACGTCCATGGGAGACCCTGACTTTGGCCTGGCTCAGCATTGGCTGTTGCAAATGTCTGAGGAGTGAACCATTGAATGAAAGATAATCTCTCCCTCTCTCTCTGCCTTGCAAATAAGTTAAAACAAACATTTTTAAATTTTAGCTTATGTTGAGTTTTAAAAATTTTTTGGCTGGCGCCGCGGCTCACTAGGCTAATCCTCTGCCTTGTGGCGCCAGCACACCAGATTCTAGTCCTGGTCGGGGCGCCGGATTCTGTCCCGGTTGCCCCTCTTCCAGGCCAGCTCTCTGCTGTGGCCTGGGAGTGCAGTGGAGGATGGCCCAAGTGCTTGGGCCCTGCACCCCATGGGAAACCAGGAGAAGCACCTGGCTCCTGCCTTCGGATCAGCGTGGTGCACCGGCCACAGCGCGCCAGTCGCGGTGGCCATTGGAGGGTGAACCAACGGCAAAAGGAAGACCTTTCTCTCTGTCTCTCTCTCTCACTGTCCACTCTGCCTGTCAGGAAAAAAAAAAATTTTTTTTTTCAAGTTTTTTAAAGGCAGAATTAGAGAAGAGAGAGAGAAATATTTTCTATCTGCTGGTTCACTCACCAAATGCCTGCACTGCTGGGGCTGGGCCAGGCTGAAACCAGGAACCAGGAGCCTCATCTGGGTCTCCCACGTGGGTGGCAGGGGCACCAGATTTGGGCTGTCTTGTGCTGCTTTCCCAGGCACATTAGCATGGAGCTAGATTGGAAGTGGGGCAGCTGGCATTCAAACTGGTGCCATATGGGATACTGGCATCTCGCGTGGTGGCTTAACTCACCAAGCCACAACACTGGCCCCTTTAATTTTTAAATCCTTATTTATTTATTTTCGATTTATTTGAAAGAGATCTTTTGAAATAGTGATGTTTATTTTCAGAAAGACAATTTACCAAGTACTATCTTTTTGAGCCTTACTGAGAGGAATGTCCATTCGGTTAATTTGAAACTACCGCTCTGTTGTGTCCTTTTGCACCTGCGCGCCGAGCCCCTGTGCCGTGCTGTGTCACATCCTGCAGGTGTTGTGGCGTGTGTGCAGAGCGCTGAGGACAGTGTCCCCCTTGTGTTCCTCCCCAGGCTGGTGAGCTTTCTGGAGGCGAAAGCCGAGAGTCTGCATAGAGGCGCTCACCATTACACAGGGGTAAGCAGCTTGTGCTCGCGCGGCCGAGTTGACCTCCCGGGACCTGGGCTTTCCTGGTGCTGTGGGGTGTCTGAGTGCACTCGTGTGCTGGGTGCTTTTCAGACACAGGTCACACCATGCAAGCTGTGGCACGGCGTGGGTTTAAGACTGGTAACCTTGAGATCTTTGCCACTAGCTTTCCAAAAATATTGTAGCCAAATTTGATCAACTACAGAGATGATCTGTTTTTATCATCCTTCTCTTAAAAGCTTTTAAAACTGCAAGAACGAGTGCTGCATAATGTTGTCCTCCATCTGCTTGGGGACGAAGACCCCCGGGTGCGACGTGTTGCTGCAGCGTCCTTGATAAGGTACGTCAACCAGTGTCTGTCTCTGGGCACCTTTGGGCGAACCACTGCGTGGGCTGCTAATAGGAAGAGCGGGAAGAATGCAGAAGCTCTAGGGAGTGCTGAGTCTTTGGGGCTCAGTTTCAGTCATTTTACTCTGAAACTGTCAAAAAAAGTACTCACTGCCATCAGAATCTGAAATGACAATAAAAACAAAAAGCAAAATCCGAGCCTTGCATCTAAAAAGCAGTGCACTTTCATTGTCGCGACTGGGGAGAATGCGGAGTAACTCAGAAGGAAGTGCAGCTCAGCTTCAGCCCTGCGCTGGAGGTGACCACTGGGAGCAGGGGGGAGGTGGGAGGGAGCGCAGTGAGTGTTACCTGCTTCCTTACGTAAAGCACACTTACTTTTATGTTAGGCTTGTCCCAAAGCTGTTTTACAAGTGTGACCAAGGACAGGCGGACCCAGTAGTGGCCGTGGCAAGAGATCAAAGCAGTGTTTACCTGAAACTTCTCATGCACGAGACACAGCCTCCTTCTCACTTCTCCGTTAGCACCATAACCAGGTACGCGCAGCGCTGTCCTTCTCGGACGCCTTTCCGTAGGCCGTGTTTACGGAAGCACACTTTGGACCAGGACGTCTCGGGGGGTCGTCCTGCCTGGTGGCTGTTGGTCTTTCTCAGGGTGTGGCACAGCACCTCTGTACGAAAGCCCTGCTTGGGGCACACAGCAGGGGTGATGTGCGTCTTCTGGTGAGTCCGTGGCATTATGTCTGACTCTCGTGTGTCACCTGAAAGCTTGCCCATTAGAGTTCGTGTCCTCCTGAAGAGGATGGCATGCTGTCCTGCCCGTGGTTTTCAGGGCTGTTGAGTGTGGTGACATAACGGCCACACCACCTTGCTCTCTTCTCAGTCTCAGCTGAGTAGAGCAGAAATGCTGTAGCAATTTAGAGTTTTCTCTGTTTGTCAGTGCTATTTTAAAAATTAGCTTTATCTGATAATGTCTTTTCTACTGAGTGGCAATTTTTTAAAAAGCAGTGAAACTGAAAAATAATGATCATCTGCTGCTTGTTTCCTGCATTCAGATCTCAGCTTGTCAAATTTTGAAGTCAGTATTTCTGAATAAATATCACCTTTTTCATGTGAAGACTGCTTATGAAAAGCAGAACACATGGAGGTCACTGCGTGGTCACCTTAGTGTTTTCCTCTTGGGGAATTTCATTTGTTTATCCTCAGAACTGGCACCTTCCTCTCTTTGAAGATTCAGGAAAATACTCCTTTAGGATAAGTCGAGGCAGTGTATGGAGCTGACCAGAGGGTTGCTGACGACAGGACGAGCTCCATGTCCCTGGAGGGTGGCCCCAGGCTGCGCCCGCCTCGGCCAGCTCCCACTCAGCCGTGCCTCAGCCAGCTCCCTGCCGTGTCTGTGTGCTGCTTGGCTGCCCCCTGTCAGGGTTTCTGCGTGAAGAGAAAATCACGTTGTCCTGAGCTTTGTTGTCGGGTGTCTCTGGGCACAAAAGTGAACCAAGAGTGAGCTCCCCGTGGGCGTCCTTTAGACAGTGGGGAACAGAATCTGTGTATGATCATGCTGGCGATAGAAGGTGACGCAGGGTTGGAATACCACGTGGCACTGTGTGCACTCGGGAGCGCAGGAGGGGCTCGCTTTCATCTTGGAGTCAGGCGAGTTTCCAGGCGTCCTTTTAGCTTAAAGCTTGAAGAACTGGTGAGTCTGGGAGGAGAGCGAGACCCCACTGGGGCAGCGCAAGGCGGGAAGCGGTAAAGCCAGCCCCTTTACAGAGTAGAGACCGAATTCACTTCTGGTTTCTCTTTCACTTAGAATTCGAGACTGCTTTAACTTCTTTTAGCTTGTACTCTTAAACTTGGAATGCCTTTTGGCCTTTTAAAATGTCATACGGTCCTATAGAAGATGTTGTCTCCATGCTTTTCTTTTAGAGTATACAGGGGCTACAGCTTACTGCCAAGCATAACCGACGTCACTACGGAGAATAACCTCTCGAGGGTCATCGCCGCGGTCTCTCACGCGCTCATCACGTCGACCACGCGGGCACTCACAGTACGTGTTGCTCAGTCGGTCTTGGGAAGTGAGTTTCAGTAGACATTCTGGTGGCTGTGTGGTAGTCCCTGGGGGGATGCTGGCGTGAGTGCCTGCTCTCTGAGGCTCCCATGAAATAGCATTTGAGGAACAGAATCTTGGCGTATTCCTACAAGATCAATGGAGATGGATGTTTTTTGAGTATTAAAGTAATACATACTTGTCTTTAAAATTTCAGCTAATTTAGAAATGCATAAAATAAAAACTACCATAATTTGAATTGGTAAGAAATTTAAAATACCTCCAATATTGGTGTGGGCATTTAGCCGTGCCACACGTTGGATTGCCTGGGTTCCCTGCCCAGCTCCAGCTGCTGCCTCCTGCCTCCTGTAGACCCTGGGTGGCAGCAGTGATGGCTCAAGTCACTGGGTCCCTGCCACCCAAATGGGAGACCTGCATTGGGTTTCTGGCTTCGGGCTTCAGTCTGGCCCAGCCCCAGCTGTTTTGGCTTTTGAGGAGTGAACCAGTGGATTGGATACGAACACTCTTTCTTTGCTTTTCAAAAAACAAAACAGAAAAACAAAATACTGTCGCTCCCCCTCTTCGTGGAGGAACGACACAGGACCCTGCGCTGTTCTTTTGTCTGCTCGGCCCTCCCCGGGTTTGCTGCTGGTTCTTCCCGGGTTGGCTACTGTCCCTTCCACCTCCGTGGAAGGGCGGTTCCCCCTGGCCACTTTCCCCACTTCCGCAGGGGAGCGGCACACCGCCGGCCGGCTCTCTCGGGGGCTGCACAGGTGTTCCCCTTAGATGTTCCCCTTAGATGTTCCTGGTGCATGCCGTCTCTCTCCTCCTTTATAGTCCTCCTCTGCCAATCCCAACTCGGCTGCCCACACGCCGAGCACGCTGCTCTCCTCCAATCAGGAGCAAGTCCTACAGTTTATTGGCTGAACTGGAGGCAGCTGTGTAGAAGCTGTTTTCTTCTCTCCCAGCGCCATATTGTGGGAGAGCAGATGCATAGAATAAGTCTTAATTCCAGTAACTTAGTCTAGTCCGAGTTGCTCCCCACAAATACCTTTAGTATCATTGACTCAGACCTTGTAAAATATAGTAAGGGAAAGAAGTATGAACTGCCAACAGACATTTTTGTATGAGTATCATATCTTTTAATTCCCTCTCCATGAACTTTTTGAATCCTCTTGCAGAATTAACTACATCATTATTTGTTATGCTGAAATTGGAAAAAAGCCATTATGTTCCAGAATCCAAGAGTGATTCTGGTTCAGATTAAGTTCCATACACATCATAGTGTACTGTACTCTTTTTATTTTTAAAGAGTTGATTTATTTTTATTTGAGAGGTAGATTTACAGACAGTGTGAGGGAGAGACAAGGAAGGGTCTTCCTTCTGTTGGTTCACTCCCCAAATGGCCACAATGACTGGAGCTGCGCCAGTCTGAAGCCAGGTGCCGAGTTTCTTCCAGGTCTCCTACATGGGTGCAGGGGCTCAAGCACGTGGGCCATCTTCCACTGCTTTCCCAGGCCACAGCAGAGAGCTGGATGAGAAGAGGAGCAGCCGGCACTAGAACCCGGCACCCATATGGGATGCCGGCACTGCAGGCGGAGGATTAACCTACTGCGCCATAGTGCTGGCCCCACTGTGCACCTCTTAATATGGTGCTTTGGAGAACTTTCAAGGTTATGAAGAGATGAGTAAAAAAGGCTGAGTGTTTGGGCAGGTGAGATAATATTTGCATAAGTACATTCCTCACATACTCAGAAAAGTTGCTGGCAGAAAATTGCCAAAATGAATTTCAGATTGTGAATGATGGAACATTACACAAAAGTGGTACTGATTCTAGTTGCCAAATGAAACCTTTTCATTTATTGTATGTGACAGAAGAAATAGTTGCATGTTAGATAACTAAGATTTGGGTGTCTTTTTTTTTTTAAGATTTATTTATTTATTTATTTGAAAGGCAGAGTTAGAGAGAGCAGAGAGAGAAAGAGAGGTCAGTCTTCCATCCTCTGGTTCACTCCCCAAATGGCCTTAATGGCTGGAGATGCACTGATCCTGAGCCAGGAGCTTCTTCCGGGTCTTCCATGTGGGTACAAGGGCCCAAGGACCTGGGCCATCTTCTTCTGCTTTCCCAGGCCACAGCAAGGAGCTGGATCAGAAGTGGAGCAGCTGGGACTAGAACGGGTACCCATATGAAATGCTGGCACTGCAGGCAACTACCTTAACCTGCTATGCCACAGCTCCGGCCTCCTGGCTGAGTTTGATATTTCAATAACCATCTCTCAAATCTTAAATTTGCTCAAGGAATTGTAAATTCTATGTGTTTATTTTTATTGTGGCCTACCTGGGTCAGGCACAGTTCTAGGCTTGGGATATAAAAACATACGAGATTCCTGCTCTGATCGTTCTTGGCGTCTGACCAAAGAGATCAACACTGATGAGCTACAGCTGAGGTTTTTTTTCTGTTTTTTTTTTTTTTTTTTTTTTTTTTTTGACAGAGCGGACAGTGAGAGAGAGAGACAGAGAGAAAGGTCTTCCTTTGCTGTTGGTTCACCCTCCAATGGCAGGAGCCAGGTACTTATTCTGATCTCCCATGGGGTGCAGGGCCCAAGCATTTGGGCCATCCTCCACTGCACTCCCTGGCCACAGCAGAGAGCTGGCCTGGAAGAGGGGCAACCAGGACAGAATCTGGCGCCCCTACCGGGACTAGAACCCGGTGTGCCGGCGCTGCAAGGCAGAGGATTAGCCTAGTGAGCCACGGTGCTGGCCGGTTGTTGTTTTTAAAGATTTATTTCTTTATTTGAAAGGCAGAGTTACAGAGATGGAGAGAGAGGGAGAGGGAGATACAGAGAGGTCTTCCATCTGCTGGATCCCTCCCCAGATGGCTGTAATGGCCGGAGCTGAGCCATGCCGAAGCCAGGAGCCAGGAACTTCCTCCGGGTTTCCCATGCAGGTGGCAGGGGCCCAAGGACTTAGGCCATCCTCTGCTGCTTTCCCAGGTGCATTAACAGGGAGCTGGATCAGAAGTGGAGCAGCCAGGACTTGAACCAGTACGCCACCACACCGGCCCCTAAAGCTGAGCTCTTAAGGGTGCTTGGGGCCAAACTGGGGTGGGTAGGCGAGGAGAGTGGCAGAAGAACCTTCCGCTTCAGCAGAGCTGGTGGCACAGGGCAGTGGACACACCAGGCAGGAGGAGGCGCCAGGCAGGAGGAGCTGCACCATCGCTGGCTTCTGTTTATTGGGCTCCTTACACCTGTGGCTGGGTTTTTAAAGTGTGAATTTGCACCGCTGTAGGACAGCTGCTCTGTGGTTATTAGTCACAGTTCGCAGTTTTCTTTTCATTGTACTTTTTATAAAGAGCAAGAGGCCAGCGCCGCAGCTCAACAGGCTAATCCTCCACCTTGCGGTGCCGGCACACCGGGTTCTAGTCCCGGTCGGGGCGCCGGATTCTGTCCCGGTTGTCCCTCTTCCAGGCCAGCTCTCTGCTGTGGCCAGGGAGTGCAGTGGAGGATGGCTCAAGTCCTTGGGCCCTGCAGCCCATGGGAGACCAGGAGAAGCACCTGGCTCCTGGCTTCGGATCAGTGCGGTGCGCCGGCTGCAGCGCACTGGCCGTGGTGGCCATTGGAGGGTGAACCAACGGCAAAAGAAAGACCTTTCTCTCTGTCTCTCTCTCTCACTGTCCACTCTGCCTGTCAAAAAAAAATTATTTATATATATATATATATAAAGAGCAAGAAGAGGCTCAATTTAGCGCGGCTTTGTGGGGTTTGGGAGTGACTCTGTCGTTCCTTCCCTCTGTAGTTCGGATGCTGTGAAGCTCTGTGTCTCCTTTCAGCGGCCTTTCCGGTGTGCACCTGGAGTTTAGGCTGGCACTGTGGGTACGTGTGTCCTCACCGTGTGGCTGTGCACGGCTACGCCTTACAGACAGTTAGCGTTCTCCCTTTTCTCCCCTGCTCGTTTATCAGTTCGGTGTTTGGAGGACTGTCTGGCGGGATACTGGTTCTGCTCTGCGCTGCGGAATGTGTGTGTGCTGTTGGCAGACGTGGGGTGCACTGAGATTCCAGGGAGTGCCGGGTCTTGGGGAGTGACGCGAGGCTGTGAGCTGCAGGGCCGTGGGAGGGACGTCTCATAGCTGGCGCAGACTTTTCAGAACTATTCCCTGTGTGTTAGAATTTGGAAAGATTGTTTGGTTTACAGTCAGATGTGACCTGTCGTAGGGAATTAGGATGAGTGACGAAGGTATCACGTAGGAACCATTGCACTTCTGTCACCAGTTTTCGCTTGCAAACCGTTTTCACCCAGTCGATGGCCTGGTGGCACCTGTGAAGCCACGTCCAGTGTCCTGCACCAGGAAGGCGCAGGCTTTCCTTCTGTGTGCTGGACACTGAGGACCAGCTAGGTGTGAGAGCAGTCTGCGGGTTTCTTGTGTGTGCAGCTGTATGGCCAGCTCACGTTTGCCTGAAGTGGATTGCGCTGTTTGGCTTAGAAGGAACACTTTCCTACTTTGCGCAGGTACTGACTGAGCAGCGGCGTGTCTGGCCATGGGTCCAGCATAGACTCAGCTGAAAGACAGTCACAATTTCAGCAGAGTAAAACAGTTCCAATACTTTCAATCAGTTCTGTGTGATCTCGTTTCTCAAGTGATTTTCAGAGCTGTCATTGCCAGGGAAGACGTGAGTTGACTGACGACCGTAGAGGCAGTCTGAGTGGATGGAATGTGTATGGCTCGCTCTTCTCCGGGCTTCCTAAGAGGGAACAGCCTGCTCGCTGGAGCGTTTCTGTAACTTGACCTTGAGAACGTCTGCTTCCAGAGTGCCCCCTCTGAGTGCCGCCGACGAGTCCAGGAAGAGCTGCACCGTTGGCATGGCCACCATGGTCCTCACGCTGCTGTCGTCTGCCTGGTTCCCACTGGACCTCTCGGCCCACCAGGACGCTCTGATTGTGGCTGGGAACCTGCTGGCAGGTACACGCGCCGCGGCGCACTCCGGGTTCCTCCGCCTGCCGAGCGCGGGAGGGAACACGGGCAGCGGCCGTGCCGGTGGTAGTTGTTTCTCCAGCAGCATCTCGGGTGCTGCCTGCAGGCACGCGTTCTGTGCGGCCCATTTCAGAGTCGCCTTTTTCCCATTCAGCTGACCGTGGGCGGGGTCGTTTTGAATTTGGTTTAGTGGGTATCGTATCTCAGGTAGTGTCTCAGGCCTGGGCTTGAAGAAAAGTGTCAAGTGTGGGCCCCTTTCTCAAGGTGACGGTGGATTGGTGGGGCATGCACGTGGACAAAAGCGCAGTGGCAGTGCAGACTGGCACGTTGTCTAGTTCATGGCGTGCGGGAAAGGCACGCCAGACAGGGCATGGCACGTGAAACGCCTGGGGATGTGGGCAGCCAGTAGACTTCGGGGAACTGTAAATACACTGGATGTCGTGGGGGACGTGTCGTGAATGGAATGGGGAGTCTCCATTGTTGCGCCTGGGCTGATTCTGTTTGCCCTGGGAAGCCATTGGTGAGGTTTGTAGAAAGACCACACAGCTGACAGGATGTGGGGGGAGGAGACGGTAGGAGAGTTGGTTAGAGTTAGGTCTTAGTGTGGAGGTTGAGGCAGGAGAGAGGGTCTCAATCCAGATAACGGAAGAGACCGAAGCAGCAAAGGGGCAGAGCCAGCAGGGCCTGGGGCGAGTGACTTCACGTCCCAGGCAGGAGCATGTGGTGACATGCGGGGAAGCTGGGGACACCGGTTTTGCAGGGGAAGCGTCAGTTTCATGTTGACCTGCGCGTAGCCGTGGAGGCCAGGGACAGGTGTGGTGAGCTGAGTGACTGGCCCGCACGGTGGGAGGTGGGGGTGTGACACATGTGCTCCTGTCACAGCCAGCGCTCCCAAGTCTCTGAGAAGTTCCTGGACCTCCGAGGAAGAGGCCGGCTCTGCAGCCGCGAGGCAGGAGGAGGTGTGGCCAGCGCTGGGCGACCGGAGCCTGGTGCCCATGGTGGAGCAGCTGTTCTCCCACCTGCTGAAGGTGATCAACATCTGTGCTCACGTCCTGGACGATGTGGCGCCTGGGCCGGCAGTCAAGGTAGAGTCTTGCCAGTGAGGGTAACCGCCGTTTTCATACGGACTCCGAGATCCCTCGTCCCTTCCTTAATCTTTGCTTTCAGTGAGCAGAATTGCTCACACCGGGACTTGCATTTAGCATCAAACCTTGACCATCTACTCATCGTCTCTTTGGTATTACTTGTGAATCTTCCCTTCAGAGGGAAATAGCAGCTTTATGTTTCGGCTTTCAGCTTTAGCCAACAAGGCTCCCAATGGAAGTTGCTGGCTTACATACCTCATTTGCTCTCTCCGTAAATGTTGGCAAACTTGTGCTTTTCTGTGAAGTGCAGGTCCGTAAAAAGCCCCTTCAGAGCACAGTGGAGATAGCGTAGGTGGGCTCCCTTTTATTCGTGTGGGTGTAGAAGTTGCTGATCCTTTCCCACGTCTCTGTCATGGAGACGTGCCTCCAGCGCCACTCTGCTGCCACTGCTCAGTCTCCTCGCTCCCTTACCGCAAACTCCAGCGAAGTGGCTCTGCCTCCCGGCCTGAAGCCCAGAGCTTCCCACTGCCCTCGGAGGAACTTCTCTGGGAGGCTTCTTGGCCCTGAGCTGCCAGACTCTGTCCGTGCCTCGGCCATCTGTCTCTAAGCCCTGCCGGCATGATTTCTGCCGCCACACCCGCAGCAGGTCTTCCCCCGCAGATGTGTGCTCAGAGCTCAGCTGTCCTTCCACAGCTGCTCTCAGTGGCACCACCCCCATCGGGAGTGCTCTTTCCTACCTCTGTCCTGGCTCGCTTTCTCCTCACACGTGCTCTGTGCTAGCCCTCTGCGCTTTGGGCCAGTGCCACCCAGCAGCAGTGTCTGCAGGAGTGAAAATGCTCCCTGTCTACACCAGCCGGTACAGTGGCCACTGGGCTCCTGAAATGTGGCTGGTGTGACGCAGGAACTGACTTCCCTTTGCTCAGTTTTCATTAGATTCAACTGGCCACCTGTGGATAGTGGCTCATTATTGGACAGGGCAGCTTGAGGGAGTCAGGGCTGCCCCCTGTCTCAGTGGCTTTGGAACCGTAGCCCAGCAGGCCAGTGGACTCAGCATCCGTCCTGTTCTGCCAGGCTGGGAACGGAGCATTTGCACGCGCGACCCCTGTGCTTCCCAGCCAGATGCTTACAGAAACGTGCATGCGCAGCGCACACGGGCACCTGCGTGTGCACACACACCCTTCTCTGGTGCAGCATTTATCTCACTGTGCCCATTTTACAGACCAGGCTCAGAGGTGTAGGCTGCTGTCACAGAAGGCCGTGGCCCAGGTGACTTCGAAACAATGGAAATTTATTTCTCGTTGTGCCAGGCGGTCTCAGTGCTGCAGGTCCAGGTTCTCGGGGAAGCGTCTTGCTGTATCCTCAGGTGGCAGGAGGGCGAGGGAGTTGTGTTTTGTTTCTCTTTATAATGGAGCTAATCCCATTCCCAAGTTCTCCACCCTCATGGCCTGAGTTCTCCGGAACACCCTGTCCCCCGAGGCCGGCAGCTGTTGGGGGCCAGGATCTTGAGAGTGAATTGGGGAACACGGACACTGAGCCTTGAGCAGGCACTTTCATAGAGGAGGCAGGGCGTGAGCGGCAGAGCTGGGGTCTGTAGCCCCTGTCTGCGCCGCCTCATCACTGACTGGTCCTGCAGTGTGCTGCAGCGTGAGGGCCTCAGCAGCCAGCCCCTCGCATGCTGTGGGTCTGGAGGAATGTGTGGGTGTCTTGGGTGCACTGGGGCTGTCGACCTCTGGCTTTACTGCTTCCCAGCCGTCACTTCAGCCCTGAGTCTGCTTCCATGTTTGAAAATTGGAGTTTGAAATTCTGCTTTGCACCTGCGGCTGTGGGATGGTGCTGTGGCTCCCATGATTCCTTGCCATTGAGGGGACAGGCCTGGGGCTCCAGTGGCTTCAGGCCCTGCTAACTCTGTGGGCTTCCTGCATTTCTAGCCCATTCACTCTGAACCTCCGAGGAAGTTCTGGTTCATCCTGATGTGTACAGTTGTCACTGACTAACAATACGTAATATTTGCACAGTTTCTGAGCCTTTAAAATGTGGGTTTAAAGAACAGACTGAGTTGTGTGGGCGACTCCCTCAGGACGTGGTGACGCCGGGTCCTGCAGTTCTGTTTCTGGGTGACTGCTGCCCACCTGTGTGCCTTCTGTTTCAGGCAGCCTTGCCTTCCCTAACAAACCCCCCTTCGCTGAGTCCCATCCGGCGGAAAGGAAAAGAGAAAGAACCAGGAGAACAAGCCTCCGCTCCCTTGAGTCCCAGGAAGGGCGGTGAGGCCGGCGCAGGTAGGAGGTGGGGCCGGAGGGCGCTGTCTCGTGGAGGGGGCGGGTTTGCACTCACATCCCTGCCAGTGTCGATAGGATGGCTTGACATTTTTTGGAAATAAAATGCACAGCAGGGATTTTCCTGGGTGTTGCAGATATTAATAACTAACTACTGGGTTCGGTGTTGTGTTGTGAGCTAAGCCTCTGTCTGTGGTGCTGGCATCCCGAACGGGCTCCCGTTTGTGTCCTGGCTGCTCCTCTTCTGATCCAGCTCTCTGCTATGGCCTGGGAAAGCGCAGTGGAAGATGGCCCAAGTGCTTGGGCCCCTGCACCTGGAAGAAGCTCCTGGCTCCTGGGTCATATTGGCCCAGCTGCAGCAGCACATTTGGGGAGCGAACCAGCACAGAGGACAACGTGGCACTGAGGCTTCAGAGCAAACGTGAAAACAGATGCCTAAGCCGTACCTGGATTGCTCGTTCTTTTTTTTTTTTTTTTGCAAGATTTATTTTATTTACTTGAAAGAGTAACTTGGATGGCTCCAAAGGCCAGGGCTGGGCCAGGCCAAAGCCAGGAAGCAGACACTCCATGCAGGCCTCCCCTGCTTTTCTGTTTGGCAGGGGACCAAACACTTGAGCCAACTTTTGCTGCTTTTTCAGTTGCAGTAGCAGGATTGGAAGTGGGGCAGCTGGGACTTGACCTGGTGCTCCTGTTGGGTGCTGGTGTCACAGGTGTTGGCTTAACCCACTGAGCTACAAAGCTGGCCCTGCTCTGCTTTTATTCCTAAGTTCTCTGGAACGCCCTGTCCTCCATGGGTTCTCAGTTCCTACTGACATTTCTTAGTCAATTTCTAATTACTTCTAATTAGGAAGTCAGGAGAAAGACTTTTTTTTAAGATTTATTTTTTAATTAATTGAAAGACAGAGTTACAGAGACAGGCAGAGACAGAGAGAAAAGTCTTCCATCTGCTGGTTCACTCTCCAGATGGCTGCAACGGCCGGAGCTGCTCCGATCAGGAGCCAGGAGCCTCCTCCAGGTCTCCCACATGGGTGCAGGGGCCCGAGGACTTGGGCCACCTTCTACTGCTTTCCCAGGCAACAGCAGAGAGCTGGATTGGAAGAGGAGCAGCCAGGACTCAATCCGGTGCCCACATGGGATGCCAGCGCTTCAGGCCAGGGCTTTAACCCACTGTGCCACTGCGCCGGCCCCAGGAGAAAGACTTTTCAAAATTGTTGTTGTCAGTAATCACTTTTAAACTTGGCAAGTTTTACTTTGATCTGAAAGTTAACTTTGTGTGTGTTTTTTAAGCCTCTAGACAATCAGATCCCCCAGGGCCCGTCACCACAAGCAAGTCCTCGTCCCTGGGGAGCTTCTGTCACCTTCCTTCGTACCTCAAATTACACGATGTCCTGAAAGCCACTCACGCCAACTACAAGGTACGCCTCAGCTGTGTGCACTGCGCAGAAGCGTGCTAATGGACTGCTGGTGTTGTCTTGGGATTTGCAGGCTGCAATGCACGTGTGCATAGGCACACACACCTTTGAATAAGGTAGCTTTAAGGATGGGAGTTACCATTAGTTTTCTCAAGTGTGTTGTTTAGTTTTGTAGCTTGTGTCAAAAAACATATTTTGAGCTTTCCTATTAGAGAAATTTTCTCTTTCATGGCGTATAGGTGTTGCGTTTGGGCTATCCAAGAGAACCTTACTTTCCGAGAGGCACTGGGACGTACGGTGGGACTTGGGGGTTGAATTAGGGAGAGCTGGTGTCCTGGATGCTGAGTCGGCTTTTCCGTTGTCCTTCTTGGGCTCTTGGTCCCCGCGTGGGAGGCTTGTCTGTTTGTTCGAAACTCCTTTTATTACCTCAGAAGCGCATGAAATTGGAAAAGTCTTTTAAAAGAATTTTAAAAATTTCATGTAGGAGCAGGTAATGTGTCATGGTGGGTAAAGCTGCCGCCTATGGTGCTGACATTCCATACTGTGCTGATTCAAGCCCAAGCTGCTCCACTTCAAATCCAGCTCTCTGCTGTGGCCTGGGAAAGCAGTGGAAGATGGCCAAGTCCTTGGGCCCCTGCACCTGCGTGGGAAGCTCCTGGCTCCTGGCTTCGGATCCGTGTAGCTCTGGCCGTTTGGAGAGTGAACCAGCAGATGGGAGACCTCTCCCTCTCTCTCTTTCTCTCTCTCTGCCTCTGCCTCTCTGTAACTCTGCCTTTCAAATAAATAAATAAATCTTTTTTTTTCTTTTTTTTTGAAAGGCAGAGTCAGACAGTGAGAGAGAGACAGAGAGAAAGGTCTTCCTTCCATTGGTTCACCCCCCAAGTAGCTGCTATGGCTGGCACATTGTGGCCGGCGCGCTGTGCCAATCCAAAGCCAGGAGCAGGTGCTTCCTCCTGGTCTCCCATGGGGTGCAGGGCCCAAGGACCTGGTCCATCCTCCACGGCACTCCCAGCCCACAGCAGAGAGCTGGACTGGAAGACGGGCAACCAGGACAGAATCTGGCGCCCCAACTGGGACTAGAACCTGGGGTGCTGGTGCCGCAGGTGGAGGATTAGCCTAGTGAGCCGCAGCGCCAGCCAATAAATAAATCTTCAAAAAAAAAAAATCATTTCATATAGATTTTGCACATTTCTTGATAGATAAGTCTCTAGATATTCTGTTGTTGTTTTTGATTGATTGATTTGCTTTGAAAAACAGAGTGACAGAGGGTCTTCTATATACTGGTTCACTCCCCAAATGGCTGCAACAGCTGAGACTGGACCAAGCTGAAACCAGGAGCCTAGAACTCCATTCTGATCTCCCACGTGGGTGGCAGGCATCCAAGTTCTTGGGCCATTTCTGCTGCCTTCCCAGGCACATTAGCAGGGAGCTGCATCAGAAGTGGAGCAGCCGGGACCCAGGCTGGCGCATTCCAATATGAGATGTGGTGCTCCAAGCCGCTGCCTAACCCACTGAGCCACAACACCTGCTCCTCGTCTGTTTTGTTATTAAAAGATACTTCTCATTAAAAAACAAAGTTGTAAGCCTCATATGGCTTCTTTCTGAAGGCTTTCGGTAATTATGAAGGATAAAAATCTTCAACTCACTTTACAAAAGCTTTGGGGCCTCAGTTTACCTGCCTGTTCCTCGCATTCTCATTCCCAAAGCAGAAGGTGCCCCTTAGCGAAGGCGTCTCTTCTCTGTTCCCAGCTCACCGCGTCTTCAGTTCTGGCCCCCTTCCTGTGCTCCCAGAGTGTCTGTCGCGTCTGTCATTGTCCTGCCTCAGCGTGCCAGCCTCCTAGAAGCTCTCGATGCCCGTGTTCTGCACCCTTTGCCTGTCCAGCTCGTGAGCTGCCGCGCGGCTGTTGGCACTGCTCCGTTCCTCTCCCCTGTGCGAGCTGCTGCGCGGCTCTTCCTCCCATGTGCGCGTAGCGCCTGCCTGCTGGCTTCTTTGATTTCCAGGTCTCCTCAGGACTTGTGCCGCGCCTGTCATGCCAGGGCTGTCCTACCAAGATGGGAGACAGGCCTTCCAGGGGCGCTGCACGCTGGAGGCATCCTGTCTTCTCTGAGAAGGAGGGATTGCTGTGCTGGCCAGTGGGGAGCCCCTCTCCCTGGGCTCTTGATCCCTGTGTGATGTCACCCCTCACCCGCACCTGGCGTCCCCTGTTGTCTCCCTGCTGGGTGCCTGTGCTCTCCCCAGGCCTGTTGGGCACACGCAGGTTGACTGTGGTGCAGCCATGGCTCAGATCCATATACACTTGCATCCTCTATGTCCGTCTCCCACTTGCTTCCTTTGCCTCTGCTCAGAGCATGTGTGCTCTCCTCACAGGGAGTTAGACTGAAGTTCACGGAGCAGACTTTTCTATCTGCCGGCATGCTTTTCCCAATGTTTTATTTTCACCTTTGTTCTTGTACATTATGTCTGTGGTTCTGACCCGTTCTTAGAGTCTGTAACATAAGGGGATTGCCGCATAGTTTAGTTACACTGAGTCCCTTAGACTATTAATAAGACAGAGTTAACATGTTGTTGTAGCCACACTGAACAATGGATCTGAATTTGATAATGGCTTCCCCTAGGGATCCTGGTATGTGTGAGATTAGGATTTTCGGTTTGTTAATATTCCACCTATCAGCACCTTGCTCGAAGCCTTTGAACATAACGGTATCTGGATAGCTACAAGGAGAATCTCCTTTCCCAGTAGTGAGTGTGCAGCCGCGCAGCCTCCGCTGAGATAGCCAGCATGTCGCAGCGCCGTAACCGAGTGCTGTCTCGTCCCTTCCCAAGGTGACCCTGGACCTGCAGAACAGCTCGGAGAAGTTCGGGGGGTTCCTGCGCTCCGCCTTGGACGTCCTCTCGCAGCTCCTGGAGCTGGCCACACTTCAGGACATCGGGAAGGTCTGTGCTTCGTCTGCCTCTGGAGCTGGCCCGGGCTCTCTAGGAAGGTGCAGGGAGCAGCAGCAGATTGGGAACACTGCCAGTCCCATCTCCTGTCCTGCGGCCTGGCCACGCGCCCCGCGAGGGAAGGTTCTGTTTGTATCCTGTTTGTTAGTTTGTTGCCATACATTAGCTTAGACCCAGTTTATTGTAGATAATTTGTGGGTTTAAAAATGTCCTTTATTTTCTTAATCGATCTTTTCCAGTGAAAGGGACAAATCAGGTTCCATGAGTGTGTGTGGCTTGTTCTTTGCTTCTAAGTGCAGTAACCTCCCGCCCTGCTCCTGTTCCATAATGAAAGTGCTTTAACAGCAAAGTTAGGACAATGCTGTGCGTTTTTTAATTGCTAGAGTTTCGCTAGACATGCTTTATTGTGTATAAATACGTGTTAACAAGTGTGTGTGCAGGACACACCATTTCAAGGTGAGTTACAGGTCACTGCCCCTTCCAAACAGGTGGATCTTTTGAAGTTTGCTTGTTTTCATCTCTAGACTTTTGTCCTTATCTTGATGCACAGAGGTTTTCCTAGTTTCCCTTGTGCGTTCTGCCATAAGACACGTTAGTGGATGCACACGTCATACCTAGTGGCTGTGTTGTGTACACCCGTCCCCTCAGAGCGGAGCTTATGCAGGGCCTTCCCGCCCGTCCTGTCGAGGCTCCCAGGACCCATGGCAGCATCAGCGTGCCATTTGCTTACTTGATTTCTGTGTCTTCAGTGCGTGCGGCCGTGCCTGGGGGACCACAGCAGTGAGTGAACACTGGTTGAGTGCATGGCGCGTGTCGGTTGTGTCAGGGCCATGCTGTCTGTGAGGGAGCTGCTGTCAGCCCATTTCATACCAGGATTTCGAGGGATACGAATTCTCAGGGCCAGATGAGTTCATGGCAGGGCCCAGCTTAAAGCCACAGCGTTTCAGCTCTTCTCTGCTGAACTGTGGCTTTGTGTCCCCCTGAGTCCCCAGGCAGGAGGGCACGTCCGGTCTTTCTCTCCCCACTTTGGGTAGCAGTGGAAGTATTTCTGTGTTTTTTTGGATACTAATATTTGCAGCAGGGCCATGGTTCCCTACTGCTCTGTAGCTCTCAGAAGGCCCCAAACTTCACCCTTTTGTCCCTGTTTTCAGGATTCAGTTTAGCTTCTAGCGCACCGAGCATTCCCTACCTGTGTATCAAGAGACATAGTGCTTTGTTAGACAGATTTTTTTTATTAAAGATTTTTATTTATTTGAATGGCAAGGTTATATAGAGACAGAAAGAGGGAGACAGGTCTTCTATCTGCTGGTTCACTCCCCAAATGCCTACAATGGCAAGAGCTGTGCCAATCGAAAACCAGGAGCCAGGAGCTGCTTCTGAGTCTCCCACTTGGGTGCAGGGGCCAAAGCACTTGGGCCATCTTCTGTGGCCTTCGCAGGCCATAACAGAGAGCTGGTTTGGAAGTGGAGCAACCTGGTCTTGAACCGGTGCCCATATGGGATACTAGCACTGCAGGCAGCGGCTTTACCTGCTACACCACAGCGCTGGCCCTTAGACAAATTGTGACTCAGAAGTTCTAGTTATGATTGTTCAGTTATCATTTATTAGTTATTTGTAACCAACAAAAGTCTGTTTTTTAGCACAGGAGATTACATCACACAGATGAATAGGGAGGCACTTCCAGGCTTATGTTGTCTGCTTCCAGCAGTTAGCAATAAACAGTGACTCATGGATAGTTGGGCAGTGGGCAGCCTGCTGCTGATTCAGAGTTGTGGATGGGTGGTTTTGTAGATGGAGGGTTAGCTTCTCCTTCCGTCTTCAGCCTTCAGAAAGGTACTGGGTGCTGGGAACTTCATTTCTGACCATGGAAAAATAACTGAGAATAGTGACCCGAAGGTAGTCGTTGTGGTCATTCTTGTGGACTGCTGCGCCGGACTTGTAGAACTGAGTCATACCGCATCCTGTGCGCATGCGTTGTGTGTTGTGTTCTTTACATCTCCATGAACTCAGGGCTTTTAACTGCTCTTCACACTCTGTTCCCCCTGAAGACAGGCCTGGATGCGTGGTGGAGAGTACACACCCAGTCACTATGTATTGAGTGCATGAGTGAGAGAAGGGGTACCCACACCCAGGAATCCTTGCGTTTTAAGATTTTTTTATTGACTGTTGAAAGTGGCAAATTGAAACCCTTGCTCTGATTGTCTTTGATGTTTGGCGAGTACACATGGAAGCTGTCTTGTGTCTGGTTTCTGGTTGAGATACACAGGGTAGTGGATCATCTGTGAGTCACTGAGTGTCCTGCCATTATTTGCACAGTGTGTGGAAGAGATCCTTGGATACCTGAAATCCTGCTTCAGTCGAGAACCGACGATGGCGACAGTCTGTGTCCAGCAGGTAAGAACACCCGCAGGCTTAGCGGGAAACACTGCTTGGCTTCAGCAGCTGGTGCTGGCGGTGTGGTCAGGAGAAAGAGCTGGGTGGTCTGAACTGTCTGTCTTGGTCTTTCCATGATGGGGCCAAGTGAGGGTGAAATCCATCGCTGTGGAGAGCAGAGGATGTTTCAACGCTCACTGGGTCCTTGCTGCTTAACCGTTGTCTTCCTGTCCCTCTGGGGTTTGTTTAGAACTGTCAGTTTCAGGGCTGGTGCTGCGGCATAGCAGGTTAAGCCACTGTCTGCAATCCTGGATCCCATGTGGGTGCTGGTTTGAGTCCTGGCTGCTCCACTTCCTGGGAAAGCAAAGGAGGATGGCCCAAGTGCTGGGCCTCTGCTTGCTTGTGGGAGACCTGGAGGAGTCTCCTGGCTCCTGGCTTTGGCCTGGCCCAGCCCTGGCTATTGTGGCAATTTTTTGGGAGTGAACCAGAGGATGGAAAATCTCTCTTTTTAATTTATATATCTGTTTCTCCCTTCCTCTCTCTCTCTCTGTCTCTCTCCCTCTGACTCTGCCTTTCAAATGAATAAAAAGGAAAAAAAAAAAAGCAAACCAGTCTCATTGAGTGCCACAGAGAAACCCAAGATTGATCTCGGGTTTGTGCAGCGCTTCTAGCCGAGTTACTTGTTCACAGCAGTCCTAGTGAAAATATCACGTGCTGTGTCTGTGCTGACACACCCACTCACTGATGGACTTGGTAGCTGGGCAGCAGCTCCAGATACCGCTCGAGCGACATGAAGTCACATATTGACTGTCCACTCTTTATCGCCCTAGCTGTTGAAGACTCTCTTTGGGACGAACTTGGCCTCCCAGTTTGATGGCGTATCTTCCAACCCCAGCAAGTCTCAAGGCCGAGCACAGCGCCTTGGCTCCTCCAGCGTGCGGCCGGGCTTGTATCACTACTGCTTCATGGCCCCCTACACCCACTTCACGCAAGCCTTAGCTGACGCCAGCCTGCGGAACATGGTGCAGGCGGAGCAGGAGCATGACACGTCAGGGTAAAGGTCGCGGGGGAGCGTCGTGCTGGGAGACTCGCAGATGAGCGAGCAGGGTACTTGGGAAGGAGGGGGAAGTCCAGAGGAGCTCGCTGGTGTGTTCCGGTCATGGACTGTGCTCAGAGAACTCGGGAGGCAGGGTGGGTGCCTGGACGAGGCGGGCACAGCCAGGGGCTGGGCTTTGGGGGACCGTCCCAGCTCAGAGGGAGCGGGGAGTCCTCAGCGGCTGTCCACCCCCACTCTGTGCCGGCAGACCAGGCGGCACCATGGAGTGTCCTCACGCCCCGGGAGCTTGTGCTGATCCTCACGTGCTTATCAGTGCTGCTTCCCTGTGTGGTGACGTGTTACATGTTGGTGATGCTTTTCAGGTCTGTAATGTGAAAAAGCCGCTTCAACATGGCGCAGTAATGCTAGTTAGAGAGATCTGCAGGTATAAGAGTCTTGGGTATTGCTTGGTTGTTTTCTAAACTTTATGGCTTAAGGTATTTTTTCACTTAAATCTTTGTTAGTGTTTTTGATACACAGACCTCTGTAGGTGTTTCTTAAATTACCGTAATTATTGTCGGGTATTTCATTTGCTATGCTGTGTAGTAACAGAATTTCTTTCATGAATGTGATCAAACAGCCACAACTAAAACCCTAGAGTCACGAATCAAAGAAAACGCTCGTGTCCTAGGCTTTATGGTGGTGATATACTTACTTCATGTCCGCAATTCAGAAACACGTCTACCTAAAAGTGTAACATGGGGGCCGGTGCTGTGGCGTAGCAGGTGAAGCCACCACCTGCAGTGCCACCATCCCATATGGGCGCCAGTCCGAGACCCGGCCGTTCCACTTCCGATCCAGCTCTCTGCTATGGCCTGGGAAAGCAGTGGAGGATGGCCCAAATCCTTGGGCCCCTGCACACGCATGGGAGACCTGGAAGAAGCTCCTGGCTCCTGGCTTCAGATCGGCACAGCTCCAGCCGTTGTGGCCAGTTGTGGAGTGAACCATCGGATAGAAGACCTCTCACTCTCTGCCTCTCCTCTCTCTGTGTAACTCTGACTTTCAAATAAATAAAAGTAAATCTTAAAAAAAAAGAAAAAGAAAAAAAATGTGATCACGTGGGGCATCAGTAAATAAGCAGGTGCATGTATGCGTGTTACGTCTTTTAATTTAAAATGTATTTCTTCAAAAGAAAAGGACATAGTTGCTGTACATTTTAAAAATAATTTCTGTTTATCTTATTTATTTGAAAGGCAAAGAGACAGAGATCTCCCATCTTCTGGTTCATTCCCCAGATGCCCATAACAGAGCAGCTGGGCCAGGACAGGATCAGGAGCCAGAACTCAGACAGGTCTCCCAGATGGATGGCAGGAACCCAGCTACCTGAGTCACCCCAGCTGCCTCGCTGGGCACACATTAGGAGGGAGCTGGTGTCTGGAGTGGAGCCAAGACTCAATTCCAGGCCCTCGGATACGGGTTGTGGGGTTCCAAGTGGTATCTTAACCACTACACCAAATACCCACCCCTGTGTAAAGAAAGTCTTTATCCCTAAGAGTGTCAAGGGAGGTCTTCCAAATTCCTGCACCTTTCCCTCACGTCCTGCTGGAGACCTGGCTGTGCATGGGTTTCTCGTGGCTCACACTTGATCAGTCTCCTACAGGTTGCAAGGCGTGGTGCCCAAGAGCATACGGTTGCTACACTGAGCGGCCTTGGGGTTCTTTTTTGTTCTGACATGTTCTGACTTGTGAGGGTGAAGTTGGTGAGCTGGAGTAGAGCTGTGTACGGAGATTACGTAAAGATTTTTCTTTCCTGTTTGGCAGATGGTTTGATGTACTGCAGAAAGTGTCTACGCAATTGAAGACAAACCTCACGAGTGTCACAAAGAACCGTGCAGATAAGGTGAATCGATGTCCCTGCGGGGTGAGCAGGCTGGTGACCAGGAGTGCAAGTCTCGCTTGAGACTTTGCAGATCGGCTGCTGGAAGCCGAGAGTTGAGGACTCACTGTGGACTTTCTGCTGTCTTCCTAGAATGCTATTCATAATCACATCCGTTTATTTGAGCCTCTTGTCATCAAAGCGCTGAAACAGTACACCACGACGACCTCGGTGCAGTTACAGCGGCAGGTTCTAGATTTGCTGGCACAGCTGGTTCAGCTGCGAGTTAATTACTGTCTTCTGGATTCAGATCAGGTTTGTCACGTAATCTTTTCTTCACCATACCTATTCCTAATTCAGTGAAAATGACTGTCAAAAGACGTTAGAGAAATGCGGCATTTGCCTTCCCCCTCTCCCCCCTCTGCTGCCTCTTACCTACTGGATGCTGTTACTGCTGCAGAAAGCCTGGCGTGCAACAGGGAGGCCTCCGCCCAGGCTGAGCTGTGCCCTGGGAGGGTTGGCCTTTAGCACCTTGGACTTTCCCTCCCCGCCAGTCCTGTGAGCTGAATGCAGAGTCGTTGTTTTGGTGATGTGCTTTCAAATGCAGTTGGTCACCTGTGGTTAGCAGCCGCCAGCAATCCAGGCAGTTAGCTCACCTCTCCCCAAAGGCCCGAGACTCCAGGTGGGAGCTGTGTGGCGGCACGCAGGAAGTTCCTCCCAGACACCTCACCTTCTGCTGTGGTGGCTGTGGCTGGAGGTTCTGGCGGACCCTGTCCATCCCCAGTGCAAAGTCCTTTCAAACAAGAGCCATGCATTAAGTGCATTGCAACAGAGTTGCCATGAAATGAGCTGTGACCCTGAGCTGCTTCTCTGTGTAGTTAGGGAATTTCCACAGGTAGAAACACTGTCCTCTCCCTCCCTCCTAGACTCTCCTACACCTGCAGATGTGGTCCTCAGGGTACACACTGTCCTCTCCCTGTCCTAGACTCATACACCTGCAGATGTGGTCCTCAGGTACACACTGTCCTCTCCTCCCTCCTAGACTCTCCTACACCTGCAGATGTGGTCCTCAGGGTACACACTGTCCTCTCCCTGTCCTAGACTCATACACCTGCAGATGTGGTCCTCAGGTACACACTGTCCTCTCCTCCCTCCTAGACTCTCCTACACCTGCAGATGTGGTCCTCAGGGTACACACTGTCCTCTCCCTGTCCTAGACTCATACACCTGCAGATGTGGTCCTCAGGTACACACTGTCCTCTCCTCCCTCCTAGACTCATACACCTGCAGATGTGGTCCTCAGGTACACACTGTCCTCCCCTCCCTCCTAGACTCATACACCTGCAGATGTGGTCCTCAGGGTACACACTGTCCTCTCCCTGTCCTAGACTCATACACCTGCAGATGTGGTCCTCAGGTACACACTGTCCTCTCCTCCCTCCTAGACTCCTACACCTGCAGATGTGGTCCTCAGGGTACACACTGTCCTCTCCTCCCTCCTAGACTCATACACCTGCAGATGTGGTCCTCAGGTACACACTGTCCTCTCCTCCCTCCTAGACTCATACACCTGCAGATGTGGTCCTCAGGTACACACTGTCCTCTCCTCCCTCCTAGACTCCTACACCTGCAGATGTGGTCCTCAGGGTACACACTGTCCTCTCCTCCCTCCTAGACTCATACACCTGCAGATGTGGTCCTCAGGTACACACTGTCCTCTCCTCCCTCCTAGACTCTCCTACACCTGCAGATGTGGTCCTCAGGGTACACACTGTCCTCTCCTCCCTCCTAGACTCTCCTACACCTGCAGATGTGGTCCTCAGGTACACACTGTCCTCTCCTCCCTCCTAGACTCTCCTACACCTGCAGATGTGGTCCTCAGGGTACACACTGTCCTCTCCTCCCTCCTAGACTCATACACCTGCAGCTGTGGTCCTCAGGGTACACACTGTCCTCTCCTCCCTCCTAGACTCATACACCTGCAGATGTGGTCCTCAGGGTACACACTGTCCTCTCCTCCCTCCTAGACTCTCCTACACCTGCAGATGTGGTCCTTAGGGTACACACTGTCCTCTCCTCCCTCCTAGACTCATACACCTGCAGATGTGGTCCTCAGGGTACACACTGTCCTCTCCTCCCTCCTAGACTCTCCTACACCTGCAGATGTGGTCCTCAGGGTACACAGTGTCCTCTCCCTGTCCTCCTAGACTCATACACCTGCAGATGTGGTCCTCAGGGTACACACTGTCCTCTCCTCCCTCCTAGACTCTCGTGCACCTGGAGACGGGGTCCTTTGGGTGCAACTGTCCTTTCCTCCTTACTAGAGTCGTACAAATGCAGGAGTGGTCCTCAGGGTGCACACTTACCTCTCCTCCCTCCGAGACTCTCCTACACCTGCAGATATGGTCCTCAGGGTACACAGAGTCCTCTCCCTGTCCTCCTAGACTCATACACCTGCAGATGTGGTCCTCAGGGTACACACTGTCCTCTCCTCCCTCCTAGACTCATACACCTGCAGATGTGGTCCTCAGGGTACACACTGTCCTCTCCCTCCCTCCTAGACTCTCCTACACCTGCAGATGTGGTCCTCAGGTACACACTGTCCTCTCCTCCCTCCTAGACTCATACACCTGCAGATGTGGTCCTCAGGTACACACTGTCCTCTCCCTCCCTCCTAGACTCATACACCTGCAGATGTTGACAGCGCCTTATGGTGTGGGGTCTGACGTGCCCAGGCTGCACAGGACACGTGTTCAAGACGCCCATCTCTCCATGGGAGGGGGTGTGATGGGGTTAACTGGAAGTGAAACAGGAACACAGAACTCGGCTTGCCCCTGCCTGAGGTTTCTAATTCCTTTTCCAAAAGCCGTGAGAGGAAAATCCCTGTACGGCCCTTTCCTTCCGTGGGAGCACGCTCATTGCAGAACTTCCTTCCCTTCCCTTTGACACAGGAGTCTGGGGCAGGGCCCACGCGGGAGCCCTGGTCTGAGCCGAGGAGGAGCAGCTGTAGGTGGGCATGATGGCATCAGGGCCACACCAGTGCGCTGCGGTGGTGCTGTGGCGAGGCCCCCTCAGAGGCTGGGTCTGTTCCCCCGCACTTCCCGGTTCTCATGTGGGTGGAAACTGATGTGTTCATGTGGCCATGGCCCATTCGCTGTTTCCTTGGGGCTACTTTGTAAAGGAAGTAGGCACCTTCTCCCAGAGGACTGGCAGGTAGCCTCGACTGTTCTGTGTATAGTCATTACACCTCGAGCCTTTTTTCAGAAATGGAATCATTTTTGTTGCTTTTCTGTCATTCTGAAATCTCCATCTGACACATGAGTGCTGAGAGGACAGCCTGGCTCTGCGAATGTGCCCAGCACCCTTGGCTGGCCTCAAGCCAGCAGAGCTGGTGCCCAGGAGCAGGTGCTTAGCTTAGTGGTTGAGACATTGCACATTGCAGTACCTGGATTCAGTTCCTGCCTCTGGCTCTTGACTCCAGCTTCCTGAGGATGGCTCAAGTCCTTGAATTTCTGCCACCTGCGCAGGGACCCTGGCTTGAGTCCCCAGTTCCTGACTTGCACCCTAGCCCAATGCTAGCTGTTACGGGCATTTTGGGAGTGAACAGCAACATGGGAAGTTTCTCTGTCTGTCACACAAGAATCGCCACACCCAGCCCGCTGCACTTGGTGGTGCCATCCAGTGCCTTTCCCCCGCTTGTTAGCATGCAGTGCCGTGGTTTCATGACAAGAACAGAAAGCCGTTATCTTCAGTTAGATAACGACCTGCTGGGCGCCTGCTGTGGGCCTGCTTCGTGCCCAAGGTTCCCTCGGTGCATGCTCTCTGGTGGGCAGAAGGTGGCTGTGGCCCAAGGCTGCTCTCATCCAGCGCTGGACAGAGATGGACTGACCTGGGCATTGAGAGTAAGCCAGTGCCAGGCAGTGCGTGCTGCCTGGTTTGTCATTGCCTGGAACGACTGAGACCTCGGGGGGATATTGGGTGCTGCCTGCTGGGTTTTTCCAGTGCGATCTCACCTCAGTGTGTAGCAGACTTGTCTTCAGAGCGATTTCTGGAAGTATCCTGCAGATATGCGGTCTGACTTCAGAGCAGATGTGAGTTCTGGAGTGTAGACCAGTCACGTGCTCAGGGAGTGGTTGGCACTTCACGCAGATGGCCGGCAGACAAGCCTGGCGCGTTCCCGTCACTGACACCGAGCTCTGTTCCCGCGCAGGTGTTCATCGGGTTTGTGCTGAAGCAGTTTGAGTACATGGAAGTGGGCCAGTTCAGGTACCTGCGCCTCGCCGCCGCCGCAGACTCCGCTGCTTGTGTGCACTGACACTGTAGATGAGTACACGGACCTTTTCCTTAAAATGCTCTCAGGCGCTTTCGCTGTTTCTTTAAGAAATGGAAATCTGCTGATCATGCTGTACATCTTTCTCTTGAAAAGCTAGTGAGTTAAATATCTCAGGACTTGTGCAGCGCGAGTTCTGCGTCTGGCAGTCAGACTTGTCCGTCTTCATTTCCCTTTGAAAGCGTTGATTATGGTGCTAGGTTGCTGGATGACTCCCATCTCAGAGCGCTCACTGTAAAGTCCTCTTAGAGAGAGGATTTGCAGATAAGGCTGCCTTGAGTAATTATTAGGAACTGTACATTAACTGCAGCTTTTCCTTGCTAGAAGATAAGTACTTTTTGCTATGTCTGTTATAGGTTTACAAGTATAATTATTGAAAATTAAGGTTCTCTGGTTTCTGGGGTCCCTGACAAATAGGGAAACGTAGTGCAGAGGTCATGTGCAGATAGAATCCGGGGGGCAGGAGACCCAGAAATACCTTGACTGTGAGTTGGGGCAAATGACTGTCTATCCTTTAAGTCTCAGTTTCTTCAAGTGTGCAGGGGCACAGGAGACCCAAAAGCACTGCCTGTCTTGGCTGTGCAGGGCTGTCAGGGCTGCGTGGCACAAAGCTGTGTGTGGGTCAGAGACGGGACAGGAGCAGAGCTCTGTGTGGGGGCGGAGACGGGACAGGACAGGCAGGAGCTGTGTGAGGGGTGGAGACGGGACAGGACAGGCAGGAGCTGTGTGTGGGTCAGAGACGGGACAGGAGCAGAGCTCTGTGTGGGGGCGGAGACGGGACAGGACAGGCAGGAGCTGTGTGAGGGGTGGCAACGGGACAGGACAGGCAGGAGCTGTGTGTGGGTCAGAGACGGGACAGGAGCAGAGCTCTGTGTGGGGGCGGAGACGGGACAGGACAGGCAGGAGCTGTGTGAGGGGTGGAGACGGGACAGGACAGGCAGGAGCTGTGTGTGGGTCAGAGACGGGACAGGAGCAGAGCTCTGTGTGGGGGCGGAGACGGGACAGGACAGGCAGGAGCTGTGTGAGGGGGCAGAGACAGGACAGGACAGGCAGGAGCTGTGTGTGGGTCAGAGACGGGACAGGAGCAGAGCTCTGTGTGGGGGCGGAGACGGGACAGGACAGGCAGGAGCTGTGTGAGGGGGCAGAGACAGGACAGGACAGGCAGGAGCTGTGGGGCGGGGGTGGAGACGGGACAGGACAGGCAGGAGCTGTGGGGCGGGGGTGGAGACGGGTCGGGGCGGGCAGGAGCTCTCCGAGGCCCCAGCTCAGTGTACACTCTCAGGTTATCTATGCTGTTTGTACTGATTATGTTTCATAATTTAAAAAAAGAAATGTCTAAATGGATGTTTTTGTTTCCAGGGAATCAGAGGCAATTATTCCAAACATCTTTTTCTTCCTGGTATTACTGTCTTATGAGCGCTATCATTCCAAACAGATCATTGGGATTCCCAAAATCATTCAGCTCTGTGATGGCATCATGGCCAGTGGCAGGAAGGCTGTGACACACGGTAACGGGACACACCTTTCCCTGTGGTCTTCAGTGTCGTGATGGGCTCTACGGTGTTAGTCTCTTTACACCCATGTTCAACTGTGTAGACAGTGCCTGGCTTTGCAGGCTGAGTGTGTGTGCCTGCGCTGGTTAGAGATGTTTTAGAAAAGTGGAGGACACAATCTATGTTTAGGAGTTCATAATCTACTTAGGGAAAGAAATCTAAGAAATGGTAAAATGGTCTAATGTAAGTATCCCTGTTTGTCAGTGTAGAACACAAAATTGTATTGATTTATTTGAAAGAGAGAGCTCCCATCTGCTGGTTCCCTCCCCAAGGCCCCCAGTGGACCCAGGCTGTGCCAGGTGCTGAATCAAAGGGCCAGAAACTCAATCCAGGTCTCCACATGGGGGAAAGGAATCCAGTTAACTCGAGCCTTCACCACTTCCTCACGGGGCCTACACAGTAGGAAGCTGGAGTCAGGAGCTGGACCCAGGTTTAGATGATCTGCAGTGTAGACATCCTGATTGGCATCTTAGCCATAAGAAAATGCCTGTTCCAGAAAAGGGTTTTTTGCTGTTTGTTTTTTTAAAAGACTTACTTATTTTAAAGAACTACAAAGAGGGAAAGACAGACAGAGATCTTCTACCTGCTGGGCCACTCCCCACGTGGCCACAACAACTGGGGCTGGGCCAGGCAGAAGCCAGGAAACAGGAACTCCACGCGGGTCTCCTGTGTGAGTGAAAGGGTCTAGGCAGATGGGCTGCCTTCTGCCTTCTGAGACACATCAGCAGGAAGCTGGTTTGGAAGTGGAGCAGCCCGGTGCTAACCAGCACTCTGAAGTGGGATGCTGGCATTGCAGTCAGAGGCTTAACCTGGGGCAGCACGGTGGTGACTCCCATGCCCCACAAACGCGACGTGAAATCTGACTTGCCGTAAACCAGCTTCATTTCTTCTCTGGTGTATTGGAGGGTATAGTTTGGGCTTGATTCAGGACTTTCTCTTTTTCCTGGCTATTTTTGAGCTTAAATAAGGACCATAGAAAATGGTCAGCTGCTCAGGCAGCTCCCTTTACATGTGGTGTGAGGTGATGTGGTTTTAAGAATCACTTGTAGGCTGGCGCCGCGGCTCACTAGGCTAATCCTCCGCCTAGCGGCGCCGGCACACCGGGTTCTAGCACCCGTTGGGGCGGCGGAATTCTGTCCCGGTTGCCCCTCTTCCAGGCCAGCTCTCTGCTGTGGCCAGGGAGTGCAGTGGAGGATGGCCCCAGTGCTTGGGCCCTGCACCCCATGGGAGACCAGGAGAAGCACCTGGCTCCTGGCTCCTGCCATCAGATCAGCGCGGTGCGCCGGTCACAGCGCGCCGGCCGCGGTGGCCATTGGAGGGTGAACCAACGGCAAAGGAAGACCTTTCTCTCTGTCTCTCTCTCTCACTATCCACTCTGCCTGTCAAAAAAAAAATATATTAAAAATAAAAAAGAATCACTTGTAAATCTTTTTTTGAACTTGTTGAATTGATTTTTTTTTTAAGATTTATTTATTTAAAGGCAGATTTACAGAGAGAGAGAGGGAGAGAGATCTTCCATCTGCTAGTTCACTCCCCAGGTGGCTGCAATGGCTGGAGCTGGGCCAGTCCCAAGCCAGGAGCAAGGAGCTTCTTCCCAGTCTCCTACGTGGGTGCAGGGGCCTAACCACTTGGACCATCTTGCGCTGCTTTCCCAGGTCATTCGCAGGGAGCTGGATTGGAAGTGGAGCAGCCAGGGCTTGAACTGGCAGCCATATGGGATGCCCAGGTCATAGGCAGCGACTTTACCTGCTCTGCCACACCGCCGGCTCATAAATTGATCTACCTTTTCCCTACTGACTTCTCTCGGCTCCTCTGCAGGAATCTACACGCTTTTGAACTTTGGTAGGGACATATCCTAAGACCCGTAGAAACCCCTAAATGTGAAAATGTCATGGCCACTTAGTGCTGTCCATCTGTAGGAGAGTGTAGACCAGGCCAAGTGAGCGCAGAGGCTGGGGTGCCTTCTGGATCTCCTGACCAGCTAAGCCAGTCGTCTCAGCCACGGCCTCACAAGGGCTCAGTGGGGACAGAGTATTCATATGTAGCATCTCGGCCACCGGATTTAGCAGAAAATGCAAATGTCAAATACCAGACATCATCCACAGCTCTGCAGCAGCCACACACCTGCATACTCGCCCACCTGACGTCAAGGCACCCTGATGCCGAGGATCTTCAGAGAGCACCTTGGGCAGCCATACGCTGAGTTTAGCACTGGAAAACTAAATCATCTGTCTGAGAGTAGGGGTGTGCCTGTTGATCAGGGGTGGGTGAGTGTGTCTGTGTGTGTGTCACTGAGGGTGGGTGAGTGTGTGTGTGTGTGTCACTGAGGGTGGGTGAGTGTGTCTGTGTGTGTCACTGAGGGTGGGTGGGTGTGTCTGTGTGTCACTGAGGGTGGGTGGGTAGGTGTATCTGTGTGTGTGTCACTGAGGGTGGGTGGGTGTGTCTGTGTGTCACTGAGGGTGGGTGAGTGTGTGTGCGTGTGTGTGTGTCACTGAGGGTGGGTGAGTGTGTGTGTGTGTGTCACTGAGGGTGGGTGAGTGTGCGTGTGTGTGTCACTGAGGGTGGGTGAGTGTGTCTGTGTGTCACTGAGGGTGGGTGAGTGTGTGTGTGTGTGTCACTGAGGGTGGGTGAGTGTGTCTGTGTGTGTGTCACTGAGGGTGGGTGAGTGTGTGTGCGTGTGTGTCACTGAGGGTGTGTGTGTGTGCGTGTGTGTCACTGAGGGTGGGTGAGTGTGTGTGTGCGTGTGTGTCACTGAGGGTGGGTGAGTGTGTGTGTGTGTGTGTGTCACTGAGGGTGGGTGAGTGTGTGTGTCACTGAGGGTGGGTGAGTGTGTGTGTGTGTGTGTCACTGAGGGTGTGTGTGTGTGTGTGTGTCACTGAGGGTGGGTGAGTGTGTGTGTCACTGAGGGTGGGTGAGTGTGTGTGTCACTGAGGGGGTGTGTGTGTGTGTGTGTCACTGAGGGTGGGTGAGTGTGTGTGTGTGTGTGTCACTGAGGGTGGGTGAGTGTGTGTGTGTGTCACTGAGGGTGGGTGAGTGTGTGTGTGTGTGTCACTGAGGGTGGGTGAGTGTGCCTGTGTGTGTGTCACTGAGGGTGTGTGTGTGTGTGTGTGTCACTGAGGGTGGGTGAGTGTGTGTGTGTGTCACTGAGGGTGGGTGAGTGTGTGTGTGTGTGTGTGTGTCACTGAGGGTGGGTGAGTGTGTCTGTGTGTGTATGTCACTGAGGGTGGGTGAGTGTGTGTGTGTATGTCACTGAGGGTGGGTGAGTGTGTGTGCGTGTGTGTGTGTCACTGAGGGTGGGTAAGTGTGCCTGTGTGTGTCTGTCAGTGAGAGGCGAGTGTGCCTGTGTTTCTTTTCTGTGTGGTTGTAGTGAGTCTATTAATTTGTTCTGATTTTTGTTGTGGACCTAATGGCCTGGGGGGATATCTCGCGTGTGAGAGATGAGTTTACCTAAAGCAGCACAGGCAGGTAGACCAGTTAGCTTCTGCCTACGGCCGGGCATCTTACTTGGTTATGGATAGTATGGTTTCCAGACTGACTTTTGCATTTGAGTCACCTGTAGCGAGAAGTGAGTCATGTTACAGAAAGCCTGGTTTTCTTTCTTTAGGAGCTGCACAGGAGTGTTAGTCAGTGTGGAGAGGAGGGTCTTGGGCCTCCATGTGGTAAAATGACATTCCCAGAACACTAACTGATACTGTTAGTTAGTTCATCCCTTACCATACCATAGGGACAGGTTAGGAGTTTTTTAATTTCCTGAAAGCACTTTGGAGGTGTTCACAGCTGTCTCCCAAATGTGGCTTATCGGGTCCCCTCTGTCCCCACAGCCATACCTGCTCTGCAGCCCATCGTCCACGACCTCTTCGTGTTACGGGGAACAAATAAAGCTGATGCAGGACGAGAGCTTGAGACCCAGAAGGAGGTGGTGGTGTCGATGCTGCTGAGACTCATCCAGTACCACCAGGTACGAAGGGCGTCTGCGGACAGGAGAGGGAGGTGTCGGTGCGCTTTGCCTGGTGCAGGTGCACTTGGGTGTGTGTCTTGAAAGGGAGCATGGCCCCAGGAGACTGCCTGACACCTGTCTGGCAGTCAGAAGATAATCCCAGACAGGAGAGGTGGTGGAGACCCTCTTTCCCAAAACGAAGACCAAATATAATTAATTGCATCATTGGTCAAGATAATAACATTCTTAAACATGATATTATCTCAAATCTGAAAAAAGGCTTTATTTACTGTTGTTTTGTCAAGGATTAAGGTCTTGTTCTTTGAGCTCATTTTTTCCTCTTAAGTTGGAGCAAGTTTGAGGTGTGTGAGTGCAGAAATCTGACTTTTTAAGTGTTTTTTTAAACTTACACAGTTGTTGGGGCCAGCGCCGTGGTGCTGTAGGTTAATCCTCTGCCTGCGGTGCCAGCATCCCATATGGGCGCTGGTTCTAGTCCACGCTGCCTCTCTTCCAGTCCAGCTGTATGCTAAAGGATGGCCCAAGTACTTGGGCCCCTGTACCCATATGGGAGACCGGGAAGAAGCACCTGGCTCCTGGCTTCTGATCGGCACAGCTCCGGCCATTGCGGCCATCTAGGGAGTGAACCAATGGAAGGAAGACCTTTCTCTCTGTCTCTCCTTCTCACTGTCTGTAACTGTACCTATCAAATAAATAAAATCTTTTTTAAAAAAACAACTTATACAGTTGTTTAGCCCTCTTTTTTTTTTTTTTTTTTTTTGATTTATTTATTTGAAAGCCAGAGTTACATACATAGAGAAAGAGACACAGAGAGAGAGATCTTCCGTCTGCTGGTTCACTCCCCAAATGGCTTCAGTGGCCAGAGCTGAGCTGATCTGAAGCCAGGAGCCACGAGCTTCTTGCTGATCTCCCATGTGTGTGCAGTGGACTAAGCATTGGGCATCTTCCACTGCTTTTCCGGGCACATTAGCAGGGAGCTAGATCGGAAGTGGAGCGTCTGGGACTCGAACCATATGGGTGCTGGCACTGCAGGAGGCAACTTTACCCAATATGCCACAGCACCAGTCCCTAGCCCTCATTTTGTCAGTCCTTTTTAGCTGTTTGTCTTTGAGTCTTTGTGAAACTAGACGCTTTCTTCATACAGTAACACCATCTTTGTGCATTCTTATGTTGAAAATGTGGTGTCTAAGTGTTTAATGCTTACTGAAATCACACAATTACAGTAAAAACGACAAATGCAGGGCGGGGTGGATGAAGGAGCCTATGAGTCTTGGTGAGCGTGGCTGAGAGGGTGGGGCCCTGGGAGGGCTGATGAGCCCCACGTCCAGTGAGGTCTCTGCTGTGTGGCGAGTAGGCAGCTCAAGTCTGGCAAATTTACCCAGCGACGGGTGGAACTCACTTTGTGTTTAATGTATCACCGCACCAGTCCCTTGAAGAGTGCAGGTAGCTGTGGATACAGGGCTTGGCCTAAAGGCAAGGCTGTGTCCGTCTGTATAGTACTTAGGTTTTACAGAGTGAGGGTTGCAAGCTTCTGTTAATAACCATTCGGGGCTCTGCGGGCTGAAGGGCCTCCTGCGGCCCCTCCCCCCCACTGGTGCAGGGTGCAGCCCTGACTAATTGGGCACGGAGGGCATCGCTGTGCATTGGTAACTCTGCAGATGTGATGGCGGGCTGCCCTGTTAGAGCTCTGCCAGACCGTACATACCTCTGTTCAGAAACGCTCGGTCGTCTCCCTCGGAGCTGCTCTTCAGTGCGAGTCCCTCGCAGGAGCGCAGGCTGGAGGTTCCTGTACACAGAGCAGTGAGGTGTCTGCGGGTTGCTCAGCCGGCCTGTGTTGGCCCTGCAGGTGTTCACGCTGTGCCTGTCTCAGATGATGAGCTCCTGTAAGTTCCGGAGGAGCGGACCCGGCCCTGAGTCATGCCGAGTCAGCGTGCAGCTCACTGGTGCCTTGGAGACGCTGCTCTGTGGCCCCCGCTGTGCTCGTAGGGCCCTCACTGGGTCACGTGTCCTGGTATCCTGGCGTCTTCCTGCTCAGCTGGGGTCCGAGGCCGCCAAGAGGCAATGGAAAGGGGCCTGCAGGCTGGAGACGTCCTAACCGTGCTGCGATGCTCCTGCAGGTCCTGGAGATGTTTATTCTGGTCCTGCAGCAGTGCCACAAGGAGAATGAGGACAAGTGGAAGCGGCTGTCTCGCCAGGTTGCTGACGTCATTCTCCCGATGCTAGCCAAGCAGCAGGTTTGTCACTCGAGTCTGGCTTGCAGTGTGCAGCACGCGTGATGTACTGCTTTTGGAAGTGGATTGAGATTATCGTGAATGGCGGGTGGTCATCAGCGCGTGACAGATTACTGCTTTGACAGTACCTCTTGGCGCTGGTCACAGTGTGTGTTTTCTGACAACGACCTGCTCAGGCTGCCATTGTCTGCCTACTTGAGTGAAGAAATCATAGCTCAAAGGGTACTGGAGGTTACCCGAAGGTTCTGGGCTTGACTTGGTCCAGGTCTGACTTAAGCCTGCACCTGGTCCTGTTTCATGGCACTGCCCCCGTCCTCCTGTCAGTCATGCGTTTTCTGTGGTCCTTGGCTTTTTGTTTTTGGTTTTCCTCATCATTGATGCGGTACCTGAGCAGCTGTACATCATTTAATCAGAGCTGCTCTACTGCAGTGACACCGCTTGTGGTGGGGAATGGTCTGACCGCCGTGTCAGGTGGGGCCGACAGAGCTGTGTTCCCGCGGCGCAGGTTCCGCAGGTACCGGTGCATAGGAGCTGTGTGCACTGACAGCTCCTCTGTAGCCAGGGAAGGGTGGAGGGTCTGCTGAGGATGACCCTCAAGATGGGCCCACAGCGTGCCTGGCACAGGTGGAGGTTTTGAGTGGCCTGCAGGCACGTTTGTTCATAAAGCAAGCCCTGGACCCTGGGTCGTGCGTGGCTCTTGGCACGTGGAAGAAGCCTCCTGAGGATGGCTCTCCTGAGACCACACGGACGGTGGCTGGGCCTTGGTTTCTGGCGATAGTGAGACGTGGGTTCAGTGATGTCTGGGGCTCCGGGGCTGTATGTGGATCCTCTTGGGTCACGTTCGGCACACTATGTCCAGTACCCATCAGTAGCTCAGCACAGGTACTGGCAGTGGAGACAGGAATGAACAAGGCAGATTTAAAAACACCTTGTCCTGCTGGGGACAGCAGAAAAACAGGGACGCCTGTAAAACGTCGGCTGATGGTGAGTACTCCAGAGCACCGAGGGAGAAGAGAGCGGGCAGTGTCACGGAGAGCGGTGACAGGCAGAAGAGAGTGATAATGTCACGGAGAGCAGTGACAGGCAGAAGAGAGTGATAATGTCACGGTGAGTGGTGACAGGCAGAAACTTTGCTGATGACGTAATGCTTGAGTATGCTGGAAGGCAGGGAGTGTGACCCTGCAGATGGTTGGGGGGAGGGTTGCAGGGAGCCAGTGGCAGGGCTCGGCCCCGTGGGGGGACATGCCAGTTAGTGTTCCAGGGAGCCAGTGGCAGGGCTCGGCCCCGTGGGGGGACATGCCAGTTAGTGTTCCAGGGAGCCAGTGGCAGGGCTCGGCCCCGTGGGGGGACATGCCAGTTAGTGTTCCAGGGAGCCAGTGGCAGGGCCCGGCCCCGTGGGGGCACATGCCAGTTAGTGTTCCAGGGAGCCAGTGGCAGGGCCCGGCCCCCCGTGGGGGGACATGCCAGTTCGTGTTCCAGGGAGCCAGTGGCAGGGTTGGGCCCTGTGGGGGGACATGCCAGTTAGTGTTCAGGGAGCCAGTGGCAGGGCTCGGCCCCGTGGGGGGACATGCCAGTTAATGTTCCAGGGAACCAGTGGCAGGGCCCGGCCCCGTGGGGGGACATGCCAGTTAGTGTTCCAGGGAGCCAGTGGCAGGGCCCGGCCCCGTGGGGGCACATGCCAGTTAGTGTTCCAGGGAGCCAGTGGCAGGGCTCGGCCCCGTGGGGGCACATGCCAGTTAGTGCCAGTTAGTGTTCCAGGGAGCCAGTGGCAGGGCCCGGCCCCGTGGGGGCACATGCCAGTTAGTATTCCAGGGAACCAGTGGCAGGGCTTGGCCCTGTGGGGGGACATGCCAGTTAGTGTTCCAGGGAGCCAGTGGCAGGGCCCGGTCCCGTGGGGGCACATGCCAGTTAGTGTTCCAGGGAGCCAGTGGCAGGGCCCGGCCCCGTGGGGGCACATGTCAGTTAGTGCCAGTTAGTGTTCCAGGGAGCCAGTGGCAGGGCCCGGCCCCGTGGGGGCACATGCCAGTTAGTGTTCCAGGGAGCCAGTGGCAGGGCTCGGCCCCGTGGGGGGACATGCCAGTTAGTGTTCCAGGGAGCCAGTGGCAGGGCCCGGCCCCCCGTGGGGGGACATGCCAGTTAGTGTTCCAGGGAGCCAGTGGCAGGGCCCGGCCCCATGAGGGGACATGCCAGTTAGTGTTCCAGGGAACCAGTGGCAGGGTTGGGCCCTGTGGGGGGACATGCCAGTTAGTGTTCAGGGAACCAGTGGCAGGGCTCGGCCCCGTGGGGGGACATGCCAGTTAGTGTTCCAGGGAACCAGTGGCAGGGCTCGGCCCCGTGGGGGGACATGCCAGTTAGTGTTCCAGGGAGCCAGTGGCAGGGCCCGGCCCCGTGGGGGCACATGCCAGTTAGTGTTCCAGGGAGCCAGTGGCAGGGCTCAGCCCTGTGGGGGCACATGCCAGTTAGTGTTCCAGGGAGCCAGTGGCAGGGTTGGGCCCCGTGGGGGGACATGCCAGTTAGTGTTCAGGGAACCAGTGGCAGGGCTCGGCCCCGTGGGGGGACATGCCAGTTAGTATTCCAGGGAGCCAGTGGCAGGGCCCGGTCCCGTGGGGGCACATGCCAGTTAGTGTTCCAGGGAGCCAGTGGCAGGGCCCGGCCCTGTGGGGGGACATGCCAGTTGGGGTTCCAGAGGCTGGTGTGGGGACCAGCCCTGGGTGAAGCGAGAATGTGAGGCCTGCTGGCGAGGCCATCAGGGAGGACTTTGGGGAGCTTGAGAGGGTTTAGCATAGTGATGTGGTTTTAGTTTTATAGGCTCATTGTTTTTACTTGTCGCAACAGAGGAGAGAGCTCCCACCCACAGGTCTACTTACCAGATGCAGACTACCGAGAGAGCCGGGAACTCAGTCTGTCTCCCTGTGGGTGGCAGCACCCAGCTGCTTCCCAGGTCTGCGTTAGCGTTATCTGGAGCCAAGTATTCGACCCAGCACACTCCAGTGTGAGCTGTGTGAGGTGTCAGTGTCCTACCCGGCTTTTTTTTTTTTTTTTTTTTTTTGTAAGATTTATTTATTTATTTGAAAGGTAGAGTTACGGGGGCTGCAGCAGCCAGGGCTGGGCCCGCCTGAAACCAGGAGCCTGACCTCAGTCTGGGTCCCCACGTGGGTGCAGGGGCCTAAGCACCTGGGCCGTCTGCTGCTGCTTTCCCAGGCCATCAGCAAGGAGCTGGACTGCAAGTGGAGCAGCTGGGACTCAAACTATAGGGGGTGCCAGCGTTGCAGGTGGCGGCTGCTCGACTCTCTGCGCCACAACACTGGCCGCTGCTGGGCATCTTTGCTGCTAGGTCAGACGCCTTTCAATTCTTACTTCTCAGTTGAAAGTGTACTCCCAGGGGAGGCGAAGGCCGAGCAGGGAAAACACGTGCAGCCCCAGGGCACCGAAGAGGAGCCATTGGTGGGCATCAGTGGCACAGGGTGAGAGTAGGACCAGCAGGGTCTGCCAGTGGCTCAGATGTGGATGCGAGAGAGAGAAGCGTGAGGATGACTTGGGGTGGTGGACGAAGTTGCAGAGGCTGGAGCAGTGGGCCTCAGGAGGAGGTTGGGGTCTGGGTAGGATGTGTTCTGTCGAGACCCCTGTAGATGCTGCCTGCTGGAGTGAGGCTGGTATTGGGTGTGTGAGTTGGGAGCTGCTGAGAGACCTGGCAAGATACACACGTTTGAAACTCGACAACGCAGCAGTCCTCGGCTCAGAGGTCAAGGAGGTGAGGAAGGGCCCAGGAAGGGGATGGAAAGAAACTGCCAGTGCCCGGGCAACAGAAGCAGGCGGGTTGGGGGTGGAAGGGGTCAGTTGTGGGCGTCCTGAGAGCTGGGCCTCGGTTTGGCAGTGGTGCTAAGGGCACTGAGACGGGGCTGGAGAAGAGCAGATAGAGCAAAATCCTGCGAAGACAGTGAGAGGCAGAAGACTCCCTAGAAGAGAGAACTCTGGTGGGCGGAGCATAGACTCCCTAGAAGAGAGATCTTGGGGTGGGCGGAGCATAGACTCCCTAGAAGAGAGATCTTGGGGTGGGCGGAGCATAGACTCCCTAGAAGAGAGATCTTGGGGTGGGCGGAGCATAGACTCCCTAGAAGAGAGATCTTGGGTGGGCGGAGCATAGAGGGGAAGCTGGCAGGAACGAGGGCAGTCCATGCAGAGAGCAGAAGACAGACTGGAAACTGCAGTGCACAGCGGAACACTGCTGGACAGTGCCCTTGAGCAGGTGGCCTGGGTCCAGCAGTAGCGTAAATGGCGCTGGGCCTTTGTATGAGTATGTTGGGCTCTTCCAGAGTTGGAGGCGGCTGGATGGGCCAGGGAAGCCCTGGGCACTTGGAAGGTTTCAGATGCCTGCATTGGGAAGTACCCCACCTCCTGGCAGAGTTGTTGACTTTGTTACTGTCTCTCGGTAGCAACAAAAATCTGAAACATCAGTAGGGGAATGATTGAACACCTTGTAGTATAAACTTTGCGTCCATTAAAAGTGGTTGTTGCGTCCATTAAAAGTGGTTGGTTTTAAAGCCAGTTGCCTTGGGAATTCTCCATTGTATTGTTAAGTGAAAAAAAGCAGAAACAATTAGGATCTGAAATTTCAGAATAAAGCGGAACACTTTTCTGCTTGTGTGTGGGGATGTGGTTATAGAATATGGAAAAGACTGGGCAAGTGACACACCAGCTTGCTAGCCTTTGTGACTTGACTGCTGGGCAGGGCAGGGTGGGTGCAGGTGCAGGAAAGGAGGAAGCAGGTGTGTGCTGTTCCATGTGTGTAGAAAGAGGTGTGTGAAATGCCTGTCACCTGAACACTGGATAAAGAAATTATGGGATGTGTGCACCATGGAGTACTGCACAGTGGCAGAAAAAAAAAGAAATCCTGTTGTTTGCAACAAAATGGATGAAACTGGAAAGCATCATAATTAGTGAAGCAAGCCCATCCCAAAAGGACGGATACAGTATGTCCTCCCTGATCTGGATAACCAGTAGAGCACCTAACAGGTAACCTATAGAAGTGGAACTAACACTTAAAGATGCAGTGACCTTGAACAGCCCTTGTCTCGACTGTTGGGGAACAGTTTTTTTTTTCTTCATACAATTTGTTGAACTCTACTTAGTATAGACTTAATCGTATGTGTATGAAGTTAACTGAAAATAGAGCTTAGTAAAAAATAAGAATGGGACTAGGAGAGGGAGGAGGAAGAGGTGTGGGGGGGTGGGAAGAATCACTGTGTTCCTAAAGTTGTATTTATGAAAAACATCAAGTTTGTATTGCTTAAATAAAAGCTTTCTGGGGGTGGGGGGAAGAAAGAGGTGTATGAGAGGCAGGTCCCCAAGCATGGTGACAGTTGTATTAGGGCAGTTCCACTTGGTTTGCTTCATACTTTGTGTATATGAATCTTTGAAGAAACCATGTCGTGTATGCAATAAGTGTGTAAGGGAGAAGATTTCCAATGACGATCGAGTGTTCTTAGCTGATTGTTTCATTCACTACTGAAATCAGAAGGCGTTTAAAGAAGGGATGATCGGGGTGGGCGTTGTGGCACAGGGGGCGGAGCAGCTGCTTGGGTGCCCACATCCTCTCGGGGGCCAGTCCAAGCCCCTGCTGTGGCGCTTCCAGCCCAGCGCCCACTGAAGTGCCGGGAAGCAGTGGCTGGAACCGGAGTTCCTGTCCCTCGTGAGAGAGACCTGGACAGTCTGGTCCTGGCTGTCGTGGGCGTCTGGGGAGTGAACTGGCAGGTGGATGCCCTGCCTCTCCTCATACCTCCCCCCATTGCTCTGCCTTTTACATGAACACATTTTCTAAAAAAGAGATTTGTGACCATTTGCCCTTGAGATATGGGACCTGAAAATAAAAGAAGCTGGCATTTCTGTCGGCTCACATGGAAATGCTTTGGGCTTCAATTCCACAGATGCACATCGACTCTCATGAAGCTCTTGGAGTGTTAAACACCTTGTTTGAAATTTTGGCCCCTTCCTCCCTCCGTCCGGTGGACATGCTTTTGCGGAGTATGTTCGTCACCCCAAGCACGATGGTGAGTGTTGGCCAGAGTGTCGGATCTGTCCTGGGGCTTGTTCACGCACAGACGGCCACCCTAGAGCTTGTGGCTCAGGCTGGGGTGACGTTCCCAGGGGAGACAGGTGCTGCGTCTCTGGAACCACACTTAGAGAAGCAGCGATCCGAGACACACCCTGCGGTGCTGAACAAGGGCTCACCGCATGAAATTGGCAAGCAGGGAGGGTCTCACCCTCTCCTGTTCTGCAGCTGCAGCTTCCTTATCCTCTTTCTTCTAGGCATCTGTGAGCACTGTTCAGCTGTGGATATCAGGAATCCTGGCCATTTTGAGGGTTCTGATTTCCCAGTCAACAGAGGACATTGTTCTTTCTCGGATTCAGGAGCTCTCCTTCTCTCCGTATTTCATCTCCTGTCCAGTGATTCACAGGTTAAGAGATGGGGATGAGAACGCAACACCGGATGGACATAGTGAGGGGAAGCCAACGAAGAGTTTGCCGGAAGAAACGTTCTCCAGGTGACCCAATGAGTCCTGTCTTGGGAGAAGTCCGTGCTTGCAGGATTGATAAGTCTGGAGTAATTCTTCATCTTGCTGCAGCCCTGTGTAGCTTTGATGTTTGAATTCAGATACATAGAAGGCCGAGTTACAGAGAGAGGGAGAGACAGAGAGCAAGCTCTTCTCTACTGGTTCACTCCCCTAATGGCTGCAACGGCTGGGGCTGGGCCAGGCCGAAGCTGGGAGCCTGGAGCTCCATGCTGGTCTCCCGCGTAGGTGGTAGGGCCCAAGTCCCTGGGTTGTCATCTGCTGCTGTCCCAGGCACACTAGCAGGGAGCTGGATGGGAAACAGAGCTGCTTGGACTTGCACTCATACAGGAGCCGGCATCACAGGCTTCACCCTGTTGTGCCACAGCGCTGGCCCCTCCAGCAGAAAGTTTAAAGCATAAGGACATGTGCTAAAAGTCAGTCTTGTGCTTACTCTCGTCATGTGCTGGCAGTTCTGCACGCTGCCAGTAACAGAATACTCCCCGATAAGGAGGGTGGCACCCACTGTATACCGCAGTGTCAAATTTGTCCTCCCTCCCTCCTGAGGACAGGGGTCACGATCAGGCCCTTGGAAACGCTTGTGCAGAGACAAGGGTCCCTCGGCCTCCAGACCTGCCTCTGCACAGGGGTGCCTTCCCAGCAGGCCTTGCTTGGCTTGCTGTCGGTGGAGATGAGCACGGCAACTCTTCCTGTGCACACAGCCTGTGGCTCTCCTGTGTTGTGTTGAAGCACAAGGCCAAAACCAGGGGTCCCTTCAGTTCCCGGGGTGGGGGAGGGGTGTTGTCAGCTAATACTTGTGCTTTACATCGTACAAAACTGGAAAGAATGCTGTGTGTCGTTTAATCCTGACCCCACGCTGCCAGTCTGTAAGTGGGGAAGGTGTGGAGTGGCCAGCATTGCTGTCACGGTGTGGACTCCCTTTGCGTATGTCCGTCCAGATGCGGCGGGGCCGTGTGGGGGTGGTCTGATCCCTGCTGTGCCTCTTCCTGTTGAAAGGTTCCTGCTGCAGCTCGTCGGTATTCTCTTAGAGGACATCGTTACGAAGCAGCTGAAGGTGGAGCTGAGCGAGCAGCAGCATACCTTCTACTGCCAGGAGCTCGGCACGCTGCTGATGTGCCTGATCCACATCTTCAAGTCTGGTAGGCGGATGGGCCTGGGCTGCGCGTCCCCGGGGGCCCCTGCCCTGCTCCGCGTGCCCGGCGCAAGCTGTGCTCTGCTCAGCAACTTGTGAGCTCTTGGAAAGCGTTTCGTGGGTGGTAAGACCCGCAGGTTTACTCTGGTGTATTCTGAAAAGGAACGCGGAGCAAGGTGGTGGGAGAGTCTGGTATGCCCACGTTCTTAGCAGCGCTGCTCACGGTGCACGCGGGTGGACGGGTGAACAGGCAGGTGTGGTCTGTGCACACGGGGACTGGTGGTCAGCCTGTGAGCAGAAGAGAATCTGACACCTGCCCCAGCAGATGGGCTTGGAGAACGCTGTGCTGAGTGAGATAGTTTGAGGACACTGTGCTGAGTGAGATAGGCCAGTCACAGAACAGAGACCCTGCGATTCCTCCTGAAGTGGGCTCTCAGAGAGTCACACTCAGGGACAAAGTTGAGGGTTGTTAGGGGTGGGGGATAGAGACGGGGGGAGTTTAATAGGCACAGTTTCAGTTTTGTGAGATAAAAAGAGTTACGGAGGGGCTGGCACTGTGGCGTACTTGGTTAAGCCTCCGCCTGTGGTGTCAGCGTCACATATGGGCGCCAGTTCGAGTCCTGGGTGCTCCACTTCTGATCCAGCTCCCTGCCAACGCACCTAAGAAAGCAGAGGAAGATGGCCCAAGTGGTTGGGCGTCTGCTACCCACGTGGGAGACCTGGAAGAGGATCCCTGCTCTGGCTTCAGATCGGCCCAGCTCCGGCTGTTGTGGCCATGTAGGGAGTGAACCAGACAATGGAAGACTTCTTTCTCTGTTTCTCCATCCCTCCCTCTGCTTCTCAAATAAATAAATAAATCTTTAAAATACAGCAGTGATGGAAATGGGTGTTGGTGATGGTTAAATCATGTTTCTCAGAGCCATTATGCTGTGCCTTCTCAGTGCCTAGCAGGAAGCTGGATCAGAAGCAGAGCAGCTAAGACTCAAACCAGCACTTGGATGCACGAGCAGGGGCTGAGCTCACTGCACCGCCACACCAGCCCCTTCTTTTTACTTTGAAAAGGTCTTTTGACTTATGCTTTACGGATCACTGGAGTAAGTTGGAGGTTGAGAAAATATGCCTTGTTAGCAAGTAATAGATTCATTTTTTATATGTTGGTCATTTTAATACCTTGCTATTAATTATCTGTATTCCATCCAGGAGACCTCCGTGTCTCTGAGGACTTCTCTGTATAGAATGGGTGTGTGCATGTATGTCCACTTGGATTTCTGTGCGGTTCAAGGAATTTGCCATCCATTGCTGTAATTTTATTGTCTTCTTTGTCTCAAAACTGGAAAGTCAGAGTTACAGAAAGAGAAGTCTTCCATCCTCTGTTTCACTCCCCAAATGGCTGCAGCAGCCAGGGCTGGGCCAGGCTGAAGCCAAGAGGCAGGATCTTCATCCAGGTATCCCATGTGGGTACAGGGGCCGAGTACTTGGGCTGTCCTCTGCTGCTTTCTCAGGTGCATTAGCAGGGAGTTGGGTCAGAAGTGGAGCAGCTGGGACTCAAACTGGCGCCCACATGGGATGCCAGCATCACAGGCTGTATATAGCACAATATAGCACAATGCCAGCCCAGGGAATGTATTTTTACTTCTACTGCTGGGTTTTTCAGTAGGACCTGCAGCAAAAATGTCTTGGCATCTGCACTGTGCCATGTGGGTCATCATGGCCCCTGAAATGTGCCTAGTAGGATTGAGGGCCTGGCTGTAGAAGTTTTTATTTATTTATTTAATTTATTTGAAAGGCAGAGGAAGAGAGAGTTTTCTTCTACCCCTACTGGCCCACTCCCCGCATAAAATAGCTTGGACTTGCTGAAGTGGTTGAAGCCAAGAGCCAGCAACTCAATCCAGATCTCCCATTTGGGGGCAGGGTCCCCCCACCCACTTTAGCTGTTGCCATCTGCCTCCCATGCGCTAGCCGGAAGGTGGAATGGAGAGCAGTGCACTCTGATATGGAATCCAGACATCCCTGAATGGCAGCTTAACCGTTGTGCAAGGTGCAGTGGCGTAGCCGGTAAGGCTGCTGCCTGCAGTGCCGGCATCCCGTATGGGCGCAGGTTCGTGACCCGGCTGCTCCTCTTCCAATCCAGCTCAATGTTATGACCTGGGAAAGCAGCAGAAGATGGCCCAAATGCTTGGGCCTCTGTATCTGCCATGGGAGACCTGGAAGAAGCTGCTGCTGGCTCCTGGATTCGGATTGGTGCAGCTCTGGCTGTTGCTGCCAATTGGGGACTGAACCAGCAGATGGAAGACCTCTCTCTCTCTCTCTCTTTCTCTCTCTCTCTGCCTCTCCTTCTCTCTCTGTGTAACTCTTTCAAATTAAATAAATATTTTAAAAAATTGTGCAAAATGCCTGTCTTGAAAAACTTAATTTTTAAAGAGAGTGAATTTTCTATTTTAAGGTTTATTTACTTATTTGAAAGCCAGAGTTACAGAAAGAAAGAGATATCTTCCATCCATTGGTTCACTCCCCAAACGGCTGCAAAGGCCAAAGCAGGGCCAGGCTGAAGCCAAGAGCCAGTAGCTTCTTCCAGGTCTCCCACATGGGTGCGAGAGGCCCAACCACGTGGGCAGTCCTCTGCTGCTTTCCCAAGGGCATTAGCAGGGCGCTGGATTGGAAGTGAAGCAGGCAGGACATGAACTGCCGTCCATATGGGATGCCGGCATCACAGGCAGTGGCTCAACCCCTGCACCGCACCACAACACTGGCCCCAGTTTTGTTTTTTTAATTTTTGTTAAGCCGCTCTGCGTGGCTGGGGACTACCTTTGCTGACAGTGCAGCCACATTGAGAAGCAGCTCGCTCTACTGGAAGGAATCTGGGCTTGGAATAGGCAAGTGGGTTTGTGGCTGGTGTCTCTGGACACTGTTTCATTGGCCTGGCGTTTACAGATAACACGTGTGTAAGCATACATTCCTTTTTGTTTTTCTTGTTTAGTTTGCATTTCTTTTAAAGATTCTAGGCAGTAGAACACTGGTTGGTTTTTTTTTTTTTTAATATTTATTCATTTCAAAGCGTTACAGAGCGGGGGGGGGGGGGTGTCTTCCATCCGCTGGTTCATTCCCTAATTGGCCGCCATGGCCGGAGCTGCACTGATCCAAAGCCAGGAGCCAGGAGCTTTTAACGGGTCTCCCACATGGGTGCAGGGGCCCAAGCACTTGCGCCATCTTCCACTGCTTTCCCAGGCCACAGCAGAGAGCTGGATTGGAAGAGGAGCAGCCAGGACTCGAACCAGCACCCATATGGGATGCCGACACTGGCATCCCATGGCAGTGGGTGGCTTTACCTGCTACGCCACAGTGCCAGCCCCTTTGATTGGTTTTAAGATAGAATTGATAGAATTGAAGCAATATTTAGGTTATTCATGCTTTGTTAAAACAGAGGCAGTGATTCCTAACTGTCCCTTGAAAATTCAGACTTTTAAATTTGTCCATTTCAGAGACGCATTTTGAAATAGAAACTAGTTTGAATAATGGCCTTGCCTTTTAGTTTGAGGGAGGGTATTTATCCCAAAATTGTTTCCTAGTCCAGATTCATTGTGGTGTAAGTGCAGTAGCTAAGAAAGAGACGTGTCCTTTGGGTGTAAGGTTCGTATCTTTCTCTTCTCCTCCAAGAGGGATCAGCTCAGAGCCACTAGGGTGGCAGCACAGCTCAGCCAGTCGCAGCCCGGGACTGTTCAGGGAAGAGTGCTGTGTCCGTGCCAAGCTTGTGCACTTCGCTTTCTTGACCTCGTTCCCTGAAAAATACAGTGTGACAGTTGTCTCCCTAGTGTCACCACGCAGGGAGGATTTAAGGTGCACGTGAAGATGGGTGGCGGTTGTATAGAACCGCTGTGCTGCTTTCTGGAAGGACTGGAGCCCGTGGGTGCCAGTGCCTGAGGGCGTCCTGGAGCCAGTCGTTCTATCAGGTCCATCTTAAACCCAATCAGAGGGGCGGCACTGTGGCGTAGTGGGTGAAGCCACTCGCTGCCTGCGGCGCCGGCATCCCATGGCCCCAGGAAGTGCTTTCCCACACCGCGTCTCATTGCCCCTTCCCACCTGCCATCAGATGCTTGCCCAGTCCGCGACAGTAGGAACTGTTTCCTGTGATTGACGGAGGACAAGTGGCCCTCACACAGGTGTGAGTGGACGGAGTGAAGGTGCAGCTTGTGTAGCCCCTTCCTCCTAGGCTGGGCTTTCTCACCGCTCTCCCCCAGGATTTTGAAAGGGTCAGTGTCTCTGCCTTAGGGCCAAAGTCGGACTGGTAGAAGAGAGGGAGAGTGGTTGTCCCCGCACTGATGGCAGCTGCTTGAGCAGAGAAGGGCTGCTGACGTGGTGACGCCGGGAGACGTGGTGTTCTCCGTCAGGTGTGTGGCACGTGTGTTTGTCTTCCCAGTGGACAACTTCCCCTCTCCTCTGAGGAGGGACTTGAGCTCTTCCTGTCACTTCTGCTGTTCCTTGAATCGGTGCGGGTCCGAACAGCAGCTCGGGTTTGTGGAGCATCCGCGTGGTGTGGCCGGTGTGTGACGTGTGAGGAACAGACGTGTTGTGTCCATGCTTGGCTGAAGGGGCTGAGCCCAGCCATGGTTCAGGGTGGACTCGAGAATTCTGTCTCCAGAGACTGAGTGTGCACCCTCTTCCGGCCTGCTCTCAAGACGGTGTTTCACCAAGGCCTGCTCCTCTCAGCACTCCCCTGCTTTGGTCCTCACCATTGCTCTGAGCCCTGGGCCCGCCCCTCGCTCCTCTCCTCGTCTCTCCGGGCTCCCTGTGCCTCCCTTGTGCCACCTTTGCAGTTCCTAGGCCCTGCCTGCCTGCCTTCTCTGTGTCCCACACGACTGGACGTGGCCACTCAGGAGAGCAGGGAGGGAGAGTCTCCACAGAGCACCTTCTGCCCTCCACCCTGCCCTCACTGCTGCCGCTGTTCCTTAAGGTGGCCACGGAAGCCAGCATTTCGGCGACGTACGCAGGGTGCAGCCTGACAGGACGCAGCCGTTGTGCGCGTCACAGCCACCTCGACCTCCTGGTGACCCCGGAGGCCCTCCTACGCCTCATTATGACACTCAGCTCTGACTGCCAAAGTCCAGGTGTGTCCTGGTCAGCCAGGGGCTCCCCTCGTCTGTAAACCTTTGTCTCCTGCCGCGCGGTGCAGAGGTCCGCTTCTGCCCGAGAGCTCCCTGATAGTTCCTGCTACATCCTGCAGCGTCTTCTTTCTTTGGTTTCCTGACACCTCCCATGTGTGGCAGCCACCTCTCACGCGTCAGGTCTCTGAGCGTCCCGCAGGAGCAGGTTGCCTCCTGTGTCTGCGACTGTTGAGGCTGTTCACTTCCCTTCACGCAGGGGTCCAGGGACCCTCCTTCCTGTGGCTCTGTGTGCCTGGGGAAGAGGAGGGGAGGCAGAGAAGGTTGGTATCACCGTGGGTGAGAAGCAGTGGACGTTGCCTTGTGATCTGTGGGCACAGGGGTCTGGGGCGGGCCGTCCTGGCTGATACCTGCTGGCCAGCTTGGCAGGGAGTTTGCCGTTGATGATACAGTTGACAGTAAGGATGAAAACAGATGAGTTCAGGAAGCGGGTGCCGAGGCGGGTGTCGCAGCGGGTGTCACACGCAGCAGGCTTGGTGGTCACTCCAGAAGGTGCTCTCGTAGTCCTGCTCACAGTCCCAGTGGGGTCTCCCTGTCCTTCTTAGGAGTTCTGGCCAGTCCCTCCTGGCACCTGAGCTCTGCTGTCCTGACCCCTCCTCTCCTGACAAAGACCTGGAGCCACGTGGCCCCTTCCCCGCCGTCCCTGTCCTGTCCTCGGCCTGCTTCCCCATGGTCTCGTCTCAGGTTGTCCTGAGTTTCCTCTGCTCACTGAGTACCTCTCGCACACTGACGGGGCAAGTGTGTGCTCGTGTCCGCACTGTAGCACCTGCGGCTGCTCACTTGCCCGCGGCTGCAGCCTTACGTGGAAAGAGCCTCAGTCGGCCGCTTTGCCGTGCTTCCTCGGTTCCTGACCCTCCCTCTTGGTTAGGAGACAGCCCCACGAAATAGTCATGCTGCTCGCAGTGGATTGTCCCTCTCGTTCCTCAGCCCTCCTGCCCCCCAGCCTGACACCTGTTGGGTCCTGGTTGCAGCCTCTCGGTTGTATGTGTGCCCTGACTTGCTGTCCTTGACCTCTCTTCCCTGTGCCACCCCCATCTCTGTCTCCCTCTTGGTGGGTCCGTGTTCTTTGTGACCTCTGTCACTTGTTTCCTTCAGCTTCTAGATGTGTGACTTGCCCTGCCCGTTGCCCGGCCTCGCTGACTTCCTGCAGGGCTTCCTCTTCTCGTTAGCGAAGTCCACACCCATCATCGGGTTCTTCAGATGCCAGTGTTGCTGCAGGCTTCCCCCAGCACACACCCTGGCGGCCTGTCCAGAATCCATCTGTTTCCTGGGCGCTGCCCTCTGAAGTCCACCTCACCTCCACCTGCACTTCTCCCAGCAGCACTCTAGCAGCAGTGGGGGCCCCGGGCGGTCGTCCACCCCCCTCCGACCCCGCGCCAGTCATGTGCTGGGCTCTGCAGTCCTGCAGTGGCGGCGGCCCCGGGTGGTCGTCCCCCCCGCGCCAGTCATGTGCTGGGCTCTGCAGTCCAGCGGCAGCGGCAGCGGCCCCGGGTGCTCGTCCCCCCGTGCCAGTCATGTGCTGGCTCATATACCGACATTGTGACTTCATGAACAGGTAGCGTACTCAGTTCCCTTCCACAGGTGAGGATTTTGAGGCCGCAGCCGGTGTACATCCAGGGTCAGCCAGCGGAGACAGAGCTGAGCCCGTCAGTGTGGTCTCAGAGCCTGTATGAGCAGTCTCCTGGAGCACGGCCCGAGTAAACCGTCCTGTGGCCTGGCTCTCAGGCTCCTCCCAGCCAGCATCAGCCCCTCACGTGTCTGTTAGTCCCACAAGGGAGCCATGCAGCAATGGGGCCTCAGAGGATGGGGTAGGGTTGGCTGGGCTGCAGGGGCCAGGCTGACCAAAAGCACAGAGAAACCTTTGGAACTCACAGGGCCAGCGCATGGCAAGCCCCCGGGCCGCTGAGGTTATTTGTCTGTTGGCTTCTTCCTTTGTCTAGGGCTGTAGGTTTGACAGCTCATGGAATGGTGAGGAGTGTTGTCCTTGTTTGCCCCTGTTTCAGGGCCCTTTCCCACTTGGGGTTTGCTGAAATTCCAGTCAGAAGTAAGATTCTGCCTCAGCGCTAGCAGGTGACCCAGGGTATGTAGGCAGAAGAGCCGGTAGCCGTGGAGCCTCGCCCTTTGCCTGCACGCTGGGTCTCGCTGCTTCTCCTGCTGCGCTTTGCACTGTGTGCAGGGTTAGTCCCTGGCACAGGCCAGCCCTCAGGAAGCCAGCACGGTGAGGAGAGAGACAGGCATGCTGTGCTGGGCGGGGTTTCTGTAAATGAGCTCATTCACTCCCAGAGGGAACGTCTTCCAGTCCTGAAAAGGGTGTTGCGGAGAGACCTGTGGGCGTGTGCGGCGTGAGTCACTGACCGTGCAGCCCACCTCCCGGGTGCTCCATGGCCCCAGCGTGTGTCATGTGTGCTCGTGGGGCCTCCTCCTCAGGCTCAGCACCCCAGGGGTGGATCACTGCTCCTGCTGTGGCCCTGTGTGATTGGAGGTGCTGGGGTTGCCTGCCTCCTACTTGGGAGTCGTGTCCACACTTACTTGGAGCCCCCTGGGGAAGCCGGCAGTGCCAACCAATGGCGGGGAAGATGGTGGGAGAGTTGACAGCATGCACTTTTTTGGCTGGTCCATTAAGTGAGTAGGATATCTGTTTCTGCTCACAACTGCCAAGTGCTTTGAGTACGTAATGTAGGAAGGGGCTGTCCTTGTCTTACCAGGGCCAGATCTTACAGCTGCATGGTGTTGGACCAAGATGGGCAGTGAAGACACATCCCCACAGTGAGTTTCTTTGCTTGGTTCTAGGAATGTTCCGGAGAATCACAGCAGCTGCCACGAGACTCTTCACGAGTGACAGCTGCGAGGGCAGCTTCTACTCCCTGGAGAGCCTGAACGCACGGGTGCGCTGCATGGTCCCCACGCACCCAGCCCTGGTGCTGCTGTGGTGCCAGATCCTGCTGCTTGTCAACCACACCGACCACCGCTGGTGGGCAGAGGTGCAGCAAACGCCCAGGTAGGCCTGGCTGCCCACCCTGGGTGCAGTCCGGGGATTGCAGATGCTGGCGTCTGAGATGCTGAGTGACTTGCGGCTTGGCTACTATTAAGGCATTTTTATTTCCCACTTTTTGTGAGGTTTTGTAAGATCTGCTGCGTATTAATCTTTCTTTCATGTATTGTAGAGGGAAAAATGTGTTCCAACAAGAGGCATTCAAAATAGCAGCTGCCTCTCAAATGTGATTTTCTTTGACAAGTTCTTTGGCGCCATTCCATCTTGTGGGTTCTGCTTGTCAGGGTGTATGCCTGCGGCTCAGCTCTGGTGCCTAAATTGGCTCCACAGCCAGACATGTTGCAATGCCGCACTTCATTGTGAGTTAAATGTGGTTCTCATTATTCTGATGAATTAATTATTTAGCAAACTTCAAAACTACTTGGAAATACCTTATTGTTTATTTTTATTTTTAATATTTAAAAAGACTCCCTGAGTCTTGCAGACGGCCAGCTGTTTGCAGAAAGTTTCCAGGTCTCGGCCTGGGTTTCAGGTGCTCCCTTGCTTCCATGTCCGCACGTGTGGAAGGAAACCCCGTGGCCTGCAGCTCGGTCCTCACTGCAGTGTCGCAGAAGGCTCATGAGCTCCACGGGGAGAGAGGAGAGCGTGTGTGCTGGCAGCTCTCCTGCCCCGTGTGAGAGGCTGGTCCGTGGCCCTCTGGCTGGAAGGTCCACTGTCAGAAAGCACTGAGCAACCTGCTGTGTGCGCCACGTGGTGGACTCTGCAAAGGAAGAGGAAGGCTGCCGCCTGCCCCACGTGTGGCCGTGAGGCCGGAGGGAGCGGCCTGAGGCAGCCCTGGCACTGCACAGAGGACTGCCGGGACGGAGGACTGTAGGAGCCAGGAGACAGAAGGTCGTCAGTCAGCCGGAGTGGTTGAGATGCACTTCAGGAGCGACACTGCTGGTGGTGCCAATGTTGCCAGTGCATGGAGCATACCGTGAGCACCGGGGTGCCTCGGAGCCACCGCGGGAGCCTGTGGGCCATCCCAGCCCTGTCCTCGACTCCACGCTGGGCCTGATGACTTGGCCCTGAATACTTGGTTTTTGTTTTAAGATTTATTTATATATTTTCAAGGTGAAGAGACAGATCTTCTGTCAGCTGGTTCACTCCCCAAATAATCGCAACAGCCAGGTCTGGGCCAGGACAAAGCCAGGATCCAGGAACTCCATCCTGGTCTCCCACGTGGGTCGTAGGGGCCCACATATGTTGGCAGCCATCTCTGGTCTTGTCAGAAGCATTATCAGGAAGCTGAATCAGTGGGAACAGCCTGGACTAGACCTGGAGCTCTGATGTGGGATGCTGGCTTCGCAAGCAGCAGCTTAACCTGCCAGCCCCTGAGCACTTGTGTTTTAACTGGCTTTTCATAGGAGTCCGGTGCACTCCGAAAGTTGAGTTGTGCTGGGCAAAGTGTAGAGGGTAGGGCCTGCATTCACTGTTGAGGACAGAGGCTTGGGGGCAGTGGAAGGGGAGGTGTCCCCAACCCCAGCCAGTACCTGAGGCAGCGATGCTAAATGCCGCTTCCCCTCCTCTCCCAACTGGCCCCTGTTGGTGGTGGTGGGTGGTGAGGACGGACCTCACTCCTCACTGTGATGGTGGGAGGCAGTCCTCCCAGAAATGTCCCTGTCACAGAGACAAAGACTTGTTTCAGTAGATGAAAAGGAACATGTGAGGAAGAAATAAATGCATGTCTACGATCCTTGGTTATGGGTTTTTTTTTTTAAGATTTATTTATTTATTTGAAAGAGTTACAGAGAGGTGGAGGCAGAGAGAGAGAGGTCTTCCATCTACTGGTTCACTCCCCAGATGGCTATAATAGCCAGAGCTGAGCCAATTCGAAGCCAGGAGCTTCTTCCGTGTCTCCCACGTGGGTGCAGGCGCCCAAGCACTTGGGCCATCTTCCACTGCACTCCCAGGCCATAGCAGGGAGCCGGATCAGAAGAGGAGCAGCTGGGACTTTAACTGGCATCCACATGGGATGCCAGCACTGCGGGTGGAGGCTTTACCCGCTACACCACAGCACCGGTCCCTTTGGTTTGTTTGTTGTTGTTTTTGTTTTTTGTTTTCTTTTGGATCTGGGTGTATAAAAATAGCTAAAAGGGTCAGTGCTGTGATGTTTTGCCAATAAAGCCACCTCCTACAGTGCCAGCATCCCATAAGGGTTCCTGTTCAATTCCCAGCTGTTCCACTTGTGATCCAGCTCCCTGCTAATGCTCCTAGGAAAGCAGCAGACGATGGCACAAGTACTTGGGCCCCTACACCCACATAGAAGATCCAGAAGAAGCTCCTGGATCCTGGCTTCAAATAAATAAATCTTTAATTAAAAAAAAAAAAAAAACCAGAAAACCAGAAAGGACATTATTGGAACAACTGGGTCCGGAGCCAGGAGCCTCCTCCAGGACTCCCACATGGTTGTAGGGGCCCAAGGACTTGGGCCATCTTCTGCTTTCCCAGGCCACAGCAGAGAGCTGGATCGGAAGTGGAGCAGCTGGGTCTTGAACTAACACCCATATGGGATGCCGGCACCGTATGCCACAGTGCTGGCCCCGACTGTACAGTTTTTAAGAGGAGATTAGCTGCAGGGGAAATGGAGTTACAGGAAAAGTGGTGATATGATGGCCCAGTGACAGAGCCAAGCTTACAGAGAAAAGGAGCGTCTGGAGTTGGCAAGAGTGGGTCGGTTCTGGGTCGTAGACATTTGTTGTTCTGCATTGCTAGATTTTTAGAGTTGAATTTACAGTTTGTTGATTTCTCTTTGGGTATGAATAAAGATGGGAAATCTGTCACTTCCTGATCTTAGCTCCGTCTAGCTTCCTCATGGGAACCTTCCTGGCTAGTCTTGGTTCGGGTTAAGTCTCAGTACCTCTTCTCACCAACCTTTCCCTCTGCTCTGTGGTGAGTGGCAAGGCTGTAATTAGTTCCTGCATGCTTTTTGTAATTCTGTAGGGTTCTCTGTGTGCGAGCACAGGATCCCTGAGCAGACTTCTCTGCCTTCCTTCCTTCCGTGCAGGTCTTGTGTGTTTTCTCTGCCTGCGTAGAGCGGCCCTGCAGTGCCAGGCTAGCTCCTGTGCGTGCGCTTCTGCTGGGATCAGAGAGGGGCCTCTCCCTCCTTGCTTAGGGTGGTGGGGGGAGAGGACTTCAGCACCCGAAAGCACGTGAGACAGCCTGCAGAGGTGTCACGCTGTGTCACCTGCAGACCTTTCGCCTCACTTGTCTGAACCAGAGATATAACAGCTGACTCAGTCACTGCACTTACAAACTGCCTTGGGAGCTGCTTCGCGTCGGCGGCCGAGTTGCCCTTTCGCGGCACAGACCCTGTTCCCTGTTCTGAGCGCCGTGGGCCCTGCTGTCCCCACGCAGGCTGCTGCCTCCTCTGTGTTCTCCGCCGACTTGGGCTTTCCTTTCTAGACGGCTCACTCCTGTCTGACAGATGTGCCTGCTTATTCTGAGGTTGTGTCAGAAGCCTTTGAGTAACAGAGGTGCTTCGAGTAGATAATACGTTTTAAAAGAACTAAGCCCAGAGTGAGTGGGGTCTGGAATTGGGCAGCTGCGCGTGGTTGGCAGCGGGGCAGTGTCTCTTGACCCCTCACTGACCTTTCATACTGGCCACTCTGCTGTCCTGAAATAAAACTAATGAGTCAGTGGCTTTTGCACCCAACTATGCTTAAGTCTCATAAAGACGAATTTAATAAAGGTAGCATAAGAGTAGCTACGCTGAAGTCGCTGTTCAGTGTGGGAGTGCTGGGCACAGGCCTAGCATTTGTAGGGTGCACCAGCACAGTGTTTCCAGAATAATGAAAGTGCATCACTGGAAGTATGAACTAGAAAACAGAGCCACTGTCCTTTTTCTGGTAGGCCTGGCAGCTGTGAAGTTGCTGTCTGGCTGTTAGAGACGTCCCTCCTGCTTCCCTCTCCGTCCTCCCTTGCCAGACCAGGCATGCCTCAGAATACTGCTGACCTGACGTGACCTTGCCCCATTTCCCTTGCCTGGCAGCAGATGGCACAGATCTTGTTGCCATGCAGGGTGTTACCCCAGACATCCCGGGGTCAGAGGGAGCAGTGCTGGGTGTTGGGCTCGAATCCAGAGTCTCACAGTTCACAAGCAGGATTCCCACCTATTGGAAAAGGTCAGAGAGGAGCATTTGGCCTCGCAGTCAGGACGCTGCCTGTCTCAGTCCCGGCCCCGCTCCCACGGCAGCTTCCTGCTGAAGGGCACCTGGGAGGCAGCAGCGGAGTCCCTGCGCCCACCAGAGGCCAGGATCCAGGTCTGGTCCCAGCTGTGGCCTCAGTCACTGTGGTGCTTGGGGAGCGAACCAGCAGATGGAAGACAATTTCTGTCTCCAATAAGTAAGTAGATCAGTAAATGAAAATGATTTTAAACAGTGCTTCCACACCAGCACGCTGTGTGGGCCTGGTTACAGTGATGACATTTTGCAGGAAGATGAATGGTAAAATGTCAAAACCTACAAGTTTTCTTTCTGCTCTGTTGACAACTGTCATGGTAGATGGAGACTTTCTTATTTATTTATTTGAAAGATGAGAGGGTGGGAGGGGGAGGAGGAGAGGCAGAGAGAGAGTCCACCTGCTGGTTTACTGCCCATGGCACACAGGGACACACCAAAGCCAGGAACCAGGAACTCAGTCCAGGTGCTTCGTGTGGTCGACAGGGACCTCACTACACAACGTGCCACCTGTTGCCTCCCGGTACGCATGTTAGTAGCAGGACATGCGGACTGGGCGAGGAGCCTGGACTCTACGCAGGTACTTTGGTGTGGGATCCTGGTGGACCAACCAGTGTCTTAACCACTGGGCCGCGTAGCCACCCCTGAGGTCTTAGAGCTGGGATTAAACATAACCCCCTGATGAACTTCGTGTGTGAGGCCACTGCGGTGCCAGAAACACCGTCAGTGCCTCTCGTTCCTTGCAGGAGACACAGTCTGTCCAGCACGAAGTTGTTTAGTCCACAGATGCCTGGAGAGGAGGAGGATCCCACCGTGGCAGCCAGACTTGGAATGTGCAACAGAGAAATAGTTCGAAGAGGGGCCCTCATTCTCTTCTGTGATTATGTCGTAAGTGTGAAAAGGCCTGTGGGGGGGCAGGGGCGGGGGCGCTGGGAAGCACTGCGTGTTGATGATGCTCACGTGGACCCTCAGGAGCCCAGGCTGCCCCCATCCTGCTGGCTCCGTCCAATCCAGACTGCTGGCACTTGTTGAGTCCCGCCCTGCCGATCCTCCGGGGAGCCTTGCCTTCCAGCGCCGGCATCCAGGCTCCCACTCCTGCAGACAGTCACGAGCTACTCTGGGCCGTACATCCGGCTGGACTTTGTGTTAAGTGCAGAGAAGCAATAGAATAGCAAGAAACTTTTTTTTTTTTTTTTTTTTTTTTTTGACAGAGTGGACAGTAAGAGAGAGAGACAGAAAGAAAGGTCTTCCTTTTACCATTGGTTCACCCTCCGGTGGCCGCTGCGGCCGGCGTGCTGCAGCCAGCGCACTGCACTGATCTGAAGCCAGGAGCCAGGTGCTTCTCCTGGTCTTCCGTGCGGGTGCAGGGCCCAAGCACTTGGGCCATCCTCCACTGCACTCCCTGGCCACAGCAGAGAGCTGGACTGGAAGAGGGGCAACTGGGACAGAATCCGGTGCCCCGACCGGGACTAGAACCCGGTGAGCTGGCACCGCAGGTGGAGGATTAGCCTAGTGAGCCGCGGCGCCAGCCACAAGTAATCTTAAAGATATTTGACTGTTGTAGGGTTCTGATTTTTAAGCTTATTTAAAAATTAATATTTAAATTATTTGAATAGTTTTTAAGATTTATTTATTTATTTGAAAGACAGAATTACAGAGAGTGGTCTTCTGTTGACTGGTTCACTCCCCAGATGACTGCAGTGGCTGGGGCTGGAAAGGCTGAAGCCAGGAGCTTCTTCTGGGTCTCCCACGTGGGTGCAGGGGCCCAAGGGCCTGGGCCATCTTCTGCTGCTTTCCTAGGCCACAGCAGAGAGCTGGATCAGAAGTGGAGCAGCCGGGACTCGAACTGGCACTCACTGGTTACAGGCAGTGAACTAACCTGCTGTGCCACAATGCTGGCTCCATTGAATACCAGTTTATAACCATGAAACTAGTATCATATGTTTACCATGGATAATTTACAAAAATCAAATTAGTAAACACACACACACACAAATCTGCAATCATAATACTCAAAGATGACCAGCAGTTACATTTTGGTCTAGACTGTTTTTCCCATACCCATGTGATAGTGTGTACATTTTTTTTTACTGTGAGCTAAGTATCTTACACACATTGTTGCAATGGGAGACAGTGTTAAATATTCTGCATCAGAAGAGGAAGTAGACTTCTTCAAACTAGATGTTATACAGAACTTTTTGTGGTAATAGCAATTTATTTTTTTTAAGATTTATTTATTTATTTGGCAAAAGCCAGAATTATAAAGAGATCTTCTAACCACTGTTTCACTTCCCAAATGGCCATAACAGCAGACCTGGGTACTCTGAGGCCCACCTAGAAGCCCTAGAAGCTTCATCTGAGTCTCCCACACGGGTGGGGGCCAAGTTCAGGCCACCTTCCACCCCTTTCCCAGGTGCACCAGGAGAGAGCTGGATTGAAAGTGGAGCAGCTGGGACCTGAGCTGGTGCTTTTCTGGGATAGTGGCATCCTAGACAGTGGGTTTACCTGCTACATCACGATTCCAGGCCTGGTAGCAATTTATTAATATTCATTTTTTGCTTCACATTTTTGATGTTGGAACTTTTTTTTTTTGTTCCATTTTTAAGAAGTAATACATAAAGTTTTTTGTAGAAACAGAAGCAGAGGGGCCAGACTGTGCCATAGTGGGTAAAGCCTGCACCTGTAGTGCTGGCATCCCATATGGGTACTGATTTGATTCCTGGCTGCTCTACTTCCAATCCAGCTCTCTGCTGTGGCCTGGGAAAGCAATGGGAGATGGCCCAAGTCCTTGGGCCCCTGCACCCACATGGGAGACCGGGAAGAAGCTCCTGGCTCCTGGCTTCAAATCAGCCCATCTCTGGCTGTTGTGGCCATTTGGGGAGTGAACCAGTGGATGGAAGACTTCTCTCCCTCTCCCTCTCCGCCTCCCTCTCCGCCTCCCTCCCTGCCTCCCTCCCTCCCTCCCTCTCTCCCTCTCTCTCTCTCTCTCTCTCTCTCTCTCCCTCCCTCTGCCTCTCTGTAACTCTGCCTTTCAAATAAATAAGTAAATCTTTTAAAAAAATAGAAGTAGAAGATAATTAATTTTGTAGATTAATACTGTCAAGTAATACAAATTAGAAATATTAATTATTAACCAGGTGTCAAGGAACTGATGTTTTTTTAAATTTATTTTTTATTTTTTTGACAGGCAGAGTTAGACAGTGAGAGAGAGAGAGAGAAAGGTCTTCCTTTTTCCGTTGGTTCACCCCCCAAGTGGCCACTACGGCCAGCACGCTGGCTGGCGTGCTGTGCTGATCTGAAGCCAGGAGCCAGGTGCTTCCTCCTGCTCTCCCATGCAGGTGCAGGACCCAAGGACCTGAGCCATCCTCCACTGCCTTCCCGGGCCACAGCAGAGAGCTGGACTGAAAGAGGAGCAGCCAGGACAGAATCCGGTGCCCCGACCGGGACTAGAACCCGGGGTGCCAGCGCCGCAGGTGGAGGATTAGCCTAGTGAGCCGTGGCGCCAGCCAGAACTGATGATTTTTATAGTTTCTCTTAGAAGGATTATGAATCAAGATGAAGAGGCCATATGTGTGCTTTTTCCTTTAAAGGTTTATTTATTTATTTGAGAGTCAGAGTTACAGAGAGACAGAGAGCTCTTCCACCGGCTTGTTCACTCCCCGATGCTGCAATGGCCGGAGCTGGGCCAATCCAAAGCCAGGAGCCAGGTGCTTCTCCTGGTCTCCCATGCGGGTGCAGGGCCCAAGCACTTGGGCCATCCTCCACTGCTTTCCCTGGCCACAGCAGAGAGCTGGATCAGAAGAGAATCACCAGAGACTTAAACTGGTGCCCATATCGGGTGCCGGCGCTGCAGGCAGAAACTTAACCCACTGTGCCACGTTGCCAACCCCCTGCATGTGTTTAAAAGTATTTCTCATTTCCTTACAATTCTTAGAGGAAATGTGCTCACCTAAAATCCGTGTACTAGAAAGGTCTGTTCATCTGTTCATTCTGTCAGGACGCACTCTCACAGTGCGTTCCTTCCTCCACTGAAGTTTCCGAGTGGAAGGTAACTGGGGAATTCCCCTGGGAGGGCCCCCTGGCGCCCAGAGGAGAGTAGAAAGTGCCCTGGACAGGAAGTCTTGCTCCCAAGCATTGTGCTCCTGGCTGGTGGCTTGCCGGGTGGGCCACGCTGCTCACGCCTGCACTGCCTGGGGGCCACACTGCCCCTAGCCCTCCCCATGGAATAGGAGCACATCTTTTCCTCCTGTCTTTGTGGCTGCCCTTGGGGAGCTGGACCTGCCCAGTGGGTTTTGACTGTGCGTGGTCTCTGCCACGGCGTGTGGCTGACAGGAACGGACTCTGTGAATCGTTGCCTGCCCTCCGTTCTTTGAGTTCAACACTGTATTTTCACTCAGGTTTGTATTTGGAATTTGTTTTCTCCTGCCCTTCTGCCTTTTCTATGGCATTAGTATCTGTCCCCTTCTTGTCTACTTGAAAATGAAGATGAAAGCGACAGAGAAAGGGAGAGATAGATAGAGATCTTCATCAGCTGGTTCACTCCCCAAATGGCCATGACGGTCAGTTCTGGACCAGGCGGAAGCCAGGAGCCAGGAGCTCCATCTGTATTTCCCACATGGGTGCAGGGTTTGAAGTGCTTGGGCCATCTTCCATTGGATGAGAAGTGGGGCAGCCGGGACGTGAACCAGCGCTTACGTGGGATGCTGACATTGCAGGCAGCCGCTTGAGCTGCTGGGCCACAGCCCTGGCCCGCAGCACGAATCGTGCATGGTGTTGTTCCCCAGTGTCAGAACCTCCACGACTCGGAGCACCTGACGTGGCTCATCGTGAATCACATCCAGGACCTGATCCTCCTGTCCCATGAGCCTCCCGTGCAGGACTTCATTAGCGCCGTTCATCGCAATTCCGCAGCCAGCGGCCTTTTCATCCAGGCCATCCAGTCTCGCTGTGAGAATCTTTCCACCGTAAGTGTTCCTGCTGTCAACTAGGGTCCGTCTTAAAAAGGGGGCATTGGGATGTTTAAGTGTCCATTCCCAGTCGGCCAAATGCTCAGCTGCTGTTCCTTTCCCTCGCTCAACCGTCAGCCGACCACTCTGAAGAGGACTCTGCAGTGCTTGGAAGGGATCCACCTGAGCCAGTCGGGTGCCGTGCTCACGCTGTACGTGGACAGGCTTCTGTGCACCCCGTTCCGGGTGCTGGCGCGCATGGTTGACACCCTGGCCTGTCGCCGGGTGGAAATGCTTCTGGCTGCAAGTGTACAGGTACTGAAAACACTGGTGGTGCTCTGCTGACGACTTAGCAGGGCGAGCGAGGCGGGTGCTGGGCTTTCTCAGGCTCCTGTCTCCATAGGACTGCTGTAGCGAAACGGGGCGTGCGTGCGTCTGATCTCCTTCTTGTTCTGTTTTCCTAGTTGCTCTCGCTATAGTCAAGTCAACACACTGTTTATCTTTCTGTGAGGAGTGTGGGGTTACTTTGGCTCCTATGTGTTACAAACCCACTAATGTGTCCTTGTCTGTTCAGAGCAGCATGGCGCAGTTGCCGGTGGAAGAACTGACCAGGATCCAGGAATACCTGCAGAGCAGTGGGCTCGCGCAGAGGTAATGGGGGGCGCACAGGTGGCACTGGCGTCAGATAGCCCAGGATATAAAGTTCATATGGGCACAGATTGCTGCAGCGGGTGGGCGGTGTGCTCCCCGGAAGGGCTGCTGGCAGATGTGCGCCGTAGAGCCTCGTCCCGCCTTGCAGTGCTTGTACTGCTGTTGGCTGTTTGAGGTAGGGGATGGCAGCACTGAAAGACAGTGCCCAGTTCTTGGTGTGTGAGAGTTGTATCTGGTCATAGCCAGGTACCTAGCTCATTTTGTTTGCAAAGCCTTAAAAACCTGTATCAGAAATGCTTGTATCTCTGCTGTATTCCTGTGTCCATGGCTGCAAATTAGTTAAGAGAAACTTTGGCGTTTCTTCCTCCGAGGGCTGGGGAGCGCGTGTGTGCGAGAGAAGGTGGTTACTCTGCTGTGGTTTCAGTCTTGACTTGGGGCACAGTTTGGGGGCAGTCCATAGTTGGAATGAGTTCCCAGTTTGTAGGGCCAGATTATGTTGTCATTTGGATTATGAAGCGGCCACTAACAGATGGTAGAAGATCAGAGTGACCCTAGACCGTCGTCAGTCCAGAAGACGATGATCATAAAAGATCATAGATCTCTTGTATTGGGTGGGGTGATTCTTTCCTTTTATAAAATGGCCCTAAACTGGTGTAAATTATATCTTACTGGGAAATTAGTCATTGATCTTAGTAAGGCATACAATGTGGGTTTTACAACATGGCTTGCTTGAATATTGATGAGAAAATAACTCTGAAGATAAATAAGTTTTAAACAAGTTGCATCTGGCTTTAAGAATCCACTAACATTTCTTCCTTATATTTATATTTCTGGAATCCTGGTTTGCAGAGTTGAAACTAAGCCAAAAAAAAGTAAACTTTGCCATATCTCATTTGTGTTTGATTTTAGACACCAAAGGCTCTACTCTCTGCTGGACAGGTTTCGTCTCTCCACAGCACAGGACTCTCTCAGCCCCTTGCCCCCAGTCACTTCCCACCCCCTGGATGGCGATGGACACATGGCCCTGGAAGCAGTGAGTCCGGACAAAGTAAGTCCGGCACATCAGTGTCTAAGTGTGGGCCGCATGCGGAGGTGCCGGCCGTGGCGCTGCAGACTCTGCCCTCGGGAGTGCCGACGCTCAGCCCAGGACGTTGGCAGCTCTGGCTGGGGTGCGGGCTGGAGACACCCGGGCCGTGCGGGTCTTGTAGCAAGAGTGTGAGGAGTCAGCTGCACAGGCTGCGCCAGCCTCCCTCACCCTGCGCCTTCTGCCTCCGGGTGACGACACCTCTGCCCACAGCCCTGCCCTTTGATCTTCCCTTCCCTGCTCACGGGGCAGGGGTTGGGGTGGGCACAGGCGTTGGAGAGAGTCCTTAGACTTCAAACACCAATAGCCCAGGGATAGGGAAGCAAAGGTTCTGTCCTGTGTTCGCAGCTCTCCTTGGCAAACGCCGAGGAGCAGATGAGCAGAGCACACACCCAGGAGGGTGGCAGAGGCTTATCCGTGAGAGGCAGGAAGGGGCTGCTCACCCCAGTGCTCAGCTGAGTTGCAGAACTGTTGGCGTTCCTCAGGTAGAGGGAACAAGGAGTGGGCGCCCCGTGTTTAACAGCAAGTCCAAAAGCAAGCCCTGTGGCTTGGTGTTCTGGAGCCCTGGGCGGCCAGCAAAGGCTGCTCCAAGCCCAGTCACCGGGCAGAAGAGAAACCCGTCACATTCCCTTTCTCCACGTTTTTCTCCCTCCTAGGACTGGTACATCCGACTCGTCAAATCCCAGTGTTGGACTAGGTCGGATTCTGCATTGCTGGAAGGTGCAGAGTTGTTGAATCGGGTCCCTGCCGAGGACATAGACGCCCTCATGATGGACCCGGTGAGACGGCAGTGGGCACAGGAGCTTCCACTCGGGGAGGGAGGGCAGAGCCCTGGCTCCACATGGCGGGGGAGGGGATAAGGGGCCCAGCTTCCACATGTGGGGGGGGGGGGGGGGGAAAAGGCCCCACTCTCTCACATGGCGGGGGGGGGGGGGAAAAGGGCCCCCCCTTCCACATGGCGGGGGGGGGAAGGGCCCAGCTTCCACATGGGGGGGAGGGGGTAAAGAGCCCAGCTTCCACATGGCGGTGGGGGGGAAAGGGCCCAGCTTCCACATGGCGGGGGGGTGGGTAGAGAGCCCCAGCTTCCACATGGCGGGGGGGGGGTAAAGGGCCCGGCTTCCACATTGCGGGGGGTGGGTAGAGAGCCCCAGCTTCCGCATGGTGAGGGGGAGGTAAAGGACCCAGCTTCCACATGGCAGGGGGGAGGGAGATAAAGGGCCCCAGCTTCCACATGGGGGGGAAGGGGTGAAGGGCCCAGCTTCCACATTGTGGGGGCAGGTAAAGAGCCCAGCTTCCACATGGGGGGGAAGGGGGGAAGGGCCCAGCTTCCACATTGTGGGGGCAGGTAAAGAGCCCAGCTCCCACATGGAGGGGAAGGGGGGAAGGGCCCAGCTTCCACATTGTGGGGGCAGGTAAAGAGCCCAGCTCCCACATGGCGAGGGGGGGGGGAGGTGGGGTCCCTTCTCCCACTCTGTATTCATCATCATGTGATGTCTACAAGCAGCACATGGGGGACTGTGATGCAGGGGCCTCTGATCCAGAAGGGGCCGGGATATCTTTTTAGCCACAGTAGAATCCACACATGTAAAGCAGATGTGGGTGGCCTTAGATTAGTCAGTCTTTTTTGTTCTTTTAAAGATTCATTTATTTATTTGAAAGGCAGAGTTACTGAGCGGCAGAGGCAGAGAAAGTCCTCCATTCTCTGGTTCACTTCCCAGATGACTACAATAGCCAGAGCTGGGCTGATCCGAAGTCAGGAGCCAGCAGCTCCTGCCAGATCTCCCACGCAGGTGCAGGGACCCAGGCACGTTAGCAGGGAGCTGGATGGGAAGTGGAACAGCTGGGACTTGGACCAGTGCCTTTATGGGATGGGGGCACCGCGGGCAGCTGTTGTGCCTGCTGCACCACCGCCGGCCCCTGCAGTCGTTCTAGCTGTTCTCGTGGTAGGGAAGCAGGGATGGCGGCAGTGCGGCAGTGCTTGAGCTAAATGATGCGCTCGTGCTGCTCTGCAAGGGACCTTCGCTACTGAAGTGGGCCTCCCCCCACAGCAAGGTTCCTCCCCCCTGTTCCCCACTAGATGGATGAGGTTCGCTTCCAGCTTCCCTACCCCCACCCCTAGATACGGTAGGTTCTTCCCCCCTCCCCAGACATCAGATGGCCTTGCAGCACGTGGTTTCCTCATCCTGGGCTCCCTGGGAAGGTCCTGCGAGGAGCGAGGCCGCCCCCTTGTCAGCTGTTCGGCTGCAGCCTTAGCAGAGTTCCTTCTCAGGCGGCGACTGGGTGTTGCAGCCCTGCCTTGATGGGTCCTGCTTGGAGGGAAGAACGTGGGGATGCAGGGCAAGGGCCTTTGTTACTGGAACGGGGGTGCCTGCGGGGGAGGAAGGCGGGGTGAGCCAGGACGCACAGGGAGGGAGTGTATCTTCCATCTGCTGGTTCACTCCTAGTGGCCGCAGTGACTGGAGCTGGGCTGATCCAAAGCCAGGAGTTTCCTCGGCGTCTCCTATGTGGCTGCAGGGGCCCAAGTACCTGGGCCATCTTCTACTGCCCTCCCAGGTGCATTAGCAGAGAGCTGGATCAGAAGTGGAGCAGCCAGGACTCGAGCTGGCACCCATATGGGATGCTGGCGCCCCAGATGGTGGCTTTACCCGCATGCACCATAGAACCAGCCCCAAGAACTGCTTTGTAAGAGGAAGCCCCACGTGACCTGGAGATCTCCTAGTGGGCCCACCCAATGCCCACTCTTGATCCATCAGCCAGAAATGTCCATCTTTGAACCATTAACATGAGACCTTGGGGATCAAAGCTGTAACACCTGGGCCTCTGGGGTACACCTAGTTCTCCAAACTGCAGCCGGGAACACAGAGCGTGTGGCCAGGTGTTCATTGTTGACTGATTTAAGAGAAGAGCCACATGGGAAAAGCAGGGGAATCAGCCATAGTCACTCTGTAAAATTCAGTTCCTATTAAGACCCATGCAGTGAAAACTGATTTACTGAATGATAAATTTACTTAGTGACCAATTTAGTCACCAATTGAGCTTTTAACAGCTTTAAAGGTTAAATATTGGACACTGATGATGGAATGTACTTTTCTGAATATTAAACTCAGATTGAAACTGTATTTGAAAAATCAGTGACCACCGGCGCCGCGGCTCACTAGGCTAATCCTCCACCTAGCAGCGCCGGCACACCGGGTTCTAGTCCCGGTCGGGGCGCCGGATTCTGTCCCGGTTGCCCCTCTTCCAGGCCAGCTCTCTGCTGTGGCCAGGGAGTGCAGTGGAGGATGGCCCAAGTACTTGGGCCCTGCACCCCATGGGAGACCAGGAGAAGCACCTGGCTCCTGGCTTCGGATCAGCGTGGTGCGCCAGCCGCAGCGCGCAGGCCGCAGCGGCCATTGGAGGGTGAACCAACGGCAAAAGGAAGACCTTTCTCTCTGTCTGTCTCTCTCTCACTGTCCACTCTGCCTGTCAAAAAAAAAAAAAAAAAAAATCAGTGACCAAGAAATTTTAAATGACTTTTAAAAAAAAGGAAAGAAAAAGGCAAAATACAGTACAGATTGTCATAAGAAATGCTCTTTTTCGGGGCCAGCATTGTGGCACAGCGGGTTAATGCCCTGGCCTGAGGCTCTGGCATCCCATATGGGTGCTGGTTCCAGTCCTGGCTACTCCACTTCCTAACCTGCTCTCTGCTGTGGCCTGGGAAGGTGGTAAAAGATGGCCCAAGTCCTTGGGCCCCTGCTCCCATGTGGCGTACCTGGAAAAAGCTCCTGGCTTCAGTTCGGCACAGCTCTGGCCATTGCGGGCAATTGGGGAGTGATGGAAGACCTCTCTCTCTCTCTCTCTGCCTCTCCTCTCTCTCTGTAGCTCTTTCAAATAAATAACTAAATCTTTATAAAAAATGCTCTTTTTCTAATCAAAATTGTTGCATTTATATGCTACGTTTAGTTATATTGCTTTTGACCATTTTTTTCAAACTTTAGAAATGTTTTTTTTGGATGACACATTAGCCTTGCTTTTATATTTTTATCAATTATACTGTAATTTAGTTAATAAATTTATTTCTAACAAATTTAAGAGCATGAAAAATAAAATAATGGGCTCAGTATTGTGGCACAGTGGATAAAGCCACTGCCTGCAACACCAGCATCCCACAGCCGCTCCACTTCTGATCCAGCTCCCTGCTACTGTGCCTGGGAACGCTGTGGAGGATGGGGGCAGATGGCCTGAGTGTGTGGGCTCTCGCCGTCCACATGAGAGGTTGGAAGAACTCCCGGCTTCAGAACACCCAGTTCCAGCTGTTGTGGCCACCTGGGGAGTGAACCAGCAGATGGAAGACCTCTCTGTCTCTGTAAAAAATTCCGCCTTTCAAATAAACAAACCTTTAAAAAGATAAAAATAATTGCTTCAAAAGTAAAGTGTCCAAGAGATCAGAGATAAGGGGATATTTCAAAAAGTTCATGGAAAATGGATTTGAAAGATAAATTTAGGGCAAGCGCTTGGCCTGGTGGTTAAGGAGCTGCTTCGCACGCCTGGGTCTTGCTTCAGAAGGCCTAGGTTCAGTTCCTGGCTCCTGGCCTCATTCCAGCTGCCTCCTGACACCCACCCTGGCAGGCGGCACAGGGCTCCACGGCTCCAGTATCTGGGCCCTTGCCCCTCCCACTTAGGAGGCCCGGCTTGAGTTCCTGGCTCTTGGCTTAGCCTGGCGCAGTTGTGGCTGTTGGGAGCATTTGGGGGAGTGAACCAGTAGATGGGAACTGTCACTCTCTGTCTCTCTAATAAGTAGGAAAAATTTAAAAATACGTAAATGAGGGTCCGGCTCTGTGGTGTAGCAGGTAAGGCCACCTCCTACAGTACCGGCATTCCATATGGGTGCTGCTTCCAATCCAGCTCCCTGTTAATGTGCCTGGGAAAGCAGCAGAAGATGGCCCAAGTCCTTGGGCCCCTGCACCAATGTGGAAGACGCGGAAGAAGCTCCAGGGTCCTGGCTTCCAATTGGTCCAGCTCCGGCCATTGTAGCCATTTGGAGAGTGAATCAGTAGATAGAAGACCTCTGTCTTTGCTTCTGCCTCTGCCTCTCTGTAACTTTGCTTTTCAAATAAATAAATAAATATTTAAAAATATATATATAAATAAAAAAGTTTTGTTTTGGTGTGAAAATTCATTCATATGAGGAAGTCTTCAAAAACTCATGAAAAAGCTATGCTTGGATTTCAAAATTTTTGTGTCTAATTAGACTTACCTTTTAATTCCATTTTTCTACTAACTTTTTAATGATTTATTTATTTGAAAGGTGGAGTTACAGAGAGGGAGAAGGGGAGCTGCAGAGAAGTCTTCCATCCCCTGGTGCACTCCCCAGATGGCCACAGTGGCCCGGACTGGGCCAGACTGAAGCCAGGAGCCAGGAGCTTTCTCCAGGTCTCCCAATTGGATGCAGGGACCCAAGCACTTGCGCCATCCTCTGCTGCTTTCCCAGGTGCATTAACAGGGAGCTGGATCAGAAGCAGAGCAGCCAGAACTCGAACCAGCTCCCATACAAGATGCTGGTGCTGTAGGCGGCGGCCTGAGCTGCTGACCACAGCACCGGCCCCTCTATGACCTTTTTGAGGTACCCTTGTGTGGTTAATTGAGCATATGTTACATGGAATTGTTCCTATTCAAGAACGGAATGTTTTTAAAGGTAGTCTTTGGGTATACACATCATCCTGTATGGTTTTCCCTTGCCTTATTGGAAGGTTATAATTGTTGTTTGTTTAACCCTTCATGCTCTGATTTTAGGAATTCAACCTGAGCCTGTTAGCTCCATGCTTAAGCCTAGGCCTGCGTGAGATTTCTGGTGGCCAGAAGAGCCCCCTTTTTGAAGCAGCCCGGGCAGTGACCCTGGACCGAGTGAGCAGCATCGTTCAGCAGCTTCCTGCTGTGCATCAGGTCTTCCAGCCCTTCCAGCCTGCAGAGCCCTCAGCCTACTGGAGCAAGCTGAATGATCTGTTTGGTAATGAAAGTCAGAACCTCTCTGGTTGTAAAAGCATTGCAGGGCCAGTGCAGTACGTTACGCCTGGCAAATGTGCAATCATTGATGTTGATCTGACTCTGAAAGCATTTACAGAGATGACTGAGAAACAGCCCTGCGGGTCCTAGCTCCTCCGTGACATGGTTGGTGGCCTAGGCAGGGCCCCGAGCTCTGGGGGAAGCCGGGGTAGGCCTCGGGGGTACAGGTGGGTCCCCGAGCTCTGGGGAAGCCGGGGTAGGCCTCGGGGTGCAGGTGGGGCCCCGAGCTCTGGGGAAGCTGGGGCAGGCCTCGGGGTGCAGAAGGGCCTTTCTGAGCACCAGTGTCTTGAGCGGCTTGCCACTCTGAGACAGAGAGCCGAGATCACAGTGGTCGCTCACCCTCGGTGATGCTCTCTTTCAGGGGATGCCAGTCTGCATCAGTCCCTGATCACGCTGGCTCGGGCCCTGGCGCAGTACCTCGTGGTGATCTCCAAGCTGCCTGCCCATCTGCACCTTCCTCCTGAGAAGGAGGGGGACACGGTGAAGTTTGTGGTGATGACACTTGAGGTAGGAAGCGTCTCCGTGTCCCCAGAGCCTGTGCTCCCCTGAGGGAGCCTGGGGCCGTGTGCCCCGTGACAGGTCTCCAGATGAGCCCCCAGTGCACAAGGACACAGAGGCAGCGAGCAAGGTGGGCATTCTGGCAGCATAGAGGAGCTGGGTGGCCAGGCCCTAGGGCAGCTGGGCATTCTGGCAGCGTAGGGCAGCCCTGGGTGGCCAGGCCCTAGGTGTCCTCCGGGCAGACAAGGTTCTCTAGTCCTGCTGGCCTCTGGATGCTGTCCACAGCCCCGCCACAGCTATGACGCCCACTGCTGCCGTCCTGGGGAGGCATGGCAGGCATTCCCCGATGTGGATTCCTGGGAGGGGTGTGTGACAGGTGTCCTCTAAGGTCATGCTCTCCCTAGGCCCTGGCGTGGCACCTCATCCACGTGCGGATCCCGCTGAGTCTGGGCCTGCAGGCGGGGCTGGACTGCTGCTGCCTGGCTCTGCAGCTGCCTGGCCTCTGGAGCGTGGTCTCCTCGGCTGAGTTCGTGACCCACGCCTGTTCCCTCATCCACTGTGTGCGGTTCATCCTGGAAGCTGGTAAGTCCACGTCCTCACCCCACAAGGAACCTCGTTCACAAATGTTTTTATTTTGTGCTGCCTGTTTCGCGAGTTACCAAGTCAGGAATTGGGGTGAGTGGAGGGAGCGTGGGCCTTGCCATGAAGGAGCCCCGCCGCCGCCGCCCCAGGAGCTTGATGTCTGTGCGGGGACTGAGCTGGAACTGGCGCCTCTGGCCGTTCTGTTTGCTTCTGGAGTTCGTTTTCCTAGGAAACACTTGTAAGCTTTGTGCCCCTTGGATCTCTGGTCCTAGTTGACTGTTTCGTGTTTTTAGTCCTAAATGATCCTAAGATTAATAAGATTATGTTCAAAAGATTACTTTTTTTGTGAGTTGAAATGCCTGTTTCTATACTGCATTGTAATACTAATATATTGTAAAATAAAAGTAATTTATCCTTTCTAAGGAACAGTGTCCTCAACAAGGGTCATTAGCCAAAATGTTTTAAAAATTGGATATTATAGTTTACATGTTAGAGGGTGTTTTGAAGTTTTGTATTTTTAAATTAAACATTATAGAGTTACGTTTTGATGTTTCATTGTTTAAATTGTTTTCATCTGTGCATTTGTAGTCAACTTGAAGATCCAAGGATTAATTTTTAAAAACCAGATTTCTTGGAGGGGCAGTTACAGGGATGCTTCTAGCAGTAGTGCACTGTCTGATAAAACCGTCAGGGTTCTCAGTGGCCAACCGTGGACAGTGGGCGTGTACACGGACAGACCCTTACCACCTGTGACTGAGCGATCGATACCTGAGTGGTATTGTTGCCCGGTTCAGTTCGTCTGAAGTCGGTTGTGGGCAGTCTGGGTGTCGTTTGTCAAGAGTCCCTTCCTGAATTCGTGAGGCCACACAGTGTGCGTGGCTGACGGCACAGCGCTCGAGTGTTTGTTCCGCGTGGTTGCAGTTGCAGTGCAGCCTGGAGACCAGCTCCTCAGTCCAGACAGAAGGATGAGTGCGCCGAAGGCCGTCAGAGAGGACGAGGGAGGCTGCAGCACACAGAGTAAGTCTCAGGACCCTCAGAAACTCCCGTCAGTGTGGACTTGAAGTCCCGCGGAGGACGTGGAAAGTGCAAGGCGTGGGCTCTCGCAAATTATCTCTGACCCAGCTCGTCCTCAGTGAGTGGCTTCAGTCTGAGCTTAGCACATGCTCTTGCCTCTGCCCCTGCCCTACTCCAGCTCAGTGTGAGGTCACGCTCCCCTGGCCCCGCCCCCTCATCCGCAGTGTGAGGTCACACTCCCCTGGCCCCTCCTCATCCGCAGTGTGAGGTCACACTCCCCTGGCCCCTCCTCATCCGCAGTGTGAGGTCACACTCCCCTGGCCCCTCCTCATCCGCAGTGTGAGGTCACACTCCCCTGGCCCCTCCTCATCCGCAGTGTGAGACAGTGCAGCAGGCCCGTGGAAGTGGCGAGCATGCAGGGTCCATTCCAAGGTCAGGTGTGCTCTGTGCTTTATGCTGTGCCCTGACGAAAGCTCTTCCCACGCTTGTCTATACAGAGCCCAGCTACATCGTCACAGCCTGTGAGATGGTGGCCGAGATGGTGGAGTGCCTCCAGTCGGTGCTGGCCTTGGGCCACAGGAGGAACAGCGGCACGCCCGCCTTCCTCACCGCCCTGCTTCGCAACATCGTGGTCAGCCTGGCCCGCCTGCCCCTTGTCAACAGCTACACGCGGGTGCCACCCCTGGTGAGTCTGCTGGTGCCTTCGCTAAGACAACACAAAGTGCTGCTCACGGGCATTCCGGAGCAGGAAGTGGTCTCGCTGCTCAGACTGTGACTAGAGCATCTTGTCCTGGGCCACGTGTGTGACAGGTGTCCTGAGCCACGTGTGTGACAGGTGTCCTGGGCGTGACGTGTGTGACAGGTGTCCTGGGCGTGACGTGTGTGACAGGTGTCCTGGGCCACGTGTGTGACAGGTGTCCTGGGCGTGACGTGTGTGACAGGTGTCCTGGGCCACGTGTGTGACAGGTGTCCTGGGCGTGATGTGTGTGACAGGTGTCCTGGGCCACGTGTGTGACAGGTGTCCTGGGCCACGTGTGTGACAGGTGTCCTGGGCGTGACATGTGTGACAGGTGTCCTGGGCGTGACATGTGTGACAGGTGTCCTGGGCGTGATGTGTGTGACAGGTGTCCTGGGCCACGTGTGTGACAGGTGTCCTGAGCCACGTGTGTGACAGGTGTCCTGGGCCACGTGTGTGACAGGTGTCCTGGGCACGTGTGTGACGTGTGCTCTCGTGGAGGTTAGCAGAAGCTCGGGTTTTGGAAGATGCAGAGAGGCGTTAGTTGTGTCGCTAGTGGGAGTCTCTGTGCAGGTGGCCCTGACCTTGGCTCCCATGGCAGAAGGAGCTCGGCTGCGGGGGGCCTGTCGGTGACTGCACTGACCTCTCCCGGGGGCCTGCATTTCCCCCACAGCCTGCTGGGAGAAGACCACAGGGCGTGCCGCTCACTGGCAGCACAGCCCGTGTCAAGTGGGCAGGAGAGGCTGGCCCGCAGCAGCGCTTCCGTCAGGCGGTGCGAGCCCACACACAGCCAGGTCCCAAGGAACGTGGTTGTCTGCCTCGGGGACTGGGATGTGGGAATGGGACCTGTTTGAGCTGAGAGACGAGGAGGGTCTTCCACAGGGGAAGGGCTTGGAGGGCTCCTCCCTTGGAGGGCTCATCCTGAGGGGAAGGTCAGCTGCCCGGCGGGGCCGTGGGGTCAGAGGACAGCTGCTCCCTGGAAGAGGGGTAGGGAGATGGGGCAGGTTCGGCGTCGGGTGCAGCATTGGACCGTGCTCGAGGGCGTGGCAGCACAGGCGTGCGGGGTTTCCCACGGGACAGCGCCGAGCTGCCCTTGTGAGGGAGCAGCTGGGTCGGGCGACAGAGCCTTCACATGCACGTGGGGAGATCTGGGTACCTCCCTGCTGGGGTGCGGGAGCCCGGCGGCCGTGTCGGGCCCTCCGTCAGGGGCGTCTTTTTCATCCTGATGACCCTCAGACTGTGTGAGGCTGAGCGTCAGGTAACAGGCGCCCTTCTTCGTCCCTGGTGGTTACAGGAGTGAGCGCTGCTGTGGAGCCCGACTGCAGGAGCTGGCGGTGTGGGCAGGCGGTGGCCTGGTCTTGGGAGCTGGGGGTCAGGCAGACGGGAGGGTGCCAGTGGTGAGGAGAGACCCTCAGCTGAGGGGGTCAAGAGTCATTTCCGGGGTGGGGGTATGCGGGCGCGTGGGACGTCTGGGAGCAGTGAGGAAGTCTGACCATTCGGTGTCTTCACGGGACAGCTGTGTGGGTCAGTCTGGGAGGGCCGTCACTTCCTTGTCGTCTTCCCAGGTGTGGAGGCTCGGCTGGTCACCCAAACCAGGAGGGGATTTTGGAACTGTGTTCCCCGAGATCCCTGTGGAGTTCCTGCAGGAGAAGGAAGTCTTTAAGGAGTTCATCTACCGCATCAACACACTAGGTAATGTGTGGACTCCCTGCAGCATCCCTGCCACACCAGCACACAGGCACCCCTACCACACCAGCACACAGGCACCCCTGCAGCTCCCTACCACACCAGCACACAGGCACCCCTGCAGAGTCCCTGCCACACCAGCGCACAGGCACCCCTACCACACCAGCACACAGGCACCCCTGCAGCGTCCCTACCACACCAGCACACAGGCACCCCTGCCACACCAGCACACAGGCACCCCTGCAGCGTCCCTACCACACCAGCACACAGGCACCCCTGCCACACCAGCACACAGGCACCCCTGCAGCGTCCCTACCACACCAGCACACAGGCACCCCTACCACACCAGCACACAGGCACCCCTGCAGCGTCCCTACCACACCAGCACACAGGCACCCCTGCAGAGTCCCTACCACACCAGCACACGGGCACCCCTACCACACCAGCGCACAGGCACCCCTACCACACCACACAGGCACCCCGGCGCTCTCCCTGCAGCTTCATCACACATCAAGTGTCTGCCACCTGGAGTGCCGTGGTTGGGGCCTCTTCGTAGGAGTCCCGTAAGATTGGGGCATGATCATACTGCAGACCTCCGTGAATGTGCCTGCATGTATGCAGTTCCTCATTGCAGTGAGAAGTGCGTGTGATTTTAATCCCAGGTTCTGCCCTACCGTGATGCCTCCTGGGAAATTCAGCGAGGAGTCTGACTCCACCATCCCGCAGGCTGCTGCAGATTCTGTGTTGACTTTGATTTCTGAAGGTTCTGTCAGCAGGTCCCTTATTGCCTCTGCTTCTCCTTTAGTAACCAGACTATTCATCGCCCCGTCCAAAATGAAATCAAGCGGGAATGCACACCAGCCCCACCTCACAGAGCCTGTCTGCTCTCTCCCTGTAGCGTGGCAGCCAGGGGCCTCCTGGTCTTGCTCCTTGCCTGATGCCAACTCCTTTTACTTAGCTGTCTTTTTTTTTTTTTTTTTTGACAGGCAGAGTGGACAGTGAGAGAGAGACAGAGAGAAAGGTCTTCCTTTTTTGCCGTTGGTTCACCCTCCAATGGCCGCCACAGCCTGTGTGCTGCGGCCGGCGCACCGCGCTGATCCGAAGGCAGGAGCCAGGTACTTATCCTGGTCTCCCATGGGGTGCAGGGCCCAAGCACCTGGGCCATCCTCCACTGCACTCCCTGGCCACAGCAGAGAGCTGGCCTGGAAGAGGGGCAACCGGGACAGAATCCGGCGCCCTGACTGGGACTAGAACCCGGTGTGCTGGCGCCGCAAGGCAGAGGATTAGCCTAGTGAGCCGCGGCACCAGCCTAGCTGTCTTTGTTCTTGAACTGTTGGTCAGACCTGCATGGCCCCAGATAATTCTAGAATCTCCCTGATGTTTTGCTGTTGGTCGCGTCCATTTTTCTTCTTTCCTTGTGTAAGTCGTCATCTATGCCCCTCGGTTTATATTTGTCTGTATCTAAACCTGCCACGCTGTCTGGATCCACTTCACCGAGGAGCTCCTAGGGTTTGATGCTTCCGCTCTCCTGCCCTCTGCCCCTGTGGCCTCAGTGTGAGGGTCAGGGCCTCCTCCGTGTGGGTCACAGGAGCAGTAAGCCCAGCCACTCCTGCTCCCTGACGCCGAGGCTCGGTGGCCTCGGAGTTGTGCCTCCAGATCACGTTCTTCTATACAGGGCCAGGGAAGCTGTTGTCTTGGCCTGGTGATGTTTAATGGCTTTACTGACAGAACTTCATTCCACGCAGTTCTCCCACGTCAAGTCCGTGGTTCTGAGGCCTTTGGTTCACTGAGCTGTGCACTCTTCAGCCCAGTTTACTGTTGGATTTCAGGAAGGAATTTTTAAAAGTTAATTAATTTTTATTTGAGGTACAGAGACAGAGCTTCTATCTGCTAGTTTGCTGCCCAAATGCTTGTGGGGAGGGGAAAAGGGGCTGAATGCAGAGTTAGGGACTCGGTCTGGGTCTCCCACGTGTGTGCCGAGACCCCAGCGCTGCCCCCAGGGTCCCCATCAGCACGCAGCCAGAGCACAGGTGCCCTGATGGGCGATGCAGGTGGCCCAGCTGGCAGCCTTCCTGCCAGGCAGAACGCCCGCCCCAGGAGGGCTGACCCGTCTGGTGAGCGTGGCAGAAGCGTCTCGGCTTGCTCAGGTGCAGCCTTGTGTGCCCCTTCACCTCACTCCCGCCACGGCTGCCCTGTGCATACAGCAGACGCCTCCCAGCCACGCTGCCCAGGCTGGAGTCTGCCGGGCCGCCTGCTTGTCAGCTCCCGTGTGCTTTGGTCTCCTCACTGGTGAGATGGAGGAAGTGTCCCCTGCCTCCTGGACGCCTGCTGCTGATGGCGGGAGCTGCTGTGTGAGTGTCACTGTGGGCACAGCGACAAGCCTGGAAGGTGGGCGGAGCTCCAGCTCATGTAGCGCTCGCATTCCCAGGATGGACCAGTCGCACCCAGTTTGAAGAAACGTGGGCCACCCTCCTTGGTGTCCTGGTGACCCAGCCCCTTGCGTTGGAGCAGGAGGAAAGCCCACCAGAGGTAAGGTCCCCACGACTCAGACCTGCTGACTGGCCAGTGGACACTTATGGCCACTGGTAGGTCTTTGGTGGCCAGCAGAAGGAGGGCAGCAAGCTAATGCTGTCCGTCTTGCCCAGTTTTCCTGGTAGCGGCCAGGTGGTGTCTTTGGCGGGGACAGATCTCAAGGTGCAGCGGTGAGGTTGCCAGTGGCCAACGCGCATTCACCCCATGTCCACCATGCTGAGCGCCAGCAAGACTGTGCCCCTTCGTTTATGTGTTTGAGGGTCAGAACCAGGTTCCGGAGCCACCACTGCTGCCTCCCAGGGTCTGGAGCGGGAGCCAGGCATGGAACCTAGCACACAGGGGACAGCTGCTGGGCTCTGCGCCTGCCCTGCCCTTTCTCAAAGACACCTTTGAGTGCTGTTTGCTTGTCCACATCCAGAGAAGTATGGGTTGACTTGGTATGAAAAGGCACCTTAGAAAGGCCGTGTAGAGTGCCTGGTTTTGTTTAATTGTTTGGCAGAGACTCTTCAGCTTCTGGGGCTGCTGGTGTGTGTCATGCTAATGTCATGCTGATGCCATGCTGATGTCATGCTGATGTCATGCCAAATTGAGTCACGCTCTGGAGAAGCAGAGCTTGTGCACCGAGAGCCCTGGGCTGTGAGGGAGAAGGGGCGAGGCAGGCGTCTGCCCCAAAGCAGCAACCGTATCTTTTAGTCCATCTGTGGGCGTCGACAGGTCGTTGGATGCAGGGCCTGTGAAGTCAGCAAATTTAAGCACACGTTAAAAGAAAGAGATTTATCTAATTTTTATTTGTTTTTTTATTTTATTTTTTTTATTTGACAGGTAGAGTTATAGACAGTGAGGACAGGTAGAGTGAGAGAGAGAGAGACAGAAAGGTCTTCCTTCCGCTGGTTCATTCCCCAAATGGCCGCTATGGCTGGTGCTGCGCCAGTCCGAAGCCAGGAGCCAGGTGCTCTTCCTGGTCTCCCATGCAGGTGCAGGGGCCAAAGCTCTTGGGCCATCCTCCACTGCCTTCCCAGGCCGCAGCAGAGAGCTGGACTGGAAGAGGAACAACTGGGACTAGAACCCGGCAGCCCTATCTAATTTTTATTTGAAAGGCAGACTTACAGAGAAGAGAGAGAGAGGACTTCCATCCTCTGGCTGCCTCCCCAAGTGGCCACAACGGCCAGATCTGGGCCTGTCCGAAGCCAGGAGCCAGGAGCTTCTTCTGGATCTGCCACGTTGGGTGAACAGGCCATCTGCTTTCCCAGGCGCGTTAGCAGGGAGCTGGATCAGAATTGGAGTAGCCGGGAATTGAACTGGCGCCCATATGGGATGCAGGTGCTGCAAGAGGCAGCTTAACCTGCTCCGATACAGCGCCAGCCCTAGCACACTTTTTTAAAAAATAGTTTATGGGGCCGGCACTGTGGCATAACAGTTAAAGCTGTTAGAATCCCGGCTGCTCCACTTCCGATCCAGCTCTCTGCTATGGCCTGGGAAAGCAGTAGAAGATGGCCCAAGTGCTTGGGCCCTGTACCCACGTGGGAGACCTGGAAGAAGCTCCTGGCTCCTGGCTCCTGGCTCCTGGCTCCTGGCTTCGGATCAGCCCAGCTCCGGCCATTGCAGCCATTTGGGGGAACCAGTGGGTGGAAGACCTTTCTCTCTCTGTCTTTGCCTCTACCTCTCTGTAACTCTGCCTTTCAAATAAATAAATGAATCTTTAAAAAAAAAAAAACAAGGTAAAGGTGTTTATAGGTGGAGTCCCATGCCCATGCCCATCAGAGACCCTGCTTTGAAAAGGAGACATTTGCCCAGCTGATTTGTTTGAAAGCACAGGTGTGAGAGGTGCTGCCCTCTGCTGGGTGAACGTAGGCCTGGGCGGCTCCCTCGCTCTTCCGTCCTCTGAAGCTGTGTGTGGTCTATAGGTTCCGCTTGCTGGGTTGGGGGTAGGGGGTAGGGTTGGTTGGTGGGGGCTCGCTGTCTTGTTAATGTGTGGGCTGTCCTTCCAGGAAGACATGGAAAGGACGCAGATCAACGTCCTGGCTGTGCAGGCCATCACCTCCCTGGTTCTCAGTGCGATGACTGTGCCTGTGGCCGGCAACCCCGCTGTGAGCTGCCTGGAGCAGCAGCCCCGGAACAAACCCCTGAAAGCTCTCGACACCAGGTTTGCCCAAGTTCCCCTTGTCTCCAGGGCGCCCAGGGCTGGTGCTGGAGACAGGGAGAGGCCGCCCCCCACGTGGTGACCGGCAGCTTCACCCAGGCCCTTTGGTGTGCTTCACAGCAGTGCACGGGGCCCTGCCGCACACGGGGCAGATCCAGAGTGGCAGTAGAGCAGTGACTAGCTGCAAACTAGACGGGAGTCGTGCAGGGGTCATTGAGGGTCGAGTGGCAGAGTCTAACAGAGCAGGACACGGAGCTGATCCACCCCTGCCAGGAGCCCACGTCTGCTGCTCTGCCAGGTTCCCTTAGACAAAACGGGGGGGAAGTTGTCATGTTTCTCATTTGTAAGATTTTGAGGGAAGCAAAATTTTTTCTACCTTTGTTTTGAATTTTAGGTTTGGGAGGAAGTTGAGTGTGATCCGAGGAATTGTAGAGCAGGAGATTCAAGCGATGGTTTCCAAGAGAGAGAATATTGCCACCCATCATTCGTACCAGGCGTGGGACCCCGTCCCTTCCCTGTCTCCAGCGACTGCAGGTACCGGGCACCAGGCGTGGGCTCCCGTCCCTTCCCTGTCTCCAGCGACTGCAGGTACCCGGCACCAGGCGTGGGACCCCATCCCTTCCCTGTCTCCAGCGACTGCAGGTGCCTGGTGGGAAAGTTGTACTTGGCCTGAAAGTGAATGAGACTCGTGCCTCACCACACCCATTGGACAGGAAGCCTGATTGCGGCTTTATTTGGAGGCTGTGGTGCTAACTGCTGCCACCATTCACAAATAGGAGTGTCATTCAGGGCTCGGAGAAGCTTACGGTTGGAAATAGAATCTGGGAGTGAACTAGAAGCAGTGTCTCTCGCCAGTTGAGTTATGGGAAGCCAGAGCGTTCTCAGAGGCTGAGTGACTGGCAGTTGCTTGCATTAGATAGTCAGAGTGCACCTGAGTCCTCTGGATCCCCAGCCTCTCGTAGGAAGTCCCCAGAACCTGTGTCCTAGAGTGCGTGCATCTGACAGCCCCACAGGCTGGGCCACCGCGTCTGAGCGGCCCGCTCCCCTCACCTCTCCTGCTGAGCCCTGTGTGCTGTGCTGAGCGGGCATGCTGCCCTTTGAGTTGCGCTCCTATCTTGTGAGGGGCACCAGCCTCGTTGCTCTGGGTGAGTGGCCTTTTGTGGGCATTTGGGAGAGGTTTTTGTGTAGCACCGCTATTTTTGTTCTTTTGACAAGCAGTATTTTGGCACTGCCAGGAGCTGTTAGGGGCTGTACACTGAAGCCCCTCGAAGGCTTTCTTGGAAGAGGCCCAGTACAGCATGTTTTGTTTTTGTTTTTGTTTTTGTTTTTGTTTTTGTTTTTGTTTTTACAGGCAGAGTTAAGACAGTGAGAGACAGAGAGACAGAGAGAAAGGTCTTCCTTCCGTTGGTTCACCCCTCAAATGGCTGCTACAGCTGGCGTGCTGCGGCCTGCACGCCGCACCGATCCGAAGCCAGGAGCCAGGTGCTTCCTCCTGGTCTCCCATGCAGGTGCAGGGCCCAAGGACTTGGGCTGCAGCAGAGAGCTGGACTGGAAGAGGAGCAACCTGGACAGAATCCAGCGCCCCAACCAGGACTAGAACCAGGGGTGCCAGCGCCGCAGGTGGAGGATTAGCCTAGTGAGCCGCGGCGCCGGCCTATGTAGTACAGCGTGTTTTGTGCCCTCATTTACCGGGGCATTGCCTTCAACTCAGCCCTGTGATCTTGGGTGGCCCTGGATCCACCCATCAGGTTCATGAGCCAGTAGGATCATTGCAAAATGGCGTGACCATCATGATGGCAGGAGAGTGGGACAAGCAGATGTGGGAGCGCTCGGGGAGCAGGGGCATCGTCTTGGACAGGGTGGGTCGCCGCTCGATCTGGCAGAGGATTCGCTGGGGCCATTCAGCTGGGGGAGTGGTGGCCTAGCGATGGAAGTGGAGAGGCATCTTACACCTACTCCTGCTGGCGCCAGCCGGCCTGGGCCCCCAGGCAGGGCTCCACGGGTCCTGTTCGCTGAGGTGGTCGTCTGGCCCCACGCGAGAGCCTGCCTGCTTAGACTGTCACCCGTATGCAGCTGCCTCCCCGTTAGGCTTTTGTAGCTCAGCCTATTCTGGTTCAGGTCCCAGGGTTGGAAACTGAGGACTGAGTGATGAATGCCGCAGTCTTGTTTGGTACAGAGAAAAAGTGATAGTCCAGTTCCTCCACTGGTCCTTAGGGCTTAATGGGTTTCAGAGTGACAAAGAACACCCCTGAGACCCAGGGGGCTCTGCTCACTGCTCAGCCCGGACCACCCTGCCGGGGTGCGGCCTGCAAGGCAGGAGCGGCCCGCACCAGGGCACACAGAGCAGGGCTCACGAGGCTGTCCTTCGCAGGTGCCCTCATCAGCCACGACAAACTGCTGCTGCAGACCAACCCCGAGCGTGAGCTGGGGAACACGAGCTACAAGCTTGGCCAGGTGAGCCGGCAGCCCCCGGTCTGTGTCTGACCTCAGGCCCGGGCCACTGAGCACATCGGGGAGAGGTTTCATGTGGTTTTAAATGAAGGGGTGTTTTACTTTCGTTATCTTCTTTATTTCAGAAATGCTTTAGGATACTTCTCAGGTAGTGACACAGATGTGTGGGAGACGCCAGTGAGATGATGGGAGTTAGGCTAGGTAGCAGCCAGGAGGTGGAGCAGGCTGGACGAGGCCGGCACAGTAAGTAGAGTGGACACTTGCAGGGTCTCAGCTCTGGCCAATGTCCCCGGAGCCGCCAGCACAGACAGCACAGCAGCCTGGCCCTCAGGGCAGACGGGCAGCTCCATAGCTTCTGGACAGTTCCACTGAACTGCTTATGACCCCTCATCAGAAAGGTATGGGTAGCCAAGCACACAGCAGTGTGTGTGCACCGCTGGTGCCCGAAGGCTACCCTGGCCACCTGCACCTTTCTTGCCACTCACTGCTGTAACTTCCTCTCTGTGTTGCTGCTTTATTTAGAAACAGATTGTACAAGGTGGCTCTCTTGTTAGCCCTTGTTTCAGGAGAAACTGATCAGAAAAGTACTTGGAAACACTTGGTAGTTCTAAGGGTTTCCTCCTCTAAGCTCCTAGTGAGCATTGGATCCCGTAGGAGGTTATGCTCTGCATGGCTGGGGCCTGGTGGCTGCTGGGACAGGAAGCCACAGACAGACTCTGAGTTTTGCAGAGAAGTCCCCCCGGGACGAGCGACAGTGGCTGTTGTGTTGTGAGACACTTTTCCTGGGAGTGCTTCTGAAGGCGGGAGAGGCTGCACCCACTGAGTGCCTACAGCCACCTTCCAATCGCAGGACATCAGCTCCGCGGTCCTGCTGTGCTCACCTGACTGCCCATTTCCCTCAGCGTTTGTGTCCGCACCCAGCTGTCTCCAGGCCGAAAGTGGTGGGGACACACCCGGCTGGAATGCGGCCGCACCCCACCCTGTCTGGCTACCTGTCAGCCCCCAAATGCCACTCGACTGAGCTGCCACTTGCTTTCGGGAAGGGGTTGGGTTGGGTGTTGGGCTTGGGGATTACAGGGGCCAGCAGGGGCCACATGCTGGGTGTGGTGCTGGGATCAGGGAGCAGTGGCCGTTGGTGCCTCTGGAATGCAGGGGCAGCGTCCCTGTTGCCCCCGGGCACCGTGCCGGGGCAGCAGGCAGTCTGCTGACATGTCGTCCGGAGTGTGGCGCTTCCTGCAGCCGGGCGCCTCTGCTGGCCTCCGTGCCCCCTCCTGCTGCGTCCCTCGCCCCTGCCCCCCACCATCTCCAAAACCATCACCTCCCCTTTTGCATTCTAGGGGGCTTTTTAAAGGAAGTAACACAGGGAGATGGGGTTTACCGCGAGTGGCTGCCCGTGAGGGAGGACCAGATTGGGGCAGAAACCCCGCGTGTTGGCTCCATGCTTGGCCAGGACCTCATCTGAGTGTTCCTGCCTGGAGGCGCTGACCCCCCCACCCCCACCCCGTCCCTGATCCCGGTTCCCGGCAGCACTGCAGCCCTTGGACTCGTCTGCCTGAGACGTGGGTCTGATAGCTCCTGTGTGGGAAGGCGCCCGCAGTGGGGCACTCAGTGCAGGGCCAGGCACTGAGCCAGTGTCCATTCCCGTGGCAGGTGTCCATCCACTCCATGTGGCTGGGGAACAGCATCACGCCCCTGAGAGAGGAGGAGTGGGACGAGGAGGAGGAAGAGGAGGCCGATGTCCCCGCACCGTCACCTCCACCCACGTCTCCTGTCAACTCCAGGTCTCCACTGGCCTTTTCTAAGCGGTTTGAAATGCCTTACTGGTCACTGGATGTGTCTGCGGGGCTTGTTGACGTGGCGCTTTCTGGCTGTCTTGCACCCTCTGCAGGAAGCACCGGGCTGGCGTCGACATCCACTCCTGTTCACAGTTCCTGCTCGAGTTGTACAGTCGCTGGATCCTGCCATCCAGTTCAGCCAGAAAGACGCCGGTCATCCTCATCAGTGAAGTGGTTCGATCCGTGAGTTGGCCTGCCACCATCTCCTCTCACGTAACACACACACGGGCTGTCCACGCATGCACCATACGTGCTGTACAGCCATGCAGAACTGAGAAGGGCCCCTGTGGATTCACGGGTGCAGGAGAAGAAATCAGTATTTCTCAGATTGGCAAAGGACGGTTTTTTACGTTTCCAGCCCCATAGCAGAGGGAGACACACAGTAAGGGTGTTCTGGGAGCGCTCGTTGTTACCCACGGTCCTTGTCTGTTCACCTCTGGGGCATGTGACGGGGTCCCGCGTGCCCGGTCCCCACTGCCAAGAGGCGCCGCCTCGTAGGGCAGGCGCTGCAGGTGGCAGTCTTGGGGCCAAGACGCCTCAGCCACTCAGGCGCTCCGAGGGCGCTAGCTGCGGCGTTGGTGTCTCAGTGTCAGCGATGGAGCAGAACCTGAGGCGCTCTGGAGACACACCCGACCAGTCAAAAGTAATTTGTTACAAATAGGTTTTAAAAATTAGAATAGCTTTTTTATATTTTTTAAAAATTTAAAAAGCAAAATGTGTAGCTTGTTAGAAAACAGCTAAATTCACACGTCTGCTCTTGGCTCAGTTTATAATACCACGTAAGCACTGCAGACTTCGGTCATACACTGGGGAAATTGAGGTCGGGGAGAGGCAAGCTGGTCAGCATTGCTGTGGGCATAGTTTGGTCCTTGGCAGTCACCTGGAGGGTCTCAGCTATACCAGGCTTTCCGGGCCACTTCAGAGCCTCAGCCCCCGCCCCCACCCACTCCTGCAGAATAGGGTGCCCATGATTGAGTTCTGATTTTAGGTGTAATGTTAGGAGTAGAACCTTAGAGAAGGGGCCAGCATTGTGGCATAGCAGATAAGCTGCTGGCGTCCCTATGATGCTGGTTCATGTCCCAGCTGCTCCAGTTCTGATCCAGCTCCCTGCTGATGGCCTGGGGAAAGCAATGGAACATGGCCCTAATACTTGGACTCCTGCCACCCACGTGGGAGACCTGCAAGAAGCCTCTGGCTCCTGGCTTTGGCCTGGCCCAGCCCCAGTCATTGTGGCCATCTGGGGAATGAACCAGCGGATGGAAGATCTTTTTCTCCCTCTCTCTGTCTCTTCTGTGTGTTAACTCTGACTTCCAAATAATAAATAAATCTTTAAAAAAAAAAAATAGAGAAAGAGGGTGTTGGAAGCTCACCTGAAAAAAACCACACTTACTTCTCAACAAGTAGTTGTCCGCCTGACTCCTCCTGTGTGGTGGTGAGGTCCTATCCTTGGGAGCAATCACAGAAGTAGCCCTTTCACTGTTCCCATGTGGGCGCTGGCTGTGCCAGGGCTGCCCTCTGGGGCAGGCGTGGGTGCCAGTGACGGGGTTTTCTTCATGTTCTGTGTTTAGGTTTTGTTTTTAGAGTGTCTGGGTTGAAGTCCCAGAACTCCACTTTTTTTTTTTTTTAACTTACTTGACAGGTAGAGTTAGATAGTGAGAGAGAGACAGAGAGAAAGGTCTTCCTTCCGCTGGTTCACCCCCCAAATGGCCACTATGGCTGGCGCTGTGCCATCCAAAACCAGGAGCCAGGTGCTTCTTCCTGGTCATCCATGCCGGTGCAGGGCCCAAGCACTTGGGCCATCCTCCACTGCCCTCCCGGGCCACAGCAGAGCGCTGACTAGAAGAGGAGCAGCCAGGACTAGAACCCAGTGCCCATATGGGATGCCCGTGCTGCAGACAGAAGATTAACCAAGTGAGCCACGGCGCCGGCCCCCGTGTTAGGTTTTTAGGTTCTCGGTCGGGGTTCCTGTGCATTCCCGCACCTCACCTGTGAGCGTTCGAAGGTAGCCTGTCGTCGCTGGCGCGTCGGGCCGCACCGCCTGCCTTTCTGATTGCGTAGTCTTCCCTTCCTCCCCGACACTCCCCCTCCAGCTTCTTGTGGTCTCAGACCTGTTCACTGAACGCAACCAGTTTGAGATGATGTATGCGACGCTGACCGAGCTGCGGAGGGTGCACCCTTCGGAAGACGAGATTCTCATCCAGTACCTGGTGCCTGCCACCTGCAAGGCAGCTGCTGTCCTCGGCATGGTGAGTGGCACGCCCTGCTGCCGGTTCCCCGGCTAGTCTTCAGCTCAGAGCATCCAGTTCTGCTGCTGCCGTTCCACACTCCTCACAGAGATGGTCCCTGCAGCCGCACGACGGCCTCTCCACGGTCTGCCGGTGGCCCAGTGCACGCCCAGTCCCTCTGTGCCGCTTGCGTTTGCCACAGCGGCCTGCATTCCTGCTCCCAGGTCTGGGCACTGTGACGTGTTGTTGGCGCCAGGGCCAACTGGGTGTTGAGCTGCTGGGGCAAAGCCTCTTGGCCTGGATGGCTCACAGCCAGCCCGTGAGCACGACACGAGCAGGTTCTGTGCACAGTGAGGGGCGCTGCTTGCCGTGTCCCTGGGGTGGCATGAGCCCACCCGCGGAGTGCTGTCACACTGGGAGTTGGTTTTCAGCCTGCGAGTTGGGGGCGGGAGGTGGGGCACAAGCATTCGGGCCCTAGCAAGGGTCAGATGGTGTCTTCCGGTTCCTCCTTACTCTGCCTGGAGCTCATCGGTGCTTACGGCACCAGATCCTGTGCCTGTGTCACCATGGGAAGGCTGCCAGCCACACACGTCAGCTATACGCACCACTAACCATGAGTGCCGTCAGTCCTTACAACACTGTAAGGCACTCGTGTTCTGTGGCCACTTCAGTACTGTGTGTGTCAGCATTTAGGCCTCTGGTGGGGGCTTGAGGGTACCTGGCTACCCCGTGTTCCACGCGTTTTCCTCTGGGTCGTAGCACCCTGTGTGACAGCAGGAACATTGCCGCTCCTGCTATGCCCGCACCCCTGGCCTCGTCTACTTCTGAAAGGCAGCCTGAGAAAGCAGAGGTCGGAGGTTAGCTGACTTGTGCCAGGTCGCACAGGATGGGGGCTCGCCCTGTTGCCCACTGCTCCCTCCTGGGGTCTGTCCCGGCAGAGCCCGGGTGCTGGAGCAGGTAGGGTGTCGTGGGTGGCCTTCAGCCTGCTGCTGCGCCAGTGACTCAGAGCCACGCAGGGAGCAGAGACAATGGGTGTGGGTCTCCTGGTGTGAACATGTTCTTCAAAGTCAGTGCCTCTGGGTGCTGCCTGAATGATGGCAAAGCAGCTCCCTGGAAGGGGCCTTTTTTCTCTGTGGGGAGTTCCAGTGGCTGGCTTAACTTTTCATTGTCACTGTGTTTTGTGCTAGACCCAGAGCCCCCAGGCAAATGTAAATCAAATAAATGAAATAAGAAATAACAATTTTCTAGAGAGATCCTGAGGCAGAAAGGCGCCTGGACCCTGCTTCTGAGTTCTGTGCACACAGCTTTTCCCTGGAAGATGGCCGTCTTCTGTGAGGGTCTGCAGCGTGCCGTCCTCAGCCCCTGCAGGGACACCCGCGTGGTGGCAGCGGGCCGTGTTTTCAGCAGTGGGGCTGAGGAGTCGGGCAGGCCCAGCCCAGGGGTGAAGCAGGGAGCGTCTCCTTCTGCCCGAGGCTTGGGACGCAGAATTCCCACAGAAAGCTGGATGGCCACGGCCTCTCGTCACTTCCGTGGGGGAAGACAAGGTGTCAGCCAGCAGCAGCCACTCTGCGTGGAAACGGTGTGGAGAACCTGGTGTTGCAGCACGCCCACCACTGCCTGCGACTGTTACAGAGCACAGTGCCGCGTGGGTCTCGGTGTGTACAGGACCCGTTGTACTAGGACTCACAGGACTGAGCGAAATGGACCAAGGCAGCATCGAGTGCTGTCGAGAGTCCCCAAGATGACTCCATATTTTTGTTAGAAGGGATCACAGCTTAAATTCATTATAGGAAGGGGTTCAGAGCAGAGTCAGCAAAGAGAAAAGGCACAGGGCCAAAGTTCCAAGGAGACCGGCCGAGCTCCCAGAATCCTCTCCCAGTGGACTCTCCCAGCTCATGCTCAGTCCCCCAGCGAGACGTTCTGACAACACACAGGACATGCAGTCAGCCAGGGGAGCCCGGCAGGGACTCCGTGTGCGGGGTCTTCACGGGGGGCTGGTCGTGTGGGCACGCTCGGCCGGGCTCGTTCTAAACCTCAGACTCCCAGGACAGCAGGTGCAGCATGAGCCCCCTTGTCTGCACAGGCAGCCGAGGCCCGTGTGGGCAGTGGGCACCCTCCCAGAGCCAGCGAAGGGCTAACCTGGTGCGCAGGCCTCTCAGGCAGTGAGGGGCTAACCTGGTGCACAGGCCTCTCTCAGACAGCCAGGGGCTAACCTTGTGTACAGGCTTCTCAGACAGCGAGGGGCTAACCTGGTGCACAGGCCTCTCTCAGACAGCGAGGGGCTAACCTGGTGCACAGGCCTCTCAGGCAGCGAGGGGCTAACCTTGTCACAGGCCTGCTCTCAGGGCTCTTCTGCATGCTGGACTTCTCTGGACATGAGGGCAGCCTCTTAGCTACAGGGCAGCCGGCCACTGGGCCAGCTGCTCCTGCTCCATCCTGGGCAACCTTGCCTGTGCTTGTTTGCAGGACAAGGCTGTGGCCGAGCCCGTCAGCCGCCTGCTGGAGACCACGCTCAGGAGCGGCCACCTGCCCAGCAGGATCGGAGCCCTGCACGGCGCCCTCTACGTGCTGGAGTGCGACCTCTTGGATGACACGGCGAAGCAGCTCATCCCCGTCATCAGCGACTATCTCCTCTCCAACCTCAAGGGCGTAGCCCAGTGAGTGGGCACCTGACGGGTGGGAGGGAGAAAGAGCTGGCCACAGGGCGGCAGGTAGCAGTGGGAACCCAGGCAGGCGCCCTGCTCCTGGCAACAGTGAGGCCCGGGAGACGTGGGGTGCAGATGCTTGCCCGATGGAAGCTCTCGCGAGTGCCCCCGAAGAGGTGGCATTATCTCTGCTTTCCTCCCCCGTGGTGCTCAGCCCGCTCCCACGTGCCGCTGCCCACTCTGTCGGCAAGCACGGCCAAGGCTCAGCCTGCTCTCTGTAGCACCCCTCCCGCACGCCGTGGTGGGGAACGCATTGCTGTGATCCCACCTTGCCGCCTGCTGCCCCGACGGCCCTGAGAAGGCATGGCTGGTTACGGAGCCCTTAGGAAGCAGACGAGCATGTGGCACCCAGCAGAGCCGGCAGCACAGCTTAGCTGTCTTCAAACTCACAGTCATGGGAAGAGTTGAATTTCTGCAGGCAGAGGAGGCCCCTCAGGTGTGGTTCAGGGTGGGCTGCAGCAGGGAGGTGGTACCAGGAACCCGTGGCTCCAACCCAGGCAGAGACGGCGTGGCGCTGTAGCAAGGCCCTTCCTACTGGATGGTGAGCCCTGAGCAAGCAGGGTAGGCAGAGAGCTGGCCACCATCCCCGTGTGCCCAGAGATGGGTCTATGGTGGAGTCCTGCTGAGACGTGGGGGTGGGCCTGTCTCTGCCCCATGTGTTGGAGGACACGTTTTTGGTGCAGCCCCTGAGCTGGCATCAGGCCAAGGCAGAGCCACTGGTCATCTGGTGCATGGCCGTTCCTTGGTGCTGTCACTCAGCAGACTTGGAGGGATACAGGGAGTGTCCAGGTAGAGACTGGACAGCGCTGGCCTCAGAGCCAGCATGCGGCCTACATTGTGGCAGCCGTGCGTAAGCAGTGGAGGTGGGTGTGCTGTCTGCACGTGTGGCAGAGGTGGTGAGCTAGACTCTTTGTTCACGGTGGCCGTTCGTCCAGTGACAGGCAGGCTAGGTCTTTGTTCACAGTGGCCGTTTGTCCAGTGACAGGCAGGCTAGGTCTTTGTTCACGGTGGCCGTTCGTCCAGTGACAGGCAGGCTAGGTCTTTGTTCATGGTGGTCGTTTGTCCAGTGACAGGCAGGCTAGGTCTTTGTACACAGTGGCCGTTTGTCCAGTGACAGACAGGCTAGGCTGTTGTGGAGCAGACAGGTGCCAAGAGGAGACTCCCCAAGTCGGGGTTCAAGGTACCACACAGGAGAGCAGAGGGCACCCTCCAGGCCTCTCTGATGGGCAGAGGTGAAGTGGCCAGTGCTGGGATGAGGCGAGCCAGGCTGAGGGCTTTGCAGCGTGAGGCAGGCAGGCCATGTGGAGTGAGGCCAAGTGCAGAAGCCAGGGCCAGCCGTGCAACGGGTGCAGAGTGCTCGAGTGCCGTGTGGCCTTGCCTATGTACCCCCTACCAGGCCAGGTTGAACGGGTCCAGGCCACGGAGGAGCCGGCCCGCGAGGGTGGGGCAGCTGTGTGTGACAGGCCATCTGTGCCCCGTTGCAGCTGCGTGAACATTCACAGCCAGCAGCACGTGCTGGTGATGTGCGCCACTGCCTTCTACCTGATGGAGAACTATCCTCTGGACGTGGGGCCGGAGTTCTCAGCGTCAATCATACAGGCGAGTGGCCCCGGGCCCATCTCTGTCCCTGTCCTCATGGACAGTGGGGTCAGCTGTGGTTCCCCTGCGGCCGCCCTGCCACTCTGACAGAAGGCTTTCTCTCGTCCAGATGTGTGGAGTGATGCTCTCTGGGAGTGAGGAGGCCACACCCTCCATCATTTACCACTGTGCCCTCCGAGGCCTGGAGCGCCTCCTGCTGTCCGAGCAGCTCTCCCGGCTGGATGCAGAGTCCCTGGTCAAGCTGAGTGTGGACAGAGTGAATGTGCACAGCCCGCATCGGGCTATGGCGGCCTTGGGCCTGATGCTTACCTGCATGTACACAGGTGAGGAGAGGCGGACGCCTGCGCCCGTGCTGCCCTGACCCGGGTGCTGCCCTGACCCGGGTGCTGCCCTGACCCGGGTGCGGCCTGACCCGGGTGCTGCCCTGAGGTCAGCCACTGTGCATAGGCAGCAGAGCCACACCTCCGGCCACTGCCTCCCATGCAGCTGAGCCTTGGCCAGGTCCTGGGCCGGCTAAGGGCTTACTTAGGTCACCTCTTTCGGATCATCTCTACGGGTCTGTTGAACTTCGTATGCAAGGCACCGTCTGTGGAGCCTGTTGGGCTTTATAAATCGTGCAGCTGTGTATTGAATACTTGTGTTTCAGGGAAGGAGAAAATCAGCCCGGGCAGAACCTCGGACGCTAACCCCGCAGCCCCAGACAGCGAGTCAGTGATTGTCGCGATGGAGCGGGTATCCGTTCTCTTCGACAGGTGAGCAGCGAAGCCCGCCGCTGTGGCCGTGAACTGCCTTGGGCTTTGGCCAGAGGAGCATACGCATGCGCATCTGCTTACCTTCCTCCTCATGTCTCTTCACCCTCCGACCAGGGGCTGTCCCGCCAGCAGGCCATCCTGGGACCCCAGCACTGAGTGACTCCACGGTGGCCCTGGGGAGGTCGAGGGCCAGGCCCGTGGGATCGGCCTGTGGCAGGTCGGGGCCTGGAGGCGGGCCCTACTGCAGACGCCTGCTCACCCTTGCTGCCTTTTGTGTGCTCACCGTGCACTGCAGGAGGGACATGCAGCCCCTGAGGGCAGCGTCAGGCAGTGCAGAGGCTGGAGCGAAAGTACCCTCAGGAGTTGCTGCCAGGCCTCCCAGCCTTCCCACTTGTGTGCTCAGAATCCGCACACCTGCCAGTCCTGAGAGCGCCGGGGGCTCGTCAGGCTTTCCCTAGAGCAGCCCGTGTCCTGCCCCGAGTCTCTCCGGGCCCAGTGACGTGGCAGTTTTGTGGCCTGCGGTGAGCAGTTGGTTTGCCGAAGACAGACTGTTCTCAGGCTGGTCTCGGGCATGCGCACAGAAGGGCTCTGCATGAGTCCCTTCTGGGGCCCGAAGAGGTTCTCTGTGTGGCCAAGCACATGCCGGTCTGCTTCTGTGCTGAGCCTGAGGTTCAAGCAAGCCTGCGGTCACTGTGGCCGTCCGTGTGTGTGCAGCCACCCCGTGGAGCACCGTGACCAAGTGAGTGTGATGCAGGCACTCAGAGTGACCCCCCGATCCGGGGAGATGACTGGGTGCTTGACAGGGGCTCCCTCGCAGTCCAGCGCATCCTCTCCTGGGTGTCTGTGGGCAGATGGAGCCAGGCACGTGTGTGTGGGAGCCGTTTCCATGTTGTCCACGGCAGTCACGCATGCATGGCTAGGCAGGACTGCCAGAAAGGATGCAGCTCCGGGGTCTGCAGAGGCAGTCGGCAAGAGCAGGCAGGCCCGGCTTCCCGGCTGGCGGCTGAGCTCAGGCACTGGACTGCGTCGTGTTGGGAAGTGTGTGGGAAAAACCTGAGGAGGACAGGCTTGTGCGCGTCACCGGAGGGGTGGACTGCAGAGGGCTGCGTGTGGTGTTTCCGCTTCTGCAGCGTGCGCTTGGCCAGCCGAGTGAGGCTCTGACTAGTGTCCCCTCCTTCCAGGATCAGGAAGGGGTTTCCCTGTGAAGCCAGAGTGGTGGCAAGGATCCTGCCTCAGTTTTTAGATGACTTCTTCCCACCCCAGGATGTCATGAACAAAGTCATTGGAGAGTTTCTGTCCAATCAGCAGCCATACCCGCAGTTCATGGCCACCGTCGTGTACAAGGTGAGGTAGACGTGGGTGGGAGCTGGAGGCGGGGTCCCAGGACATTGGCAAGATGCCTCCCTGCAGAGCAGCAGCGGGGTGGAGGAACTGACGCCTCCCCAGCCCTGCGCTGCACGCTGCTTCTCGCCCCTGCCCAGGTCTTCCAGACTCTGCACAGTGCCGGGCAGTCGTCCATGGTCCGGGACTGGGTCATGCTCTCCCTGTCCAACTTCACGCAGAGGACCCCGGTCGCCATGGCCATGTGGAGCCTCTCCTGCTTTTTCGTCAGTGCGTCCACCAGCCCCTGGGTCTCAGCAACGTATCCTTCCTTGGGTGCTGGGGCTCTCGGTGGGGCCTCTGCCTGCTGCCAGATTTCGCTTTTTCTTCTGTCAACTTCTGTGTTTTGTCTTAAACTTTTTGAAGCCTGACACTTGCAAAACCCGCAGCTTCAAGGTGCTGTTCCCCTCTGTCCCGAGGAGGAAGGCGTTGGCAGGGCCACAGAAAGCAGGGTGCCCTCCGCTTGCCCAGCAGGACCGCCTGGCTCTGCAGCCAGGCCTCCCCTGTCTCCGCTGGGCCCCCTCCCCTCCTGTGCCCGTGCAGCTGGGTTCCCAGTGCTGCTTCTCATTAGCTTTGTCATTGTGCCTCGATCACCCTCTAGGGGGCTGCTTAGGAAAGATCCGTCCCCACCCCCAGAACGCTGGTGCCAGGAGTTCCCTTTTTGGCAGCCTTTCCCCGAGACAGACACAAGTCTCCGAGCAGCGTGGTCATGCTGGTGCTGGCAGCACAGCCTCGCCCAGCGCGCCTGGGAGGGCCCGGGTAGGCAGGGCCACGGCTCTGTGCTCACTGCGTCGGAGCGGGGCTCGCGGGAGCACCGGCAGCCAGCACTGCGCAGGGCGCTAGGCCAGGTAAGTGCTGCCCCGAGCACCTGCTCAGCCAGCGCTGCCTGGGCGGGGAGCTGGGCTCCGGCACGAGAGGGTCTAGGAGGGCGTGTGCCCAGCCGCCCCTTTCCTGCCTGCTGCTCTGTCCCTCGCGCCTCCCGGGGCTGGGTCAGGAAGGGGCTCCTGGGGGGGGCAGCCTTCCGTGCCCGTGGCAGTGCTCCCTTAACTCCCGGCCAGCCTCCCGCACGTCGTCAGCAGGATGGGCAAGCTGGAGCAGGTGGACGTGAACCTCTTCTGCCTGGTCGCCACCGACTTTTACAGACACCAGATAGAGGAGGAGCTCGACCGCAGGGCCTTCCAGTCTGTGTTTGAGGTGGTGGCAGCGCCAGGAAGCCCATACCACCGGCTGCTGACGTGTCTGCGAAACGTGCACAGGGGCGCCGCCTGCTGAGTGCCCCCGGTGGGAGAGTGCGCGAGGCAGCGGCTCGGCCGGCTCCGCGCAGAAGCCAGTGCCCGGTGCCCTGCCTCGTCCCTCCGGGCTTCCGTTCACGCCGCGAGGCAGCCAGGCAGCGTGCGCGTCTGCCGAGAGGCACGAGTGCTCTTTGCAGCAGTGGCTGAGCAGGGACCACACACAGCGCTGTGGGGGTGCAGCCGAGTCCTCGGAGAGCAGGCGCAGCTGGGCTGCCAGCGCCAGTGCCGGTGCCCAGGGGTCGGTCTTTCTCCCCACAGTCACCTGCCGTTGCCGCCAGGTTGCGGCTCCCTTGGCCTGGGACGGAAGTCCTCACTCTTGCAGGCTGGTCGTCGGCCCCTCGCCGTCCCACAGGGAGGACACGAGTGCCGGCACCCGGCCTTGTGAGCACGTCTCCCCTGTTGCACCAGCGACCAGACGCACAGACCCTGTGGCCAGGCCAGCAGCTGGGGCGCCACACACCTGCGCCATCCTCTGTCTCTGTTTTCTTCTCAGGATTTAAAATTCAATTCTATCAGTAAAGAGATTAATTTTAATGTAACTCTTTCTACGCCCGTGTAAAGTGTGTGGCTCACAAGGCCAGCGCTGCGTGGGGCAGTGTCCACGGAAGCGATGGGTCTGTGGCAGCCCTCTCGTGGCGTCTCCCCTGCACACCCCACTTTGCTACACAGTCACATTCGGTTAGCCTGGCAAGAAGAGCTGGTGCCCCGGTGTCGGCAGCAGGACTGCCCCCCGGGCCCCGTGAGCCCTCAGCCCCTCCCAAGGCCTCTGCCCACCATAAGGGTCGGCACCGCTTCTCTGCCGCTAATAGCCTTTGTGTCCAGGGACGCTGGCCCAATGGCCCCGGGAGCTCGCTGGCTGGCGTTGGGCCCACTGCCCCATGTTGGGGTCCTGGCAGCCCAGGGTGTCACTGAGCTCTGTTCTGGCTGAGCCCCTCTTGGTCAGAGCAAGTGAGGGTCAGGCCTCGATGCCTCTTGTACCCCTTTCCCGCGCCGCTGCCAGCTCAGCAGGGAGCAGCTCTGTGTGTGGTGATGGGCTGATCTGAGATGGGGGGGCACAGCTCCACATCGGCGTCCGGCCCTGGCTGGCCAGGCTCGGTTGTCTTGGGTTTAGGGGCTGATACGGAAGCTCTGTGTGCTGTCGCTGCCTGGCTGGGCTGTGACTCGGGCCGGTGGCTTTGGTCTTTGGTCGTTGCGCAGGGTTTGGCGTGGTAAAGTTACAGCTGCTTCCCAGGTTCTGGAGAGGAGGAGTGAGGTCGTACCCATCCAGTGAATCCTCACCGCAGCCGGTGCAGGTGCTGCCTTGAGTCCCCGAGGTTTCTTCTGTCCGCCTGCCACGGCAACGAGGGCGGGTGGGATGCAGGGGAGCCGGAGACTGCTGGGCAGCTTTTGCTGGCAGCCCCTGCAAGGCCTCCCCAGGGCAGGACCTGCTGGGCGGTTCTTCCGGAGGAAGTGAGAGGACACCATTCGCTCATGCTGCTCTGGGCTCCCGTTGTAGGTCCTGCTTCCGGGGTGAATGATGAGAATGGCCTTGGAACCTGTTCTACGCCAGCGCCGCCCAGCAGCCGCAGTAGCCCTGAGGCAGGTGCGGCGGCTGCTGGTGTCCCGAGTAGATGTTTACGTTTGCACGAAATTGCACTGCGAGTATAAAGTTTGGAGCCGTTCCCCCCGAATCCACATCTCTGGGCTCGGCGTGGGGTGTCAGTGTGGGCTGAAGCTGTCAGTTCTTAGCAAGGGCTCAGAGCCCAGCCCCTCCCCCGCCACGTGCTGGCCTGAGGACCCCTGCCTCCCCCGCTGTGTGCCCTGGAGGTGACTCGGGCCCGTGCACTGGCATGCGCTCATACGCACCCACCTCTGGTGTCATGGATGTGCACACGGATCTTGAGAGAAACCCATGAGGCCTGCAAGGGTGCCATGTCTGCCCGTCTTGGAAGCTGGGTGACTCAGATGGTGAGGAGGGGACTCCGTAAAAGTCAAGGTCATTACTGGATAGAGTGCAGTGGACAGCGAGGCCGGGCTGCAGTCTGTGCAGCCCTGGAACTGCGCGGTAGCCCCAGCCAGACCATCGGTCCAGACTGTCGCCGGTGTCCGCTGTGGGCGTGGTTTCCAGGGGAGGCGGAGCTCTTGCTGCTTTCCTGCTGGTGCTGTCAGGAGAGTCGCATGAAACCAGGGGAGGTGTCCGCTTGTTTCCCCAGAACCTGCCCCCCGGCCCTGCCGCGTGTGTCCGGTGACCTCCCCTGCCAAGTGCCCTTTAGCACTGTTCTCACTCGCCAGCACACGTGCCCTCTCAGGAGGAGAGAGTGAAAGTGAGACGGCGGCGCCACGTGCCCTGGGGACGAGCCCTGGTGGCACTCGGGCAGGGCCTGCCTGAAGACAGTCACTGCTCACGGCCGCTCACGGGCAGAACTCCACTGGGGGCCGGGGCAGGCCTGGGGCTGTGGAAGTGTGACCTGTGAGCGCCCACAGGCGAAATGTCCTCACCTAGCCTTTGTCCCTCCCTCCCTCCCTCCCTCCGCACTGAGTGCCCAGGACCACAGCTGCTCCTGACCGGGATCAGCTCGGAGCTGGAGAGCCGGGACGGGGCTGGCAAGAAGAGGACTGTCCCTCATGGGGGACAGAGGGCCAGGAGACGGCGGTGGTGACCTGGGGGCTCGGGCCGTCTCCCGCTCTGTGCCTGACACGTGTCCCCTACATGTCTGGGAGCAGAGTCTTCCGCCACAGCCCCAGAGGAGTGCGGTGGCCGTGGCCCTGGTCTCGGGGCCCCCTGGCCAGGCCTCCTGCCCTGTGCTGCTGCAGGGTTTGCGGCAGAGCTGTGATGGGCGGGTCCCGGAGCCTGCCCCAGACCCGACTCCCTGCCGTGAGGAGAGAGAAGGACCGATGGGAGATGTGTATTTAATTTTTTAAAACTGCTGCAAACGTTGTCCACCCACATTAAAGAAAACAATGAAACCCTCACTGCAGTACGAGGCTTGCTTTGCTTGCTGGGCGCCTGGGGAGATGACGGGGGCCGACCGCAGGGCCCTCGGGCAACGTGAGCAGCACCGCAGCCCACGGCGTGCGCGGGGCTGCCGCCTGAGCCCAGCTCGCGGAGGCCCGGCGTGTGGAGCCTTCGTTTCCACCCAGGGCCCCTGCACGGGAACTGGGCCGTGTCCTCACACCTGGGCCCGTCCCCTCAGCCCTGCTGACCTTCCCGCCCCCACCTGCCGGGGCTGCCCCTCTCTGCGTGGCTTGTCGGGTCTCTGGCTCCCGTGGCGCTGATCTGGGTGACATTTGCCCAGTGACCCACAGAGACCAGAGCGCCGGGCTGCGGCTGGCGCCCAGGCCGGGTGTTAAGTAAATGGTTGCCCGAGTCTGCTTCCAGCTGCTTGGCAGGCGCCCCCCTGCTGAGCGGGTCTGCGGCTAGGTGGCGCCTGGGGGCCATCCGGGCTCTGTGGCTGCTGTGGTGTAGTGGCCGCAGGTGTCCCTGCACCAAGGGAGTCCCTTTAGCTCCCTGAGTCTGTCTTCAACTCCTGAACACCGCTTTGCCCTGGGGCACACTTGGTGTGGCTGACACTTCCAGAAAGAACGGGGGCCTAGATCCAGGGGGCAGCCTGAGCCCCGCCTCACGGCACAGCTCCCTCGGGGAGAGCAGGAGCCAGGAAGCCGTGGGGAGGCTCAGGCGCAGGCTTGGGACCTGTCCCTGGGCCGTGTGCCCTGCGCCTTTGGTGGCGTTTCTGGCTTAGGACCAGCCTTGTCCCCAGAGGACTTCAAAGTAGCTTCCTAAATGCTTCACACAGCGAGTCGGATGGGGGACTGGGCCAGGGTGAGATGAAGGTGGGGGCCTGGGTGTGGAGGCCCCCACCCTCAGGACAGGCGGCCTGGTGTCGGGCCTGAGGAGGGACGAGGCTCTTAGGGCCCAGGAGGCCGCGGCCCACGCTCCACGGTCTGTTCTGCCGAGCCGGCAAGATCAGGTTCAGAACTGGAGCATCTCCGGTGCCCACGGCTCGCCTGTGCCATCTGCTGCCGCCCGCTGAGTCAGTGTGCCCAGCTAAGGGGCTGGCTTCCTTGTGGCCGCAGGGAAAGGGCAGTGTCCTCTGTGCTGACCGAGACAGGTGGGTCATGTGGGGACCACCACCTCTAAGCCCAGGCACCTCCCGGGCCTTGGAAAGCTGTCCCCCACCCCACCCCCAGGGCTGACCCGGCCACGCTGCTGGCCCCCACGCTGTTGAGCTCCTTAGCCAATCAAGGTCTCTAGCCCAGGCCTCCTCTCAGCCTGGGCTGCAGCTGGGCCCCGCCCTCACACTCCACTTTCCCCCGACTGCCCAAGCCCTGAGCTCTGGCCACCAGCACAGGGTCTGTTCAGCTGCCGCACCCGGAGGTGCCTGATGTCTCCGGGGAGTGCTGCCCGCATCCTGTGGGCTTCCGTGTTGGCCAGGCCCTGCCACTCCACCCGTGGTCAGGGGTCCATAGCGGGCACCACGAATGCCAGGTGGAGTTGGTCCCAGCATAAGAGGCGGGGCTGCCTGGACACCCCATGCCCCAGGGACTGTCCTGCTGAGGCCTCACCCACTGCCTCTCCCTGCAGGTGCTGCTGGGCCCCCAGCCCAGCCCTCTGCCTTCTCATCTCGCAGTGACCAAGGGTCCCAGCAGGCCATGCAGCTGTGCCAAGGTACGGAGCCCTTCCCCTCAGAGGACAGATGCAAGCGGCGGGGGGGGCAGCTGGGTGACCTTGCCTGGCTAGAGTGTGCCTTGTGCCGGGTGCCTGCTCCTGGCCTGGCTAGAGTGTGTGCCGGGTGCCTGCTCCTGGCCTGGCTAGAGTGTGCCCTGTGCCGGGTGCCTGCTCCTGGCCTGGCTAGAGTGTGCCCTGTGCCGGGTGCCTGCTCCTGGGAACGCCGTCTAGAGGCCGTGCCGGGCCCACTGGCTGCAGCGCCCTGATGCTGGCAGCAAAGCCCCCTGGCCTGTGGCTACCTGCTGCCCCACCCCACTGCGCACTGCCTTTTCAGATTGATTTATTTGAAAGTTACACAGACAGCTTCCATTTGCTGGCTCACTCCCCAGATGGCCAGAACAGCCAGATGTGGGCTGGGCCGAAAGCCAGGAGCTTCACCACGGTCTCCCACGTGGGGACAGAGGCCCAAGCACTTGGGGCGTCTTCCCCTGCTGTTCCCAGGTCATTAGCAGGGAGCTGGATGGGAGGAATGCTGGCGTCCCACGCGGCGCTTAGCCCCTCACCCCACGGTGCTAGCCCCCCAGTGGCTGCTCCTTGGCCAGGACAGCGTGCCAGGCTCTGCAGTCCAGAAGCTCCCAGTGCAGACGTGGGAGGCGGTGCACCGGGTCCCGCTCGGCCAGCACCACGCAGAGTGACTTGCGGGTGCTCTGCCTGCCTGTCCGCCCTCCTGTGTCCTTGGGAGCGCAGTGAGGAGCAGACAGGACGCCCGAGCCTCGCATCATGTGTCGGGCTCCTGTCCCGACTCTGGCTCCCATTTCCAACTCCTGCTACTGCAGACCCTGGGAGGTGGCAGCTACGGGGAGACCTGGGTGGAGCTCCCAGCTCCTGGCTCCATCCGTTGCAGCCATTTAAGGAGTGGACCTGTGGACGGGGGCGCTCTGTCCATCTCTGCCTCTCCTCGCACTTCCTCTCAGTAGATAGGCAGTAGGAGGGTCCCTGAAGCCCTTTGGGGAGGGTCCGACCCTGTGCTGGGGCTGCAGCTGAGCGCGCTCTGTGCCAGCTGGGCACCAGGGGGCGGCAGCAAGCTGGCAGGCCAGCCACCGTGGCCAAGGCCCAACCCGCGGGGAGGGCGGGCGCAGCAGCAGCGCAGCAGGAGGGACCCTGCCTCAGTACCGCGCCCGGCCTTGGGCCCCTCGCTGCCCCTCCCCGCCGAGCCAGAGGTGACAGCTGCTCCTGCCCGAGCCAACGGCAGGGCCAGGCCCGGACCAGGAACCCAGCAGTCCCCCGGCAGTTGTCCTGGCTGCAGCTCGGGCTGCCCTCTGGGACCAGGAACCCGGCGAGTCCCCAGAGGCCCCCGGTGGCTGTCCTGGCTGCAGCTCCCGCGCTGCCCTATGGGCCGCTCTCAGGCCCAGGCTGACCCTCCCCGCACCGGGCTCGACACTCAGCCAGGCCCCTCTGCCCCCCCCCCCGCCCAGCGTCACACGTGGCACCAGGCAGGGTTCTCTGACGATGCGGGGGGGGGAGGGGGGCTGCCTTTGCTCAGGCCCGAGGAGGCATGGCGTTCCCAGGCCGGGCAGCTGTGCAGCCTGCCCGTCTCCCACAGGGGCCGTGCACACCCTGAGGTGGCACCTCCTGCACCCTGGCTCCTCTTGGGGGGACCTCTGGGGGAACCCACAGGAGGCTCAGTCCCTCGGCCCCACAGAGCCAAAGCCCACTGCCCTGCTTCCCCCTGCATCGGGGCTGTGCCCAGCCCGCCTCTCCCCAGGGAGCTGAGCTGGCCTGGCCTGGGTTTACCCAGCTGGTGTGCCAGTGTCTCGGCACAGCCCTCGCTCTGGCCGGCTAGTGCTGCCCCTGCCTGGACACCTGGCGGTCAGCATCCACCGTGTTCCCTGGCCCGCTCTGCCAGGCATAGCCTGGGTTCTTGGTGTCCACACGGCCCGACGCCCCAGGGCTCGGTGGATGGAGCAGGAGAAGCCAAAAAGTAGGTCCCTAACCCCAGGCCAGCGAGACCCATGGGACAGGGGCCTTCTGCGGGGTGGGGGTGGGGGTCCCACAGCCAAGCACTGAGGCCCTGGCGGCCATCTCCCTCTGGCCCCTGTGTCCCCCATGTCTACCTCCACCTGTGTCTTGCACTTCCCTGGGGACCCGACTGCTGGAGCCAGGGTGAGGCTGCCACCGTCGGGCGCTCGGGCCGCCCGGGGAGAAGGCGGCGGGGCTGGGAGCCTGCCCATGGGGTTCGGGCCTCCTCGCTGCGATATTGATGGGCCGTCAGCGCGGCCCTGATGCCTGCGCCTTCCGTTAAAAGGTTTCTGTTGTTGTAGCTTATGCAGTTGCTCTGTTGCTATGGAAACGTGACATCAAAATGACGTTTCCCGTTTAAAAGCTTTTAACTAAATTCCTGCCTGTCAGATGTAGGCCCCATTTTGAGCGTGGAGCTGCCTTCGAAAGAGCAGCCGCCTGGCGCCCATGGTGCGCGGGGCCGGGCCCGGGGCCCCCCCTGAGCGCGCTGCTTAACCCCGCAGGTGCCCCCGGCATGGCGGCGGCCGAAGTGCCCGGCTACCTGGTGTCCCCCCAGGCGGAGAAGCACCGGCGGGCCCGCAACTGGACGGACGCCGAGATGCGCGGCCTCATGCTGGTCTGGGAGGAGTTCTTCGAGGAGCTCAAGCAGACCAAGCGCAACGCCAAGGTCTACGAGAAGATGGCCAGCAAGCTCTTCGAGATGACGGGCGAGCGGCGGCTGGGCGAGGAGATCAAGATCAAGATCACCAACATGACCTTCCAGTACAGGTAGGCGGCCGGGGCCGGGGCGGGGCTGGGCCCAGGTGTGCGGCGGCCCGGCCAGGGCGAGAGCTGTGCGGGCAGCAGGGTTGGCTCTGAGCTCCCCCGGCTGGGGCGGCTCCCTGGGTGCCCCGAGGCAGGGCAGGCCACAGCTGCGTGCCCTGAACGCGGCAGGAGGCCTCCGTGGCGCTGATGTGCCGTGACCTGCGGCTGCCGCCGAGCCCCCCCAGCAGCCCCTGCCCCTGCCTCGGTGACACCCAGCGAGCGGCCCGCCCTTCAGCCTGCAGGGCACTGCTGAGCTGGGGCTGAGGATGGCGGCGCACGTGCCCCCACGCCCAGCACCGCCGACTGCACGGGCACCCACGGGCATGCGGGAGGGACAGGGCGAGGTGTGGGTAGAAGTAGTGGGTGTGGGAGGTCTCCTGCGGGGCAAAGGTCAGGGTGGGAGTGCTGAGGGCCCTGGCCCGGGGGCGGCCTGCAGGTGGCCCTGCGGGCCAGCTGCTGTTCCCAGGCTCACTCAGGCTCTGCAGGTTTGCCTGGAAGCCCCTAGCTGTGCCCCGTGGGGGAGGGGGCCCTGGCATGCCCCGGCAAAGCAGGAGGGGGCATGGAGGCTGGAGGCGCTGAGCAGGGCCCTGACGCGCTGCGTCCAGTGGCGCTCATCGGACTTTCCGTGACCCTGGAAGGAGCAGCGCACAGTCTGTCCCCGCCCACCCTGCCCCCGGCACCTGCTGGGGTCCGCCCACGATGGAGTCACTGAGGGGAAGGGACGGGAGGGGTGGGCTGCGGGGTGACCCCCAAGTCCCTGTCCAGTGCCTGGTGAGGAAGGGGCTCCGAGGGCCACCGGCCAGCCTCCTGTTGGACTCAGTCACTCACGTCCACACTCCCCCCACCAGGCTGCAGGCTGTTTGGCTGTGGTATCCGTTGGTTGTCCAGAAAGCCCTCTTCAGGGTCCCAGAGGGGCCTCTGTCTCCATCCTGGGAGGCCCCACAGCTGACCGCAGGCCTGGCTCCACCTCCCCTCCTTCCCAGAGCCTCCTTGGCAGAGGCCACTTTTTTTTTTTTTTAAAGATTTATTTCTATTTAAAAGTCAGAGTTACTCGGAGAGAGAGGAGAGGCAGAGAGAGAGAGAGGTCTTCCATCCAATGGTTCACTCCCCAGTTAGCCGCAACAGCCGGAGCTGTGTCGATCCGAAGCCAGGAGCCAGGAGCTTCCTCCAGGTCTCCCACGCGGGTGCAGGGGCCCAAGCACTTGGGCCATCCTTCCCAGGCCACAGCAGAGAGCTGGATTGGAAGTGGAGCAGCTGGGACTAGAACCGACGCCCATACGGGATGCTGGCGCTGCAGGCCAGGGCATTAACCCAGTGCGCCACAGCACCCGCCTTGGTTTTTCTTTTTACAAGAGCTCTTTACATGTGGAGGTTATCACCTAAGGACATCAGAGGGGGCCGGGGCTCGGTGCACGGTTTGTGGGAGTAGCGTGGGGCAGCTGCGGTGCCGGGGCCTCTGTGGGCGGCAGGAGAGCCTGAGCGGATGCTGGAGGCGGGTGCCGGCAGTCAGGATTGCAGAGCAGCTGTGCCCTGCCCTGGCCTGTCCCGCCTTCTCCCGGGGCCCCCCAGCCAGCAGCGTGGGCTCCCCGAGGCCGCCCCGAGCCCCCATGGGCAGCAGCCTGCAGCTCTGCTCTGTGGGGCGCCGGCAGGAGCGCGGGGAGCCCTGGGCCTCAGGAGGTGCTGCTCTGCCAGCCACAGAGCTGGCCGTCCCTCACCCCCAGTGACCCCTGAAGCCCCGAGGAAGCCGTGTGAGGCAGGGCTGTCCCAGGGGCTAGGGGTGTGGGACCCGCCTCAAGGTGCAGGCGGGGCGCGGGGGTGCTGCCAGCTCTGCCCTCCGCCCCTGGGCCGGCTGCAGGTTCTCATGCTGGGTCCAGGCTCCTGCCCACGCTCACGTGAGCGCCAGCGGTGACGTGGGTTAGGACCCAACACCATTTCCCGTCAGGTTCGACCGAGAATGCTATCGTGAGCAGGCTGGCTTGGCCAGGCACCGGGCACTGTTTTATGAAGCCCTCCCGACAGCCCGGGAGGCGCTTACTTTGGTCATCACATTCTACTGATGGGAAGAGGGAGGCTTAGAGAGGTTAACAGGCCTGCCCAGGGTCGCACAGCACAGAGGTGGGGACGGCACCCGGTGCTCCAGCCCCTGTAGTTCTGGCTCCAGAGCCTCGATTCTTACGGTAGAACGGCAGTGTCTGCTCGCGGCCGAGTTTATTTATTTATTTATTTATTTTTTTTTGGACAGGCAGAGTGGACAGTGAGAGAGAGAGACAGAGAGAAAGGTCTTCCTTTTGCCGTTGGTTCACCCTCCAATGGCCGCCGCGGCCGGCGCGCTGCGGCCGGCGCACCGCGCTGATCCGATGGCAGGAGCCAGGAGCCAGGTGCTTTTCCTGGTCTCCCATGGGGTGCAGGGCCCAAGCACCTGGGCCATCCTCCACTGCACTCCCTGGCCACAGCAGAGAGCTGGCCTGGAAGAGGGGCAACCGGGACAGAATCCGGCGCCCCGACCGGGACTAGAACCCGGTGTGCCGGTGCCGCAAGGCGGAGGATTAGCCTAGTGAGCCGCGGCGCCGGCCGCGCGGCCGAGTTTAGAGAGGAGCCAGGTCCTGATTCCCAGCGCCACCGGCTTCCTCTAACTCCGAGGCCGTGTGGGCCCCGAGCCGTCTCCCCGCTCCGTCCCGGATCGCCTTGACCCTGGAACCGGCCCCTTCCGTGGGGAAGCCCGCGCCGGCGAGCGGCTCCTGCGGTGCCCGGTGGCTCCCCCTGGCGGCCCAGCTGCTTCTCACGCTTGGCTCTTGTCTCTCGTTTCAGGAAATTAAAATGCATGACAGATAGCGAGTCCGTCCCGCCGGACTGGCCCTATTACCTAGCCATTGATAGGATCCTGGCCAAGGCCCCCGAGTCCTGTGATGGCAAGCTGCCCGACGGCCAGCAGCCCGGGCCCTCCACGTCCCAGACCGAGGCGTCCCTGTCGCCGTCCGCTAAGTCCACCCCTCTGTACTGCCCGTATAACCAGTGCTCCTACGAAGGCCGCTTCGAGGACGATCGCTGCGACAGCTCCTCCAGCTTACTGTCCCTTAAGTTCAGGTAGCGTGCGCTTGCTCCTCCTCCTCCTCCCCACCGGGCCAGAGGCCGGCCGCGCTGCGCCGAGCCACACCGAGCCACGCCAAGCCACGCCGCGCTGCGCCGAGCCATGCCGAGCCATGCTGAACCACGCCGAGCCATGCCGAGCCCAGCCGAGCCACGCTGAGCCACGCCGAGCCCAGCCGAGCCACGCTGAGCCGTGCGGGGCAGGGTGGGCTGGTGGCGTGGTGGCCTCTGCCGTGCTCGGCTGCTTCGAGGGCTGACAGGCGGCCCCGCTCCATCGCCGTTCAGCTGTCTAGAAAGTTCCTTGACCTCTCTGGCCTCAGTCTCCCTCCTGCAGGACGGGGATAAGTCAGAGCCTTCCTCAGAGGGTGGGGGCACGAGAGGGGGGGTTTGAGGACCCTGCTCTGGGCCCCGCCCCTTCTGTCTGGCCACGTGAGGCCTCAGGCAGCAGCAGAGAGCCACGCAGCACTGGGAGGACCCCTTGGGAGTGGGTGCTTCCGGGGAGGGGTTCTGTGGGATGGGCTTTGGAGGGGAAGTAGGAGTTGGCATGGGGGCCGTGGCTTTGCACCCAGCCCTGCTCTGTGGGGGGTGGCGGCTCCCATCTGCAGGGGAGCACTCGCAAAGCGCCTGCCAGCCAGGACGCCCCCGAGGTGGCCAGGCCAGGAGCAGCGAGGCCCCAGGTGGCGGGCGGCTGCTCTGTGGACAGCCTGGTTCCCAGACTCCCAGGGCTGGCGTGTGGGGGCCGCGCTCCTGCCCCTGCTCAGAGCACAAAGTGCAGGCTGGGTGGGCAGGCCCCAGGGCAGGGCCTGGGGGCCGTGGGGGCTGGTGGCCCCTGCTCTCCAGCCAGGAGCTGCCTGCTGCCCAGAGCCGGCCCCTGGGGGATGGCCACGCACTGGGCTGCCTCTACCTCCCCCTTCCACCGGGAAGCCAGGCTCGGCCGGGTCTCTCCACGTCCCCTCCCCCCTCTTCTTCCCAGGCCTGCTGGCTCCTCCTCCTGAGACGTCAGTTCCCGGCTGGGACGGGTGGCGTCTGCTTCCCTGTAGGAGCACCGAGCGCCACAGCCTGCTCAGCGCCCCCTTCCCCCAGCGCCAGCCCCGGGAGGGGGGGTCTCTCCACCCCGAGCCCACCCCCGACCCCGGGCCGGCCCCTGCCTGCCCCTGTTCAGAAGCGTGTGGCCAGTCCTGTAGCCTCGAGCGCCTGCGGCCCGAGAGACTGTCACGTGGTGGGCGGGCCGAGGCTGGCACGTGGTGGGCGGGCCGAGGCTGGCGTCCGCCCGTCCCGGGGGGGCGGGGGCAGGCTCTGAGGCCGGCGCTGTGCCCGCAGGGCGGAGGAGCGGCCGGTGAAGAAGCGCAAGGTGCAGAGCTGCCACTTCCGGCGGAAGAAGCTGCGGCTGCTGGAGGCCATGCTGGAGGAGCAGCGGCGGCTGAGCCGCGCCGTGGAGGAGACGTGCCGCGAGGTGCGCCGCGTGCTGGACCAGCAGAACCTGCTGCAGGTGCAGAGCCTGCAGCTGCAGGAGCGCATGATGAGCCTGCTCGAGAAGCTCATCGCCAAGTCCGGCGTCTAGGGCAGCCGCGGCGACCTCGCCTGGCCTCCGTGGGGCTGCTCGGGGGTCGCCAGCACTAGGCCTGTCCTCTCAGAACATTCTAGCACGTTCTGGAATCACCCTCCGTATAGGTGGTGACACTTGAACTGGCCTTTGATATTAAACGTGTGCTTTTTTCAATACTGCCTGGAGGCAGAGGTGGCTCTGTCCAGCCAGGGGAGGAGCGGGTGTCCGCCCTGGTCAGGCCGGAGGTGGCCGTGCTGTCGCTGCCGCCGCGCGCGGCCTCTGCCCCGTCTCACTCACCGGCTGGGAAAGTCTCCGGGAGCTCAGGAATCTCAGGCCTCCCGGGGCCTGCCCCTGGGCGCTCGTCGCTCTGGCCGCCGCGGAGGCTGGGGCACGGGGGTGGATTTGCTCCCTGCACCGGGCAAGCCGCCGCCCGAGAGAGCCAGGTGCTGGGGCAGGTGGGCGAGTGACGCGGGTCGGGTGCGGAGGAGCTCCCTCTGGCTGCACCTGAGCAGATGCTGGGCAGAGTGGGACGCGCCGGGGGCCGTCACGGAGCCGGCCCTCAGGCTGGGTGCTCTGGAGGGCAGAGCCGGGCCGGCAAGATTCGGCCGCGCCCCAATTCCCTCAGGGAGCCCCCACGGCTGAGGCTGCCCCCGACACAGGGCCGGCCCCAGGGTTCCCGAGCCTTCTGAGGGGCCCGCCCAGCGCGGCAGGTGGAGGCGCCTCCCCTGCACCTGTGCGTGCCAGCATCAGTGAGACCCGCAGTGTCTCAAGAGGGGCCGGGGTTCCCCGCGCACCTGTGTGCCGGCCCCTGGGCCCACAGGCAGAAGCCGGGTCCTGGAGGGGACGGCTCGGCTGGGAAGCAGCTGGGTCGGCAGCTCCCGTAGGCGGCCCGTGTCTGGAGCTCCGAGTTCTTCTCAGGCCGAAATCTGTGCTAAGATTCGGCAAACGTTCCCTCTGAGGGCAGGAGCTGGCCCTGTGCTCGCTCTCCGTGTCGCTTCACGGTGCCGTGACACTCGGCAAGTCCACCGACGCAGGCAGACAGAACTAGCAGGACCAGAAACAGAGGGAGAGACGACATGATCTTCCTTTTCAGATAGCACTGCTCTGTACCCAGAAAAACCAGACACGCGAATGATCGCGCGTTCCGCAGACCAGGACGCGGGAGCGAGTGCGTCCATGCAGAGCTGTGAGCCAAAGCCGCGGGCAGCGGAGGAGCCGGCGGGCGGCCGGGCAGTGGCAGGGCGCCGAGCCGGCTCTGGGCGCTGGGCACCAGACACAATGCCACGGTTCCACCAGTGACTGCAGCCCGGCAACGCGTGGAAACCCGTGTGTACGAGGAGAAGCGGGGGCTGGGCCGCCTGAGTTCCCGCCCAGAGCTCGCTGCTCGGAAGAGTGGGTGCAGCCCAGCGTCTGGAAGCCCGAAGCCGGGGTGTGAAGGGGCATGGGCTCAGCGCGGGGCCTGCTGGCCCTGTCTCCCGACGTTGGGGGCGCACTGTGCCCCCGCTCAGAGCGGCTCTCCTTCCTCCTCCACCTCCTCCTCGTTCAAGAGGCAGAGTGACAGAGAGAGGGGGTGGGGAGACAGAGGTCTTCCAGATTCCCGCAGCAGCCAGGGCCGGGCCAGGCTGAGGCCAGCAGCCAGGAACGGGCTCTCCCACGCGGGTAGCAGCCGTGCAAGTACTAGACATCGCCAGCTGCCTCCCGGGTATGCTGCAGCAGGAAGCCGGCATCAGGAGCCAGTCCGGGCCTCCCGCGTGGGTGGCAGGGCCCGGGTCCTCGGGCCATCACCTGCCGCCTCCCAGGGTGCACGTTAGCAGGGAGCTGGCATTGGAAGCAGAGGCGGGACTCGAACCCCGGCCCATGCCATGCAGCAACTTGTCCCACTGTGCCACAGTGGCCTGCCGCAGAGCTGCACTCCCAAACCTGGTGGCCTCAGGGCCTGTCATGCTCTGAGGTGCCCGAACAGCTCGCCCAAGGTCATCTGAACAGTAGTTATCATTCCAGAATAATGATCAGCCCATCACCTGGTAACCACAGAGCTGGGCGAGAGGGGTCACTGGCTGACGGGGGGCAGGGCGGCCGGCCTCCCCCGGTGCCCACGTGGAGATGAGAGGAGCGTGCGTGCCCGTGGCACCGAGTGGAGCTGTTGGCCCTGGCCCCACGGCGAGGCTCGCCGCACTCCCGACGGTTTCCCCCAGCTGGGTTGTGCCCTGACCGCCGGCCAGCGTCTCCTGCGTCTCCTTGGAGTCCAACGGTCCACCTTGAACTTCAAAACCTGTTTATCCCCCCAGGCTTTCCTCGGATCACTCGTGGGGCCTTGTTCACCTAAAAACTCGGAGGCAGGCATCCGGCCGGGCAGTTAAGGCCCGGGTTAAGATGCCCGG